TGATGATGATGGTGGTGATGCTGATGATGATGATGAGGCTGCTGCTGCTGCTGATGATGATGATGATGATTATGATGATGCTGAAACTGATGATGATGCTGTTGATGGTAATGATAATGAGAATGATGAGGCTGCTGCTGCCGTTGATGATGTTGATGTTGTTGCTGTTGATGATGATGATGTTGATGATGATGATGATGATGATGAGGCTACTGCTGCTGCTGTTGATGATGATGATGATGATGATGAGGCTACTGCTGCTGTTGATGATGGTGATGATGATGATGATGACGACGATGACGATGACGATGACGCTGACGACGACGACGCTGATGCTGATAATTCCGATGTGTCGTCCCTCCGGACCCGTGCTCCCCCGCGCTGCGCCCCGCGGCCTCTCCGGGCAGGGGCGGGGCGCCCCGGTGCCGGAGGAGAGAGCGAGGGCCGCCGGCGTCCGGGCGTCGGGGCCCGCTCAGCGCCCCACGGGAGGGCAGCAGCCCAAGGGCCCCAGGCTGCGCGCGTTCCCCCTCCTCCTCCTCCTCCTCCTCCTCCTCCTCCTCCTCCTCCCTCCTCCTCCTCCTCCTCCTCCTCCCCCTCCCCCCCCTCCCCCTCCTCCTCCTCCCCCTCCTCCTCCTCCTCCTCCTCCTCCTCCTCCTCCTCCTCCTCCTCCTCCTCCTCCCTCCCTCCTCCTCCTCCTCCTCCCCCTCCTCCCCCTCCTCCCCCTCCTCCTCCCTCCTCCTCCTCCTCCTCCTCCCTCCTCCTCCTCCTCCTCCTCCTCCTCCTCCTCCTCCTCCTCCTCCTCCTCCTCCTCCCCCTCCTCCTCATGGTTCGGGCCTCCCTCGCGCCGGGCGGCCTGCCCCGAACGTGTCGTGCTCTGGCACCCGAGGGCACGCTCCCAGCCAGGGGTGGACAGACCTCCTACCCTGACACGTCGATTAGTGAATTGGCCGTTGTCAGTTCGCGAGAGGGCGTCGCGGCCGTCCTTTTTGAGGGTCCAGGTCCGTCGGTTTCGGTCCCAGGCCGTTTCCACTAAGGGGAGGTTTACTAAAGGGAGGTGTGTCCACCGCCGAAGGGGGGAAAGTCAGAAATAGTCAAAGAATAGTCGGGGGACGATGTGCTGAGTGCTTCTTGCATTTTGGGGGTGCTTGCTTTCTAGCTATCTGAAGAGTTGATCTTCCAAAGTCCGCCTGTTGGGGGGCAGGCCCGACCTAACCCTTGCTGCGCTTGCCATATGGCGCCAGCATCGCAGAGCGGATTGCGCTCGGAAGACGACAGAGATGGGCCGGGAGCGGCCTGGAGAGTGGCGTTCTGGCTGTCGAAGTGGATGTCGTGTGGATGTGGTTGTTGGGCGAGGGATAACCCGAGGAAGCATTTAAGAACCCCCCCCCTCCGGCAAATCGATAACCCTTCCGCACCATCATCCATATCCGCATCATCATCATCATCATCATCATCATCATCATCATCATCATCATCATCATCATCATCATCATCATCATCACCATCACCATCATCATCATCATCATCATCGTGTCCGGGTGCTACAGCTATCGTTCGGTTATTTCGGCCCTTCGGAATATCGAATGAAAATGCGGTGCTACGATATCGCCGGGGGGGTTCTTAAATGCTTCCTGGGGTTAAGGATTGAAACAACTCCACGTGGATTTCACTTCGTTTCTCGTTCGCCCGTTCGGGCTTATGCATTGACAGAAATCCGCGCAGAAAATCCGCTGCAACACCTCTGCAAGATCGGTGCAGTGAAGCTTGCTCTCCTTTTTTGCCCCCCCTCCCGTCAGCAAGGGAACAGTCACACTGGCACAAAGTATCGTTGATTCCCTGGGAAAGATGGGAAGATCTGGGAAGTGTGGGTGTGTGTGGGGGGAGTACGAAAGTCCAGAATCTATAAGAATACACTGGGAAGTATTGGACGCGTGTATGTTGTGCGTGTGGTGTGTGTGTGTGTGTGTGCGCGTGTGTCCCTGGGGCCCTCCATCTTGCCCATCACCCTCCTCTATGCTCCTTGGCGCGTGGGCCGTCCCACGCACGGGCTCGGTGCGCAGCTTGCTCGCTTAGTCTTGGGGAGCATCCGAACCATATTCATGCTCTCTCTCTCTCTCTCTCTCTGTTTTCCTCCTCGGCATCGTTGAGTTCGTCATTGCTTTCCCTGCCCCCCGCCCTTTCTTGCCTGACCGCAGTTCGCCCTTGTCGCCTCCGTGTCCTTGCAGCTGACCCTGTGCACCTCGTCGTGGAGAATATACAGGGAGCTGCGAGTGGCACGCAGCTCGCATCCCGCCCCCGCTTGGGAGAGAGGCGATAAGGGAAGGGGGAAGGGAAAAAGGGAATGGGGAAGGGATGGAGCACATTTCCTGTCCCACCGAGCCAGGTATAGAGTCGAAGCGGCGCCCGTGGAAGGCATTTGCAGTGCGTGCTTGGGGGGGCAGACGGCACCATGCAGCGCTTGGTAGCGCAAAGGGGGCCTGGGCGACGTCGGTGCAGGAAAGACGTGTGCAGACAAACAAAGTGGGAGGAAGGTGGAAAGAGGAAGGGGATCGGTAGAGGGGAAGTTGTTCGGACATCCAGGGTGTTTCGGAGGGCCCCAATGGTGTTCCGAGAGCAGCGGGGCGTCCCGGACGAGGAGGACGGGGGCGACAACGGGAAGCGGGAGTGAGGGGGATGAAAGGGATGATCCGGGATCATTTGCGTTTTTTTTGTTCCCCAACCCTCCTGCTTTGGATTCTCGTTTTGAATAGAGCGCTGTGGACGCACACCTTCCTTCCCGCCTCCCTCCTCCTCTCCCTTCCTACCTGCCTGCTACTCTGCCTGCTACCTCGCTGGCCGCGATCTGCGAAAATGTCGCCACTTTCGAGGGCCGCCAGGGGTCCAGCGGAGTGACGCGCTACGCAGATTTAGATCAGACCTCGCCATTCATGGGGGGCTGCGATCTGCAAATATGTCACCACTTTCGAGGGCTGCTGGAGGATATAGCAGAGTGACGCGCTACGCAGATTCAGCTTCGACCCCGCCATCCCTGGGGGGCTACGGTCTGCGAGTATGTCACCACTTTCGAGCATTGCTGGAGGATCCATCGGAGCGACGAGCTACACAGATTTGGATTTGACCTCGCCATCCATGGAGGGTTCGATCTGCTAAACTGCCACCACTTTCGAGGGTTGCTGGGAGGTCCAGCGGGGTGAGGCGTTACCCAGATTCAGGTTCGACCTCGCCATCCCTGGGGGGGGGGGCCTGCGATAAGCGACGCAGTCGCCAGTTTCGAGGGCCGCCGGCTGGGGGGTCCAGCGGAGCGACGCGCGACGCAGATTCAATTAGACCTCGCCAACCATGGAGAGCTGCGATGTGCCACATTGCCGGCGCCTTCGAGGGCTGCTGGGGGTCCAGCGGAGGGACGCGCCACAGAAATCCAGATTCGACCTCGCCATCCCTGGATGGCTGCGAATTGCGAAAATGTCGCCACTTTCGAGGGCCGCCAGGGGTCCAGCGGAGTGACGCGCTACGCAGATTTAGATCAGACCTCGCCATTCATGGGGGGCTGCGATCTGCAAATATGTCACCACTTTCGAGGGTTGCTGGAGGATATAGCAGAGCGACGCGCTACGCAAATTCAGAGTTGACCTCGCCATCCCTGTGGGGTGCGTTGTGTGAAGCTGTCGACAATTTGGAAGGGTGCTGCGGCGTCCAGCGGAGCGGTGCAGATCCACACTAAACCTCGCCATCACAGGGGGGGGCTGTGACCCTCGAAACGATCACCATTTTCGAAGGCTGGTTGGGGTGTCCAGCGGAGTGACGCGCTACGCAGATTTAGATCAGACCTCGCACTCCCTGGGGGGCTGCGATCTGCGAGACGGCCACCACTTTCGAGGGCTGCTGGAAACCCAGCGGAGTGACGCGCCACGCAGATTCAGCTTCGTCCCCGCCATCCCTGGGGGGGTACGGTCTGCGAGTATGTTACCACGTTCGAGCATTGCTGGAGGATCCAGCGGGGCGACGAGCTACACATATTCAGATTCGACCTCGGCATCCCTAGTGGGCATGCCGAGGTCCTGACGCCGACGTCTTGCCAAGGCCAGAGAATGCACCGCGGAGTCCTTGTCGACGCCGGGTCAGAGGACGAGACGAAAAAATGACCTTTGCCTGCATCTCGACCTGATGAGGTCCGGGGCGACGACGGTGGACAGCCTGCTGACGATGCGCGACTCTGGCCTTGATGGCCTTACCCGCGGGACGGTTCCAGACAGGCAGCGCGCTGGCGGCCGTTTGGTTCCCGCGCTGGAACGCGCAGGAGTGAGGCGGAGAAGCTGGAGGGGGAGCTAGGCCTCGCTCGAATCTGGCAGTAGCATAAGGACCTCCCTGGTGCCGCCGCGTGGACTTTTCGGTTCCTGACGCGCCCTTCTTGTTCCCTCGTTGTCACTCCCATATCCTCTTCGAGCCTGGGGCCTCAGTCCTCGCTCGTCTGCGGCTGTCCAAAGCGTCGCTCAACGCGCGCATCCCGCGTAGCCTGCACAACAAACGACGGCGCCGATACGAACGCATTCCATGCAAATTTGGGCCCGGTTGTTTTTCTCATTCGATGCAGATGGGTTGGGTGAGCCATCGGGTAATTTACACACGCGGGTTCTGAAGGTCTCGGCCTCGCTGTCCCGATGCGTGTTCGGTCCCGGCCCTCCTGCGTTGGCTGTGTTATCGCTGTGAATGGTGCTCTGAGGTCGCGACCTCCTCCTCTCGCCTTCCTCATCCCCTCCTCCCCCCTTCTCTTTTGTCCTCTCTCTTACCTGGCTAGTGCGCGCCTGCCTGCCTCCCCACCCCGCCGCCCCACGTCACCTCGCCATCCATGGGGGACTGCGAGCTGCGAAACCGTCGCCAGGCTCGAGGGCTGCGGAAGGGGGGCCCACGCGGATCGAACGCGGAACGGGCTGCGGAAGGGGCTGCGGAACGGAGCGACGTCCCACGCGGATCGAACTTCAACCTCGCCATACATGGAAGGGATGCGACTGGCGAGTCTCATGCTTTCTCTCGGTCGGCTGCGGCTGTGGCTCGGGCGCGTCGGCTCCAGCTATGGAGAGGCGCGCTCCGCTGTCGGCGCCGCCGGCGCCGTCGGCGCCGTTTTGGCGCCGCCAGCGTCAGGGGGGCGATGCCGCGCTCCCCGCCCCAGCGCGGCATTGCCCCAGGCGGAGTTCAAAGGCCGGCGCGACCTGACTCGGGGGAGATCGGGAGCCTCGAGACGGGGGTCAATGCAAACGGGGGTCAGCCAGGGCGCCGGATCCTGCAGGATCCTGCGAAGACCCCCTCGGGCTGACCCGGGTTAGGGAGCCGCTCGTGGCCGCGGGGCGGCCGCGCGTATTGGCTGACCCGGGTTTGCGAGGACCTGCGCTGCAGTTTTTTTTTTCCTGCATTGCAGTTTTTGGTTTCCTGCTGACCCGGGTCTGGATTGACCCGGGTCAGAAGATCCCCGAGGAGAAAAAGATACGGATACGTGTTGTCCCCCGTCGTTTTCGGCCTTTCCTGGCCCTCCTGGGGAATCCTCGTCGTCGCCGCTGGATTCGCCTCGAAGTTCTGGTCAGAACGCACCCCAAGAGAGGTCCGGGGACAACACGTATCCGTATCTTTCCGCCCCCCAACTGACGTCTGAGTCAGCACCAGCGCGCGCGCGAAGCATGTGCAGGCCCCGCCGGGCACTGAGGCGCGACAGGCGCCAGCCAGCCTGCGGGAATTCAAACCGCCGTGGCGCCCGTGTGCTTCCAGTGTTGAGACGCCGCCCAAGTTCTGTCAGCCCGACGGCCCAGGGACTGAGGAGAGCTGGGCCAGGAGGAAGACCCACCGCGATGCCGGCGCGCGCGCGCGGTGAAGAAGCGTAAAGACTACCAGCAGTTCTTGGCCTCGGGCGCCAGGCGCCCGAAAACGCCAGTCCCAGACGACCGCGGCATCGGCGAGCGCACGTGGAAAAAGGACATGCGAAACTGGCGGTTTCAGATCCGTTTCGCGCTGGGCGCGCAGCAGCGCCCGGACGCCGTCAGCACCGGGGCGCCGCCCGAGATTTTTCGCCTCGGCGCCCCTGGGGCCGAGGAGAGCTGGGTCAGCAGGAAAACCAACCGCGATGAAGTCGTTCAGGCAATTAAGTGGCATAGCGACTACCAGCGCCTCCTGCTCTCAAACACCAGGCGCCCGAAAATGCCCAACCCCCGCGACTGGAACATCGTTGAGCGTTCGCGGGGGGGAGCGATCCGATCCGTCAGCGGCGGCGTCAGATAACTGAGGCGCCGAGTGGCGAGGCCACGCCATTGCAAGATCAGCTCAGCTCGGCCGATTTGCAAGAATGTTTTCAGGAAGCGCGCGCGACGCCTTCAGTGAATCCAGCGCAACGTCGCCAGCGACGCAGCAAGGGGGAGGGGGGGGCGGAGAAGGAGGGGGGGGAACAGGAGGGAGAAGGAGAACATGGAGGAGGAGCGCGGGGGCATGGGGGAAGGTTTGCAGCGGTCTGCCGAGGAACGGCTTTCAGTGTTTAGCCGAGGAACGGCCGTCAGTGCCAGGAACTTCCCGTGCGAGCCAGCGCTTGGAACTTCAGCGCTTAGACAGCCGGGACTCGCGCGCACTTGTCAAAACCATTGTGCGCGGCGCTAAGACGAGAGCAACATTTTGAACCCGAGCCGCCCTCAACCCGCGCAACCCGCCCACATTTGTATCGCTGATGCTCGCGGCGCTGAGGCGAGAGCTACATTTTGAAACCGAGCCCGTCAATCCGTGAAGCTCGCGCAACTTTTCAAACAAGCAAATGCGCGCGGCGCTCAGGCGAGAGCCGCATTTTGAATTCGAGCCGCCGTCAATCCGCGAAGTCCGCGCAAATGTTTATCGCTGATGTTCGCGTCGCTGCGGCGAGAGCTAGATTTTGAAACCGAGCCGCCCTCGATCCGTGAAAACCGCGCACGCTTAACGAATCGAGTGCGCGCGGCGCTCAGGCGAGACCTATATTTTGAAACCGAGCGGTCTCAATTCGTGAAACGCGTGCACTTTTTTAATAACCAATGTGCACGGCTGTGATGCGAGAGCTAGATTTTGAAACCGAGCCGCCCCCAATCCACTAAATTCGCGCAAGTGTCAAAGAAGGGAGGGCGCGCGGCGCTGAGGCGAGAGCTAAATAAAAAACAGCCTCCTTTAACCCGTGAGACATGCGCACATCCGTATAAGCGAATGCGCGCGGCGCTGAGGCGAGAGCTCGATATTGAAACCGGGCCGCCCCCAATCCGTGAGGTTCGCGCAAACGCTAAAAAGCGAATGCGCGCGGCGCTAAGGCGAGAGCCATATTTCAAGAAAGCGGCCGCCTTCAACCCGTGAAACCCGCGCACACTTGCGAACGCGAGTGCGCTCGGCGCTGAGGCGAAAGCTAGCTTTCGAAACCGCGCCGCCCTCAATCCGTGAAACACATGCCGGTTTTTCTCGTTTGATGCGCGCGGCGCCAAGGCGAAAACTAGAGTTTGAAAACGAGCCTGGGGTGAGCGGATTTTTGTTTTCCGTTTGCGCGGCGCTATTAATATTATTCCAGTAGAACCACCCACGGGAATGTAATCTCTCACGCGGTGCTAGATAACGGGGGGAGGTTCGTGCACGCTTCATGCGGGTATTCGGGTCCGTTTGGGCACACCCCTCACACGCTTCGTGGCCTTATAGGGAGCTCCACCGAAGGCTCCAGTGGCAGGATCCGCGTGCGTACTCAAGTCCATGTGGGTACACCCCTCACACGCTTCGTGACCCCATAGGGAACTCCACCGAAGGCTCCACTGGCAGGGTCCGCATGCGTGGTCCTCCGAAGGCTCCACTGGCAGGGTCCGCGTGCATTATTCGGGTCCACTTCGGCACACCCCTCGCATGTTTCGTGGCCCCACAGGGAGCTCCACCGAAGGCTCCAGTGGCAGGGTCCGCATGCGTACTCAGGCCCATGTGGGCACCTCTCACACGTTTCGTGGCCCCATAGGAAGCTCCACCGAAGGCTCCAATGGCAGGGTCCGCACGCGTACTCAGGTCCACTTCGGCGAACATCTCACACGCTTCGTGGCCCCATCTTGGGCTCCACCGAAGCTTCTAGTGGCAGACTCCGCATGCGTACGCTTGTCCATGTGGGCACACCCCTCACACGTTTCGTGGCCCCGTAGGGGGCTCCACCGAAGGCTCCAGCGGCAGGGTCCGCATGCATACTCGGGTCCACAAGGAGCTTCACCGAAGGCTCCACTGGCAGTGTTCGCATGGAGCTCCACCGAGGGTTCCAGTGGCAGGGTTCGAATGCGTACTCGGGTCCGTTTCGGCACATCTCTCACGCGTTTCGTGGCCCCATAGTGACTATCATTTCAAGGCCCCAGTGGGAAAATGCGTATGCGGCCACCCCGCCATTTCGGTACAGCCCTCACACATTTCGTGGGCCCATGAAGGGGCTCCACCATCGGACCCCTTAAGCTAGAAGCACTTTTAATTCCTGATCACGAGCAATGCTCGCGCGCCCTTGCTCTGCGGTGTTTGCCATCCCTATCGTCTTTCGAGTTTGCCCATCGGGCCCTCCAACGTATACCATCACACATATCGTCGGCCGGCAGCTCCCTTGTACCGGTGGCAGAAGAAGCACACCTGCCCAGTTTTCTTTGCCTTGCTTTGGTTTGGCGCATCACTACCGAGGCGTACCGGCCCTGAGGTGAGGTTTCCCATCGAACCCGCTCATCAGTCGCATCAGTGCAACCGGCATTCGCGTTACGACGGTGGTTCTTGAATTTTGCGGTCCGTTCAAACAAATCTTGAACAGGAGCAATGCTCGCGTGCCCGTGCTATGCGATTTGTGGCGTCGCTAGCGTCCTTCGAGGTTGCCCATCGGGCCCTTATGATCACGCATATTGTGGGCCGACAACTTTTCACGGGTGGAAGAAGAACCGCGTTTGCCCGGTTTTCTTTGCGTAGCTTTAGTTTGACGCATCATTACCGAGGCGAGCGGGCCTTGAGGTGAGGTTGCCCATCGGGCCCTCGAATCACTCCCGATTCTTGGCCGCAAGCAGTGCTCGCGTGCCGTTGCTCTGCGGTGTGTGGCATCGCTACCGTCCTTCGAGGTTGCCTATCGGGCCCTCTAACAACTGTCGTCGCGCATTTTGTCGGCCGGCAGCTCTCTACCGTGAGCGTATCCCATGTAGCCACGTGCCACGTGAGCGCACCTCATGTAGTTGGCACGACATATAACGGCACTTGCACTGCCATTGTCCGGGCAAATGTGGGGCAATCCTTATTGTCAATTGATGCGAATGGGTTGGGTACGTCGCAAGGTAAGTTTCTTACAAAGGAGAGCTCGCGCGATCTACAGATGCGCGGCTGGGCCCCTCACGACGCACTCGAGCAGCGCGTGCATGTTCAGAAGTGGGGTTCGAGTGTTGTTCCGTGTTGATGTTTCGACCAAATGTCGCACGGTTATGGGTCGGAATACGCATTCCCCACAGTCGCGCAGAGCAGTACGGAATCACATTCGGGTGCACGTCGTCGAGTCGTCGAGCAGCGGCCATTCCTCTTGGGCGAGACGGTGGCTCGAGTTGCGACTCGCCGTGTTCTTGTGCTTGCACGTCTAGCATCACGCATGTTCGTGCTGCCTCCACGCGCCCCGACCGCCAGAACGGCGTGTACCCGCCTGGCGGCGACCCGGAGTTCATGGGAAAACGGAGGGGACCGCATGGGCCGCGCGATTGGCGGGGGGGATGGGGAGGGGAGGAGGTCAGGGACAGTTACAGAGGGGGATGGAGTCGCATAGCCTCGACCTGCCCAGGAACGTGCGGATTCACTGTCGGGGGCATGTCGCCGAACTATCGGCGACGTATCGCCGATTCTATATCGATGCGCCCCCCCTACTTGCGCAAGTTCCCCCCCCCCCCTGCCGTTGCCCTTCAGGAGGAGTGTCGGCCATCCTCCCGCGCTCCGCTCCCGTGCTCGGCCGAGCGTCGGCACGACACGTCCCCGACGGCTGAATCGGGAGGGGCACGCAGGAGGAGGGCATCCCCTTGCAGTGGGGGCAGCGCGTCGTTCCTCGATATCCGTCTCCTCCTGCTCCTGCTTCTCCTGCTCCTTCTCCTCCTCATCACCATCACCATCACCATCACCATCATCAGCAGCATCATCAGCAGCATCATCAGTATCATCATCATGCATCATCAGCACCATCATCATCATCATCATCATCATCATCATCATCATCATCATCATCATCATCATCATCATAATAATAATAATCATAATAATCATAATAATAATCATCATCAGCAGCAGCAGCATCATCGTCAGCATCATCATCAGCATCATCAGCATCGTCATCATCATCGTTATCATCATCATCATCAGCACCATCATCATCATCATCATCATCATCATCATCATCATCATCATCATCGTCATTGTTTTCATCCTCATCACCATCACCATCATCCGCATACCAGCAGCAGTATCAGCCTCATCCTTCCTGTCATTCGCCGCTTCGTCCACAACCTCCTCATTTCTCCTCCAGCCCGACTCTGTCAACCAGCGCCTGCGGGGCCGCTGGAGTTTCCAGAGGTTTTGCCTGCCCGGCTCAGACCCGAATGTGGTTGCGGCTGCAGTTTCTTGCCTGTCCGCGCTCTGTCGGCAACGCCGCGAACGGGAGACTTGTCCATGTAATCGCTCTCGGGCAGTTGGGCCGTCGGAGGCCCGTAAAAGCGCGAACCCTCGAATTTCTCAAACACCTGATGAAAATCAGCGACTTGAGCCTCGTTGGGTCCTCCTGAAGGTTCGGTTCTCCTCAATGCCTCTTGGGCCGTATCCTGGACCCTATGCCGCCTGGAGGCCGTCTTGGGCCTCGCCAGCACGCGCCCCTACCTAGAAGACTGCGCTCACTCGTTGGGGGCTGTGGCCACCGGCCCTGACGAGCTGGTCCCTTACCGCGGCACTCGTGCGCGGCGCCGTTGGACGGTCAGCGTGGCAACCCCAGGGCCCGTGGGCGGATGACGCCGCCTGGCACACCTTGCGCGTGCCGATCGTGGCCAGGCCAATCCAGACCACAGACGACACGATTTTTTCGATCGCGGGTTCCTCCGTCATCTCGCCAGCTGCAGCTCGTCGTCGTCGTGATCGTCGTCGAGGGTCGGGCTTTGTTGACTGCGCCTGGCAGTCCCTGGGCCTTCCGACCCTGTGAGCACGAAGGGCAGAGGTCTCGGAGAGGGCATGGGCCCCGGACGTTTCCCCCGCCCACAAACAGGGTGGTGACCACACCGTGCGGTGAGACGGTGAGGATCCGGGGTCACCGCACGGTTTTGGGACTCGGGTCGTTCTCCGAAGACGTCTCGGGCGACAGGGGCCTCGGGGGTCCCAGAACCGTGCGTTGACAGACCGTGCGGTGAGGTCTTGGGGGATTTCGAGGTCACCGCACCGTCGGTCACCGCACCGTTTCGGGACTCCAAATTGTCAGGCCTCGGGGGCCCTCCCCGGGCCCCAGGACCGTCAACCAGCAGCGCAGGATGAAGAACTCGTCCCGGGAGAGGCCTCCCGGACCCGATTCCTTCGGGACCCGTCGGGCGTCGAGTATGGGGCGATCAATTGGGGGGGGGGGCGAGGACCGGTGCACTTTCTGTGCCCTACATGGGGCCCTCTGAAGGGCCCCCCCTGGGACCCAGAAGGGGCATGAACGGTGCACGTTTCTCCCCCCGACTTCTCGCCCCCCTACGAGTTTTTACGCCCGAACCCGCTCCAGTCCAGGGCAACCTCGAGATTCGAGTGCTGCCTTTTTTTGTTCACGCCGGGCGCTCTCGCTCGGGCCCCGGGGGGCTCGCGGGTCGACCCCGCTCGGGCATTTCGCCGCAGGAAGTCGGGGCTCGGGCTTCGTCGAGGGTCGGGTTCTCGATATTGGGCGTTTGTGAGTCCCGCTCCTGGCCTCCAGAGGCCTCCGAGGTTGCCCGCCCAAGGCCTCCTGGGAGTTGTTGGGGGGGCCTCTGGACCTGTCTCTCTCTCTCTCTCTCTCTCGCTCTCTCGCTCTCTCTCTCTCTCTCTCTCTCTCCATGCCTATCTCATCCTTGCCTCCATGTCCTCACCCTACGATCTCTCCCGGGACCCCTTGCCTGGATCATTCCGCAGGGGGGGTGGGTTCAGACCCTTCTGCATTTTCTTGTGCTCAGGCGCTGCCGTTCGTGTCGACAAGGGGGTGACTAGTCTATCCCCCCCCCGCGTCCTTTTAGAATATGTTGGACCATTCGCGCGTTTCGAACTGGTCCTCCTTCTCGCGCTGCGCACAAAGGTTTCGGGGGCGCCCAATATCATCCCAAACTTCCGCTGGAGGCCCGAGTTACGCACGGTCCGAAAACCACTTGGAAGATCGAGGTTCGAGGATCGAGGTTTTTGAACGCGCTCGGCAACTATTGCGAAAAATGGATTAAAAAAAGCAAAGACAAGAAAAACAAGCGTGCTCCATGCGAGGACAAACGAAACGCAGGAAAAACACGTGTGGAACACGGCCACGCCTCATCTTCCTGCCCCTCCTGCCGCTCCTTTGTTTTTCTTTTAGAATGTGTTGAACCATTCGCGCGATTCGAACGTGTCCTGCTTCTCGCGCTGCGCGCTGTTAAAAATTCGGTTCCTTCCCAAAACGTTTCTCATTCCACGTTCGCTCTTATCGCGCAAGTCCCGCTTTGCTGCCGTTCGTTATTATCGCAAGTTTCAAACGCACGTTCCCCGTTTTATCAGGGTTCGACTTTCTTGTTTTTCGCACTTAGCGTCTCTCAACTTGTTGCACTGTGTTGCTTTGTACTTCTCGCACCTTTCGTCCTTCTCACACTTTGTTTGTACATGTTCGCACTTTTCTGGTTTTCTACTTTTCGCACGTTTCTACTTTTCGCACGTTCGCACTTTTCGCGCTTTTCTACTTTTCACACTTTCATACGTTTCGCGCTTTTCGAACTTTTCGCTCTTTTCGCACTTTTCTACTTTTCTACTTTTCGCACTCTTCGCACTTTTCTACTTTTCGCACTTTTCGCATTTTTCGCACTTTTCTACTTTTCGCACTTTTCGCACTTTTCGCGTCCGCCACCGGATGTTCGAGACGCTTAGATAGCCGGCTTAGGTCCTCCCTACCCCGTCCTGCTCCTCCCACTAGTGGGGTTGGCAGGCGAGAGATCTACATGCCCTCCCATCTACTCCCTCGATCACTCCCTCCCCCCTGCCCTGCGAAGATTATTCCCTCCCCTCCGCACTCACTCCTTGCTCCCCTCTTCTTCATCCCTCCGCCCCACAGTTGGGGCGGGCGGCGTGCAGGCAAGAGGTCTCGTTGATGGAGGTCATGTGTGAGGCCGAGGCGGCCGTGCAGCCCCCGCTGGGGGGCAGAGGGGGGGCAGAAGGCAAAGGAAAAGAGTCGGCACGTAGATTTCGATCCTCGCTCCATTCCCCTCTCCATGGTTTTCTTCTGGGATGTGCACATCGCATCTCATCGAAGAAGAAACCATTTGCATAAACTTTTGGCGCGTACTATGAAGCCCAGGCGTCAATTTCCTTGTTGGGCACATGGTGGCATTTCCAAGAGAAGGCGAGATCCGATGTGATGTATTGCCAGCCGGATGTGTGGATCGGCCAAACTCCGACGAGCAGGAGAACACAGTACGATATTACATCACGCCAGCAGTGCGTTCTGCTGTGTACATGCATCGAGGTCTGAGCAAACGGCGGATGAGCTAGTCAAAGAGGACATAGTGGATCTGGTGCACCAGAGAATATACAACAACACATTCCTGATTTCTGCTGACGTACACAGCGGACGCATGGCGAACCAGAGTTGTGCACGTCCAGGAGCTCATGCCGCCGCAAAGATATTAGTCAAAGCGTATGGAGAGGGAGTGCAGTAGTTGATCGACTACATGAACGGGGACACTTGACACATGGAAGTTCTGGTGGATCCACGAGCTGAACATCACGAGAACGTGGACCTCTGCACACCGACCTTCGTAGATGACATTGCGCGCAAGATTGTTTGAACGTATGCGTAGCTGGCCGCAGTTGCAAAATGGGACAATCAGATCGTCGATTCTGATTTGGGGAAGGTTGGAGGAACCCAGAAGACGCAGGCATAAAACAAGTCTGCATTTCTAGTCAGCAAAGTGTTTCATGAGCGTCAGGCCCTTATCAAAAGTCAGGTACTACCTGAAGTACGGCATCTAGGAGGTTGGCCACATTTCAACAAAGTCTTCTCGGCAGAAGAGTATGGCACGCGGCACAAGATGAAGGAATGCTAGTTGGCTCCAAGGGCTTCGCCGAGGTACAATGGCATCGTTACACGGGTATTCGCCATCAACGCGGCCCCGGCAGACTTTGATGTCTACGTGCTAGACGTGAGGACCCCCATCACCGAGCAAACCTTGGCCCCCCATACAGCAGGCGGTATTCAAGTTCGCGGGGGTGGTCTTGAGGGGCAGGTGCGCTAGACGTCAAGCACAGAGACAAACCGAGCGTCAACAAATCAAGCGTTTCAAACACATCTAAGTTTTGGGACACCACTCACGGCGCTGAGCATCAGGATGCGCAAACAGTGTCAGGAGATCGCATAGTATCAGCAAGCACGTCAGCAAGCCATAGCAGCACCAGTCGGCAGAGCAACATGGGCCCTTTATGGCAATGCAATGTTGGGCCAACGGCAAATACATGTCTAGCTCAGTCGAAGAAGGACGTCCACGTTCTTGAGGGTGTTTCAGAGGGAACATGGTCATTGGACATTCGTGGATGTTTACGCAGCCTATTCAGGGGACAGAAGCCTCCTGCAACATCCTTGTGGCTGAACTTCTGTCTCATAAGTGGTCTATCTCTCTCTCTCTCTCTCTCTCCTCCTGGGTTCCCCCAAGTCGCCAGAAATCCCCAACAGGAGCCAAGCGAGACCCAGGAGGGTAGGTTTGTCTGTCCCGTCTGCAAGCACACGTTTTTGCGACAGGATAGTTTCACGCAGCGTTACGGTTTGTGCCGAGGGGCGAGATGACACCGAAGGCATCTTCTGACAGCGTTTTGCCGCAGATCGGATTCCTCACATTGCCGCGCCGTCGAACTATCACATTCTTTGCCAGTCCAATTTTGCCGTCAGAGCCACTGCGCAGTGGCACGTCGTTTCGGCAACCTCGCGCAAGCGTTGCATAACTAACTTCAGCGTGAGTGCGCCTAAACGACATGCATGCAGCATTGCCCTGTGTCCTTTGTGATTTGTTTGCTCAAGCGCCATAGCTGTAAGCCAAGTATCCTGCGGCTGCACAGATCTTGCCTAGAACCGAGAAACACACTATCACCGTCCACGTCGGCCTGGCACACTGGACCAGAGGAGGCGCAGGCGGCAGACAACCAGAACCAGAGCGAGCGCGAGGCCGAGAAGGGCGAGGGGGCTCGCTCGGGCAAGGTTCCGGACACCTCGGAGAGGCGCCCACTGCGGCAGCTGGGGGCGCGCGCCAGGGCGAGGGCGGCCGGAAACCATGACCTCAGAGGCCCGTCGTGTTAGTTTGTGCTTCTGGGAGGGATGGAAGCAGCCACCGTGGCAGGTGCCCTCCGCCACCCGTAAAAAGGACCATCACCGTCAGCTCGTCCTCCTCCCTCCTCCTCCTCCTCCTCCTCCTCCTCCTCCTCCTCCTCCTCCTCCTCCTCCTCCTCCTCCTCCTCCTCCTCCTCCTCTCTCCTCTCTCCTTCTCCTCCTCATCCTCCTGCTTTTCCTCCTCCTCCGCCTCCTCCGCGCGCCAACACCAAAGTGGAGCCTCTTCCTTGCCCGACGTCTGTGGCCGCTTGGGCCCAGGCGCGCGGCCGGTTCAGAAGAACATGCGCTCACCTGGGGCATCAAGTTTTTGTGAGTGGCAGGCGCCCTGCGCCCAGGGCTCCGGCACCGCCACCCGTAAAATGGGCGTCACCGTCACCTCATTTTCTTCCCCTGTTGACCGCTATCGCACCGCTACCAGGGTTCTGCGAGGATGCCACATGTCCTAAATCCTGCCGAGCACCAGCCCCCCCTCGCGCTCTCCCCCCGGCGGCCAGCCGCGAGGGATCCGGGCGAGTGCCGCGGGGCGCACGCCCGCCGACGGCGAGGGGCGAGCGAGAGGGAGGAGGTGCGAGGGGCGCGGCGTCGACCCGCGGCCGCAGGACGTCGGCCTGCTGGCGGACTGCGACCTCGGCTGCGACGGCGGGGCCGCGAAGCGCCGCGCGTGGCCGGAGGAACGCTGCGGGGGCGCGGCCGCCCTTGCCGTTAGCTCGAGGCCTCCCCGGCGGGGTCGGAGCGGGTGGGGTCGGAGGACGGTGCCGACCCTCCTGCCCTCCCCTTCCAGCTCCTCCCCCCTTGTCGCCCCGAGCGTGGCTGTGCGAGTTCCGTGGGGAGCCGAGCTTGCCCCTGGTGAGGGCAGAGGGCGAGGAGGTCGGGAAGACAGAGGAGCTGAGGAGGCCCTCAACAGCTGCGGTAGTGCAGACTCTTAAGACGAATGTGCGCGGCACTATCGCGGGAACAACATTTTGAACCACCCGCTTACCATCCATTTGTGAAGCCAGTTCTCAAGTTTCAGGATGGTAAAGGCTGAGAATATCTCGGGCAAAAAGCCAAAGCCGAGCCCGCTCTACCAACAAGGCTTGGGGGGCGGCAGAGAAGAGTTAGTTGCAATGAAGAGGGATGGATGAAGAGGAGGAGGGGGGAGGATAGGGGAGGAGGACGGAGTAGGGGGGAAGAGGGGAAACAGGAGGAGTGTGAGAAGATGGACCACTGTAAGCCCAAGGCCCATCAACGATATTGCAATAAACCATCCTTCCAAGTTCCCTCTTCATAGGCCACTACGAGAGTTAATTTTCACTGTAGGAATTGCCCGATCTGAAGACAACCTGTACCAAAACGCGCTTCCTGGGACTACCACGCCACGATTCACAGTTACCGTTGCGACTCGGCGATCTTGGTCCGTGCCAGAAAACCATTCCTGGGACACCAACACGTTGAATCAGCGTACTTGTTTCGCCCTGACTGTCCAACATCGTGCCCAAACACTGTTTCTAGGACGTTAGCCGTGAGAATATCGAAACCTGTTGAAAGGCTAAAGCGAGTGCGCGCAGGTTCGTGCGAGATCCGCATTTTGAAAAAGACCCGCCCTCCATTCGTGGTGAAACCCATGCAAGTTGTTAAAACGACTGTGCGTGGCGTTACACGGCGAGAGCCACATTTTGAAAACGACCCACATTCCATCCGTGAAACTCTTCCATATTGTCGAAACAACGGATGTGCGCGGCGCTAATGCGAGAACCAGTTTTGAAAACGCCCCGGCCTCCATCCGCGAATTTCTTGCAAATTGTTAAAACGAATGTGCGCGGTGTTACGGCGAGAGTCAGTTTTGAAAACGGCCCGCTTTCCATCCGTGAAACCCCTCCTAAGTGTCAACATGAATGTCCGCGGCGCTAAGGCGAGAGCCTTATTCTGAAAACGGCCCGCCTTCCATCCGTGAAGCTCCTCCAGACTGTCAGAACGAATGCGCGCGGCTTGAATGCGACAACCGCATTTTGGAAGTGGCCCGCCCTCCATCCCAGCCCGCCCTTTCGATCGGCCTCGGGGTGCGACGTGCAGGGTGCATTTGGAAAAAGAACGGATCGGATGCGTAAAGAGGGATGATGATGACGATGAGGAGGAGGAGGAGGAGGTCGAGGGGGATGAGACGTGGAAACCCTCCCTCCCCCCTCCTCCCTCCCTGTCCCTCTTCCGCTCGTGCATCCCACCCACCTTGACTGGATCCACCCCTCCACCTCCATCCTGTGTCCATCCCTTCCGCCTCCCCTCTTCCCTGACCCTGATTCATCCTTCCGTGCCCTCCTCTCCTCTCCCCCCCATATTTTCATCCATCCCCTGGGGGCACCTCCCGCCTCGTGCCGCCGAGGATTGCCCTGGCCTGCTCGCAGAAGGCTGGCCCAGCGGAGAGGACACCAGCAAAGGAGCAGGCGCATGAGCAGGAGGAGGAAGAGGAGTGGGCAGGAGGAGTGGGCAGGAGGAGGAGGAGGAGGAGGAGGAAGAGCATGTGCACGATCGCATGTTCAGGCAGTCCGCGGCGTAGGTGGAGACCCTGGTGCGCCACAGCGACGCGCCAGGAGGAGGAGGAGGAGGAGGAAGAGCAGACCCCCCCCCCAGATGGCTGCGCCGCTTTCGACCCTGAAGCCACCAGCAACAGCCCTTCCCCCCCCCCCGTCTGTCTGCACCCCCGCTTCCCGGCGCCGAGCGGAGGAGCCGTCAGGGAGGAAGGAGGGTCGAGCATCGAGGAGCCAGGTCAGGTTTGTGTGTTGCGCGTGTTTCTCTGCGGGAGGCTTCTCGTTGCCACGGCTGTTGAAAAGCTCGTGGGAAGCCCTTGCGGATGGCCTTCGGGGGCTCTCGAAAGGCGCCTTCGAAAGGCTCCTGGAGTGTTCTCGACAGGCTCTCGAAAAGCTTTTGCGGTATTCTTGGGGAGGCTCTCGAATGGCCCTTGGGATGCTTTTTGGGGGCTCTCGAAAAGCTGCTGGGATTCTCTTGGGAGGTATTCGAAAAGCTCTTGGAGTGCTCTGGGGAAGCTCGCGAAAGGCTCCTGGGGTGCTCATGGGAGGCGCACCTGAGGCCCCCTGAGAGGCCCCTTTGGAGGCTCTTGGGATGTGTTCGCAGAGGAGTAGGAGGAGGAAGAGGAGGGGGAGGAGGAGGAGGAGGAGAGAGAGGAGGCGGAGTGATATGCCATGTTTTATCGACGTGTGCTACTGCGCGCTACTGCATGCAATATGATTGTTTGTCCGTGGCAGTGCCGCGCATTGCATTGCCATGTGTTCCGCGATTGCCGTACCATGGAATATCCTGCCTTGTCGGACCGCGTTTTGCAAAGACATGCCGGGTGGTTCGCAACGTCGCCGATGTCGTCGTCGTTGTCGTCGTCGTCGTCGTCGTCGCCGTCGTATCGATAACCCATCCTCGGTAACGACGGCAACGACGACGACGGCGACGACGACGCGGCGGCGGCGACGACAATGAGGAAGGCGACGACGAGGACGACGACGGCGGCGGCTGCGGGGACGGCGACGACCACAGCACTGGCGGCGACGACGACGACCACGACAATGACTTAACAATAACGAAGCCGACGACGACGTCGACGAAGACGACGACGACGACGTCGACGACGACGACGACGACGACGACGACGGCAACGACGACGGCGGCGACGGCGTCGGCGTGGGCGACAACAGCGACGGACAACGGCGGCGACCGCGCGGGCTCAGCACGGAGAGGACGTGCGCGAGGCTGCGGCGGGGGCGCAGAAGCTGGGGCCGTCCGCGGGCGGGCCGGGGCGACAGGATGTCCGCCGCAGCCCCCGCCGCCCCGCGCATCGGGGCTCGAGTTTTCGAGGCCCTCCTCCTCCTCCTCTTCCTCCTCCTCCTCCTCCTCCTCCCTCTCCGCCCCGCCTTCCTCCTCCTCCTCCTCCTCCTCCTCCTCCTCCTCCTCCTCCTCCTCCTCCTCCTCCTCCTCCTCCCTCTCCGCCTCGTCATCATAGGGCGCATCATCATCATCATCCTCATCCCCCACCTCCCCTCTCGTGTTCTGGAGATTCGAGGATCGAGGCCGAGGGCCGGTACTGGCGGCGGCGAAGGCGACGGCGTTGTTGCTTTACGCCGCCCGCGGCTCGAGGCTCGACCGAGGCCGAGTGCGGCGGCGACGCCTACGGTAACGGACGGCTACGGCGATGGCGACGCTACCCCCCGCCGCCCCGCGGATTTGCAACACGTTGCAGCACCGCGGAGTTGGCCGCGTGCAGCACGCCACCGCAGTTGCTCTCCTCCAGCTCCCGGCGAGCGGCCCGCCGCATCGAGAGCCCGAGGTCGTGCCCGACACCAACAGCGGATCGTCGCACCTCGTGGCTCGACTCGCGATCGAGGGGCGGAGAATTGGGAGGCTCTTGCTCGGGCGCCTCCGGAGGTCCTGGCCCCCGTTCGGGCTTCCAGAGGGGCCTCCTTGGAGGCGGCTGGCAGTGCTCCGGGCCCCCGGTGCGCGGGCTTCCAGGAGGCCCCCATTCGTGGAGGTTTCCGAGAACCTCGGGAGGGGTGGAGGGGGGCAGCAGGAGCACTGCCGTGCTCCGTCGTTCGGCTCTTCGTCGTCGTCGTCGTCGTCGCCGCCGCCGCTCCCGTCGTCGTCGTCGTATATCTGGCGGCCTCTGGCCCATCCCGCCACCGCGCCTGGGTTGTAAGTTCGAGGCCTCCTGGATGCCTGTGAGGATCTCCTGGGATGCCTCTGGGGTACCTCTCGGATGCAGTTTTTGGGGTGTCCTGATTTGGGTCTCGCGAGGCCTCTGCCTCTCGGGCGCAGCTCGGAGGCTTGTGGGGGGATCTCGGAGCCATCTGGGGGCGGGGGGTCAAAATGTCAGCTGGTTTTCCCCATCTTGGGTTTTTCTTTGGGCCGTCTTTGGGCTCTTTTGGGCCTCGCTTGGATGCTCTTTGGCCGTTTGGGGGCGATCTTGGGCGCCTCTTGGGCTATCTTAGACGCGCTGGAGACCGAAAAGGCGGTAATGCGATCATGTATACATTGAAACATCGATTTGACGAGTTGGGTTTCTCGGGCAGCCCTGCCGGGTCTCCAAGACGGCCCAGAGGCGCCCAATAAGTTTCCAGGACAGGCCCCTCGGGCCTGCATCATGTCCCGGACTACGCGCTGTTGGCCTCTCGAAGAAGCACGCGGGGACCTTCCAGTATCGTGCGAGACCGCCCGGGAGCGCCCCGTATTCTGGGTTGTGGGCGCCTTTTGAGGATGCGTAACGCAGCGCAGAGAGTTCGAAGGGATCTCTGGACTTTCCAATTCGTGCTTCAAGGCCAGGTGGCGGATACTCGCCGTCGTTGCAGTTGCCGTCGTCTGCGTCGTATGTCGTCGGCGCTGTCGTCGTGGTGCGCAGTCGTCGCAGTCGCACGCGGTCCTTGTAGCCGTTCTCGTTTTCGAGCAGTCGTCGCAGCCGCGCGTGGTCCTCGACCGCGCGGGGGGGTCCAGGAAGGGCCCCGCCCGCGGGGAGCCGAGAAGCGGACCTCCCCTCCTCGGAGAGATCGCATCGCCCGCCTACCTGTATAACTTTCCCTGTGTTTTCTGGTCCGGCAGGACGGCGGGCCTCGCCGAGAGGACTGCGTCGGCCGAGCGAGACTCCCGGCGACGCGCGGGAGCGATCCGAGGGCGCAGAGCGAGCGCGAGGAGGTGGCCGGACGCGGGCGGGAAGAAGCAGGTTGGGCGTCACGTGATGAGGAGGAGGAGGAGGAGGAGGAGGAGAAAGAGGAGGAGGAGGAGGAGGAGGAGGAGGAGGATCATAAATGGTGGGGTGGCGAGGGTGGTCCGAAAAGGTACCCACATGGTGCCTAAACGAGCCCCCTGGGGCTCCGGAGGGGCCCGAAAGGGCGCAGGGAAGGGGACCGTTTCTGACCCCCCCATCTATGACCCCCCCATTAAGCCACGCCCAAGCAGGGCGAGGCCTCCGCCGCCGCCGGAAGGCCAGCGGAAGCCCGGAGAGGCCCCCCGTCCAGGTCGGGGGCGCGCGGGCGATCGCGCCCCGCGGCCTGGGCTGGAGAGCTATTCTTCGCCAGAACGGCGCGAGGGCGCGGGGGGAGGTGACCTTCAGGGAGTGGGCTTGACTGAGGAGCACTTGCTTTTCAAAATGGGCTCGGTCGTTTTCCTTTGGTTTGCATGCGTTCCGCTACCTTCTTGGCGGCGAGCCCCCCTGGTGTTCCTTCGGACCTCGTAGACTTACGTGGAACAGAAGGGGCCTCGTTCCTGATTTGTCGTTCCTTAGGTCAGGCCGAATACCGTAGGAGGCGTCGGCGTCTGTCGATCCGGGGCGCAGGAGTCGGGCCCAGTGGTGCCCGGGACGCTGCCGCGCCTCCCGAGGCCGCCGGGGGCCTCCGACGGCCGCCGCCGCCGCAGGGGGCGACCGAGGCTTCCAGGGTCAATGTTCGAGCCGCGCGGTCCGATTCGATGTGTGGTGCACCCGGCCCTGTGCGATTCGATCCCGGGTTTCTGACGACCAGGCGCGGCCCTCTTCAGTCGGGGCGCTGAAGAAGGAAAACCCTTCTCGCTGGGGAGGGGCGCCGTGTCCCTTCATTGTTTTACAGCGTGCCTGAGGTTTTCCTTAGGCTTCCCATGGGGAATCGAAGTTTGACTTATGGGAAAAAGGGGCCCCGTTCCTTGTTTGGGGTTCCTTAGGTCATCGCCCCGACTGTATTTGCATGGCATTGATGTGTTTGTTCGGCCGATGTGGTTCCAGCCTCGTGCCGGCGCGGCCCGTCCCGGCGCAGAGAATTACCGGACCGAGCAGGTTTTCAGAGTGGAGGTTGGCTGGTGTTGCAATTCCTGGGTTCCCATCGAAAGCAAACCGCACCACTCTCAAGATCCGAGACGGTTTTTCGAATTTTCCCCTGGCCATTGGCGACTCGGAGAATAATGGCGACCCGAGCCTCCCAGAGGCACCCGCGAGTTGAGGGCCTGGGGCAATTGAAACAGCAGCATTTGCAAATTATAATAACGAAGACACTAAAGATTTGAGGACGCTCCACTCAGTGCCTCGCGGCACTTTGGCGGGCAAGTGTGTGTCCCTCGTCATGTCTTGAAACGACGTGTCGGTGGGCGATGTGGGCCTTTCGTCTGATAGTTCGGCGCAGCGTATGATTTCAACAGCAGCTACACATGTGGAGGGGGGATAGTTTTCGAAACGCGATTGACTGTCAATCGTGCGTTGCCGCACACACCATCCGCCTTCAGGTTTGAAACAGTTACAGGAATGGCGTCCATGTGGTTTTGAACATGCGTTTCTCGCTCCAGTGCCGCGAATAATCGTTGCAACAAATTCCATGCGTAATGCCTGCAGGGATTAAGCACGGGCCGCTTCGTTTCGTTACTTTCGTTATTGTTTCAGCGTTGCGCTCATCAGTCTTAAAATGTTTCAGCAGTTACACGGGTTGAGTACAGGACGGTTGAGTCAGGTGGTTATCGTTTTAGCGCCGCCCGCGTTCCCACCGTGCAGCTTACACGGTTGGAGCGTTGGCCGTTATCAAAAAGTTGTTTTTTTGAGACCCCCAAGGTCGGCTAGCGTGCAGCTTAACATTTCTGAACACAGATGGTGGATTGTCATGTGTCAACATTTGGCTCTCGCTTGGGAGTTCCTTCCGTTGTTAGACACGCAATTACACATGCAGGGCGCTTCCTTCCAGCAAACGACGATTTCGCACTGGCGCCGCGCACACTTTTAGTGACATGTCTACCTGGATGGAGGGCGATGCCCCCTCCAATTGACTGTGGAGTGGTAGCGTTTGAGGTGGAATCTGAACATGCCGGTGATCGAAGTTCAAGGCACCGCAAGCGTTCGCCGCAGAGTCGTGGTAGATATGCGTTGGATTGCGAAGAGGATGCTTTGGACGGGAGCGTGTCGCGCAGCATCAGGGTGCGTGGTGGGTTAAATCTGGCCGTTGATTCGTATTCCGTTTCCGTCTGTCTTGGAGACGAGGCAGGAGTGAGGATTCGCCATTGCCCGAGCCAGTAAGTCAAAGCTTCTCTTCAAGGCAGCGCGCGTGGTGAGCTGTGCGGTTTCGTGACGGCTGGCACACGTATTATTGCGTCATATTTTACGCAATGAATATTCGCGACGGCAAGTGAAGGTTCTTGCATAGTGGTTGTTGGTTCGTCTTGGCAGGACCCTTGCGCGAGGATCAATGCGGTAGAGGCGCCCCACCGCCCTCGATGCATCGAAATACATAGCACGGTGTCTTGTCACTTTGCTTATCTCTGCTTGTTGTCTTCTGTCGTTGTCTCTCGTTTGTGCGTTTTTTTGTTTCTCTCTCTCTCTCTCTCTGTCTCTGTCTGTCTCTCTCTCTCTCTCTTTCTCCCATTTCTCCCTCTCGTTCTCTCTCTCTCTCTCTCTCTTTCTACACTCTCTTTCTCTCCCTCTCCCCTTTCTCTCTTGTTCTCTCTCTCTCTCTCTCTCCCTCTCTCTCTCTCTCTCTTTCCCCGTCAATTTTCTTTTCACCTGCATGTATAGCGTATGCCAAATTTGTGTGTATTTAGGCATATCATTATCTCGGTCTGTTCCTTTCTCTCTCTCTCTCTCTCTCTCTCCGTCTTCCTGCTTATATGTATGTGTATGTATGTGCTGCTCACGTGCCTGGATGTCGGTAGGGCAGTGTCTATGTATGTGTACATTTCTATCGTTATGTATGTGTGAATACGTCTCTCCCATCCTCCATCTATACATAGTTGCATATGTGGACGTATGTACATACATGCTTTAATCCACGACACATGCACTTGCAGTTATGTCTCGCTCCCTGCCTCTCTTTCTCTCTCTCTCTCTCTCGCTCTCTCGTTCTTTCTCCCTCTCTCTTTCTCTCTCTCTCTCACATTCTGATTCGGTTTACGTAATGTATGTGTGTGTGACTCTGTCCTGTATGGTTCAGAAGGCACCTGTGCCTACACAGTGGCCGTCGGCCCATCCCGCAATTGGGTTTTGCTCGTGGGCAACATGTCTCGTGGATGCCTTCGGGGGGCTCGACTGTAGTGATCGATGTTCGGGGTGGTGGTGGTGGTGCAGGCGATGTACCTGCAGGGGGCCAATAGTTAGGACAAATGCGGGAGGCGCACACTAAGTAGCAGTCGTTGTATGATACCAGTAGTGAGTGAACGAGCGTGTGGTTAAGTTTTGAAGCATGCTGAATAGTTGCTTGCGGATTGCAGGCCGTGTTAGCGACAGGGTCGTATGAATGGGGTAAAGGACAGAGATTGTGGGAAGGGCGTCAATCTCCAGTTGAATGACTCGATTTCTGAACATCTTGGGTGATTTCGGTGTTCGGCCCCAAGCCAGCTCGGCGAGGAAGACAAAGGGGGTGTGGAGGGAGGGGGCCCCGAGTAGGGGTAGGAGGGGGAGAAGGAGGAGGTGGTCGGCTAGAAGGACGAGGGGGGGGAAGGAGGAGAGTGCAGGTGGAGGAGACGGACGAGGTGGAGCAGGAGGAAGGGCGTGAGGATTATGAGGAAGTGGAGTAGGAGGTGGAGGCGGATGAGTGAGGGCGATGAGAGGAGGTCGGGAGGAAGAGTGGAATTTGACGGAGGTGGGATGTTGACCGATTCATCAACTTTACGAGACGGCATGCATAACAATGGATATCAGCATGCAGGGAGCGTGAATGATACCGGTGGGCACTAGCGTGCATGAGATGCGAATGATGTTACCGATGTGCAAGTGCCGATCCGCTCACGCGGGGGAGGTAGCCCGACCTTGCTTTGACACTTGGCCCCGAGCATGCGTCTCCAGAGCTCCTGCTGCCCGAGACGCGGTTCTTGTCGGCCCGAGAAGCTAATCGAACCACACAAAAGACCGCTTACGATCCGATTCGATGCGATTCGATTCGTTGGTTGAGGCCTCGATTCCGATCCGAATCCATTCGCCAGTGTCGGTCCGGACCAGCCCGAGCCAGTGGAAGCCAGGCGCCGCGATCCGATTCCGTCTCGATTCGGGACGATGCGTTGCCGATCCGATCCGTCTCCGATCTGACCCGACATCGCGCTAGGATCCAGCTCGGGCGTGCCATGCTCGTGCAGTCCGTGTTCTGCGAATTCCGCGGCGCTTGCCCGTGGACAGGCCGACAGACCGACACGTGTTTCGTTTCAGAGTTGTGTGTGCCTCTCCTCTCCCTCCCTCTCCTCCTCATCTCTTCCTCACCCTCCTCTTCCTCCTCCTCCTCCCCCTCTCCCAGTGGGATGGTGGATACCTTTAGCGGCTCCTCTGCTTGACTAAGATCGAGTGTAGTATCACTTGACCGAGTGCAACAGAATGCAGGTAGATAGAGGCAGTAGCCAGGTATGTTTAACTACAATCGCATTACAGCTCAATGATGCGGGTTCGCAAGCTACAAACATTTGATGTTGGTAGCGGTGTGTATTCCTCACGTTTTACTTGGACAACAGCGGCCCCCGCCTGATACTCCCTCGCAAGTGATTCCCAAATCGCGCTCTCGCGCGGTACGTCCTCACAACTTATTGAATCGCTTCGCTCATTCCGCCGGCCCGTATTGTGCCCTCGCTGGCGTTTGGGCTTTTGGGGGCTTTTTGGGGTCCTCGTTGAGGGTTTCTTGGGGGCCTCTTGGGTTTCGGTTGGAGCCTCTTTGGGGTTTCTTGGAGCTCCTTTGGGAGCATTTGGGAGCATCTTGGGGCTTCTGGCAGCCGCTTGGGAGCTTCTTGGGGGCCTCGTGAGGGCCTTTGGGGGGCTTCCTGGGGCTTGAAAGGGGCCTCTTGGCGCCTCATGGGGGCCGAGGGCTCGAAATGTTGTTTCGTGTTTCCCCTCTGGGACTTCTCTTAGAGCGTTCTTGGGGCCGTTTTGGGCCGTCTTGGAGGCCTCTTGGGCCGTCTTGGAACCCTCTTGGGCCGTCTTGGGGCCCTGTCGGAGGTCTCTCGGTCCTCTCAGGGCGATCTTGGGGGCCTCTTGGGCCGTTTTGGGGCGTCGCGATGCCGAAAAGGTGGAGACGCCCAAATCTCCCCAAAACCTAAGGAAAAGCAATGAATGTTGCCTCTTGGGAGTCTCTTGGGACTCCATGGCGGCGTCTTGTGGGCCCCCAGGGCCTCGTGGGGGGCTCCTGGAGGCCTCTTAGGGCGGGAGGGGGGGTAGTCGATTGCGGCTCCCCCCTCGGAGGCCACGATCCTCGTGAGGGTGTCGAAAAATGGCCCTCCCCTGGAGTGCTCTGGTGGCTCCTCCGAGGACCGTGCCTGGGTACTTTTCGTCCGGGGACCCCCAGGGGCCGCCCCGCGCGCGCGAACTAGAAATACTGTGAACCAGTTACCGGAGATCTTAGCACGCCTCTGGCCCGTTGGGCCGGCGAATTCAGGAGGCGCGCTCTCGCGTAGGACCTCCTCGCAATTTATTCAGACGACGCGACCTCGACACTCAGGAATCACGCTCTCGCTGTGGATGTCCTCGCGATTTCTTTTGGAATCGCGCTATGGCTCGAGACTTCACGCGATCCATGCAGGACGCACGCTTGAGCAACCCGCCTGCTCGACCTGGCCGCCCGGGCCCGCCTTCCCGACCCGCCTGGTAGGGTCTACCCGCCCGATCTGCCAGTCTGGTTCTGCCACGTGTTTCCTGCTCCTAGCCCGTACTCCATCCTCCTCCCTCCCCATTGTATTGTCCTTCCTTCACCCATTCTCTCTTCCCCTGCCCCACGGGCTGCGCGAAATACACGTTGCAGGGAAGAAGGATATACCCCCAAGGGGGTACGGTCGAGGACGAAGAGGGCGGGTATCGAGGGTTTGGGATATACGTGTTGATTGGCACGCGAGCAGATAAGAGCGAACAGTCTTGAAATTATTGGTGTTGTCGTTGTTGGTGTTGTTTTTGTTGTGGTGGTGTTGTTGTGGTGGTGGCGGTGGTGGTTGCTTCTGTCGTTGGTGGTGTTTGTGTTGGTGTTGTTGTTTGTGTTATTGGTGGTGTTGTTGTGGTTGTTGATGGTGATGGTGTTGCTCTTGTTGTTGATGTTGTTGTTGGTGGTGGTGTCATCATCGTCGCCGAACCAATTCTTTTTTGTCGCCTTCGTGGGACACAGACGAATCATGTTGGTGTCGCCCTTTCGTGCGTCGCCAAGTGCCGAGTATAACAAATTGTGTCCGGTTCCCGCGTTGCCATCAGGCAAAAAATATCAGAATGCCATTCATGGTTCGCCCCCCTTCGCAGGTAGAGCAACACGATTTGTTTCGTCTCCCTGCGTCGTCCCCTGACGAAAATAAGGAGGGCTGGCGCGCGGGCGGGTGGGCGGGCCAGCGGGCGAGTGAGCGCGTTTATGTTTGTTGTGCACTAGCGGGTTGGTAGGTACAGCTGCTCTCACGGCGTAGCTGTTTGGAGTCATTGCGTTAGTGGTTGTTGTTTGGCGTCGTTGTCGTCATCATCGCGTTAATGGTTTGATTTCTCATTATCTGTTCACGTGCTCTCTGCGAAGCGCCCAGATGCGTGCGAAACCCGTTGCCGATGACAACGACCCCCGCCCTAAAACTGAAAATTCGGGGTAATAGAAATCCGTCTCGCCAATGGGGGAGTTTTTGAAATTAGGGCAGGCGTTTTGTATGGTGTTTGATTGGTGCCCACGTGGCAAGCTCAGTTTGTGCAAGCTCAGTCTGTGTATGTGCGGTTTTATTTCGGGACAGAGATGCTTCAAGGGAAGGGGGGTCGGAGAAACGGTTTTGTTCACAGGGCCGGTTGTCCTTGATGTGCGCGCTGGGTTTCTGGCGGCAGCGAGGGGATCAGGCCTTCATCCAGGCTGTCCAGCCCCCTTGATGCGTTGGGGGGCTGCCCCCCAGGAGCGTCCAGAAATGCCTTTTTCGCCCTAGGAAAAGTCGTTCGCCTGCGGAGGATTTTTCACGGGCGTGTATCGGAGCGGGTGGGGTTCCAAGGGGGAGGGGAGTTGAAGATACGATTGCGCGATTGTGTTCACAGGGCCCGTTGTTCTTCGTGGGCGTTAGGCGTTCGGCGGCAGCGACGAGATCAAGTCTTCATCAACAGTTTCCAGCATCTCGATGTGTTGGGAGGCTTCTTCCCGAAATTTACCACCAGATCGTCCAGACATTGTCTTCGCTTTACCGAGAGCATTGGTTCGAGCAGATTTCCTCGTCCGCCCGAGTTTTTGTTCTCGTTCGCCCGAGAAAATGTCCTCGCTCGCCCTGCCGCGTGTCCTCGTTCGGGAGGATTGGCTTCCCCGCTCGCCCGCCGAAACTTCCTCGCTGGCCAACACACATCCAGTTCGCATGGCGACCCCGAGGGGGCCCGCCCCGCAGCCGTGGTGGCGCATGCCCCGCGCAGGACACGACAAGGCCACCGTCCACCCTGTGCCCTCGAGTCAGCCGTCTCGGAGGAGCAAGAGCTTGTCATCGCTCAGACGTGTGCACTTTTTCTTCGGCTAGGGCCAACGAGGAGCACCCTCGATCATCGAGCCCCCCCCCTAAAAAAACACGAACGAAATCGACAAAAACGTCCGAGCGATGGTGAGAGCCACGCGAATGATACGTTAGGGAATTGCCAGGTTGTTTTGTTGCCGAGCGCGGACTCCAGAGACGAGGGCCACCAGTTGCTCCGGATGTCCCAGAACGTCTCCTGAACCAGAGGCATGACGACAAGCGATTCTTCATGTTATCCCAATATCGATCCCCCTCCCCTTCTGCAGACCCAAGAAGCACAACGAGGCACACAGAGCCTCGATCCCCTCCTCCTCCCTCATCCCTCCCGCCATCCGTTTCTCCCTTGCCTGGCGTAAGCGTCTGCCTGGCGAGCCCAGGACGTGCTCGTCTTCCGCTCGCCCGCGATGGTCTATTGCCCCGAGGCTCCGTCCTGAAGCGGAGGATATGAAGGCTTTTGGACGTTTCTGGCCCTTCTCGGTGCCTTCAAAGGCCTCTGCCTCGATTCGCAGGGGGGTTCCTGCAGCCTCCGGATACTCTTGGGACCTCCGCGGGGGCTGTTTGGAGACCTTTGGAGACCCTACAGAGTTCCGGCTCAGGAATTTCGATCGGGAGGTGGTCCCGCAGAATTTTCGGCCCCTTCCCCCAGACAGACGTCTCATACCGGAAGCGGTGAAAAGCCAGCGATGTCGATGGTTCGTGGTGAAGGATGACGTCTGGGATTGGTGAGAGAAAGAAGGGGAAAGAGCGATCAGAGAGCAGGGAGGTTCGGTTTGCTGCCGACCCTCCTCCTCCTCCTCCTCCTCCTCCTCCTCCTCCTCGACCTCCCCGTCCTCGTCCCCCGGGATAGCACAATTCTGAGAACGGCGGGAGGTGGGGAGGAGAAGGGATCAGCGAGGGAGAGGTTTCTGTGGCCGATGGTTCCGTAAAGGATGGCCGATGGTTTTGTTTGCTCGACGTCCACGGAAGGCAGCGCCCCAAGAAGAGTCACGCCCAGCGGACCCAGACACCCTGGAGACTTGTAAGATCCGATGCGGAGCTCAGTCTCCATCCTGTTCCCGGGAGCCGGAAGCTTTTTTTTATCCAGGCCCTGGGACCGCGGGGAGGCGGCTCGGGATCAGAAGCCTGCCCCGTGAAGGGAGTCGGGTGGTCTGGGGGCCTTGTGTCCGTCGCAGTTCGCCGCCGCAGTTAGGGGGCCACATGCGAACCCTACCCCTACCCCCCACGATTTTTGAGGGGGAGAGTGGGGTTCACTTCGCTCGTGACCTCCCGAACGAAGTGAACCCCACCCTCCCCCTCAGAAATCGTGGGGGGTAGGGGTAGGGTTCGCATGTGGCCCCCTAGCAGTGTTTTTTTTCTGTGCGCAGCTCTCAGGGGCCGCGGGGGGGCCCAAGCCCAAGCACGCAGGCCGCCGCTGCCGCACCCCACGCCACGGCCCGCAGGCCGCCCTCCAGAGGCAAGCCTTGCCTCGGGCCGCTCCTGCAGCGCCGCCGCTCGGGCTTCGAAGCCTCCGAGCCGCCATAGGAGGAGGAGGAGGAGGAGGAGGAGGAGGAGGAGGAGGAGGAGGAGGAGGAGGAGGCAGGTGTTCGGGGGGGCGCACCCCGCACCTCGCCGCCTGGTCGCCGCAGCGAGCTGCCCCTCGTGCCCCTGGGGGCAGGCGCGGGTGCGCGAGGGAGGGCCGCGCGTCGCGCCCCGTCGCGGCCTGGCCCACAAGCCTTCCCCTCCCCCCGCCCGCTGCCCCTCCCCCTCCTTCCCCCCCCCGCCCCCTCCCCGCCCCCCCGCGCTTCCCTTTCTCCCTCCCCCGCCCCCCCCCCGCCCCCCCGGAGACGCCCCCACCTTTCCTGGGTCCACCGCTTCCTCTCTCTGCTGCGCTCTTCCGCCCCCCCCCCCTGCCCTCCGCGACCAGCACCACCGCTCTCGCCGTTTCCGGGGGTGCCAGCGGACGTGGTGAGGCCGTCGCCCCCGCGCCCAGTCGCCAGGCTGCTCGCGCGTTGCGCTACTCCCGTAGCTCCGCCCTCCGGGGGCACTGGGGTCCGCAGTCGAGTCAAACGCCCCCTTCAGGAGGAGGAGGAGGTGGAGGAGGAGGGGGAGGAGGAGAGGTTAGACGTTGCCATCATCCGATCAAAGACCATGCCATGTAAATGAGGAGGAGGAGGAGGAGGAGGACGAGGAAGCTCGGAGGATCGCGCCTCCCTCCCCTCCGGTCGGGGCCGCCCCTCCGGTCCGAAGCCCAGGCTGTTCGGGCCCCGGCCGGCGGAAGACGGCGGGCTGGGGTGACGTCGACGTCGCGTTTTTGTTCCTTGCCGGTTGTTGGCCTCCTCGGCCCAAGCCCCCCGAAGCGAAGGTGTAACAAGTGCCAGGCTGTCCGCAGTCGTGTCGGACGAACGGGGGGTAGGGCAAGGGGGCTTACGAAATCTGTTGCATGCGGCCAGTTTCGGCCCCGCGGCCAGGTGCTGCCTTCGATACCTCAGCTCCCTCGGAGCCAGGAGACGGGAGACCAGCTGCGTGAGCCGATTCGCCAAGCCTCGAATTGCTTTTCCCGTCCCTCCCTACCGTCTGACCCGACAAACGGGGCCGAAGCAGGTGGGCTCGGAGGCTCGCGCCGCGTGGCCGATGCATCGCCGAGGCGGCGATCGGGTCGTCCAGCCCCACAGGCTGGTGCCGCCTCTGGGCGGCCTCTGTCCCCGTCGTTGTCAAACAGCCCAGCAGCTCGGCGGAGGAGTTCCGTTGAGGAGGGGCACCCGCCGAGGGGCGTGGATGCAGGAGGAGGAGGAAGGAGGAGGAGGAGGAGGGAGGAGGAGGAGGAGGAGGAGGAGGAGGAGGGAGGAAGAGGAGGCGGAGGAGGAGGAGGAGGAGGAGGAGGATACGCTTCAGCATCCCGCGCACTCGGAGGCTGGGGGCCTCGGTGCGCCGAGCTCCTTTTGGCCGACCTCACGGGTCTGTGTGGCCTTCGAGCACGTTCCACCCCCATCGCAGGCCTCGAGGTTGGCACCAACATCAATATCGGCGGCGTGCCTCCACCGAGGGAAGAAGATCCCGGTCTCGGTGATGGTGGTCCTATTCTGGCTTCCAAGGTGGCCGAAATATTACCACCAACACCGAATTCTAGGGTCATCTTCCCCCTGTGGAGGCAACCCCCTGTGCTGGTGTTGGTGCCAATTTCCAGGCCTCCAACCCCCCATCCCATCTTCTGCAGGGACGCCGATCGGGGGCGAGAAGTTCGGGGGCAGTGCATCGGCTCCAGACCGCCCATGCGGCGCCGATGTGAGGGGCCCGACAGTGCACCCCGCCCGGGAGCGTTTGGTCTCGCGGTCGGGTGCCCCTCGCCGACCTGTCGGCGATGCAGCGCCGATTCCGGTCCGACGTGTACCCCCATGAAGCCAGTCTTAAGTCGGGCCTGTCCCTCTACAGGGGGAATATTCAAAAATACTAAAACAACAGTCTGGGGACGGTGTTTGAACTGTTTTGATCACGGTGTTTTAACTATTTTTGATCATTTGGGGAATTTGTGTGTGTGTTGACTGCTTCATTTTTCCAAAATCCGCCTGCAGGGGGACAGGCCCGACCTGAGTGTACCCCCATGAAGCCCGTCCCTCTCTCGCCGGGTGCTGCTAGAAATGCCCCTGGCCCAGGGTGTCCCCGGTCTTTTCCCGAGAGGCCCCAAGCGGCCTGCGGAGAGTTCCTGTCACGAGGTCCAGAGGACAGCCTCGCGGTGCACCGTTGAGAGCCCCTGGCCTCGGCGGTGCCTTCTCCCATCCCAAAGTCGGCGCGATGACGCGCGGGGCGACAAGGGGGAGTCCTCCGTCCCTCCCCCGTCCCCCACGCCACAGCGGGCAGGCGGTAGAGGCACGCCGCCCCCTGGGGCTGGTGGGGGAGCGGGGGGGGGCTTTGTGTGCGAGCGCCGCTCGCCACTAGGATGAGTAGCAGCAAGAGCAGCAGAGGGGGAGAAGAAGGGAGGCGCGGGAGGAGGAGCAGGAGCAGGAGGAGGAGGAGGAGGAGGAGGAGGAGGGGGAGGAGGAGGAGGAGTAGGAGGGGGAGTAAGGGAGGAAGGAGGAGGAGGAGGAGGAGGAGGAGGAGAAGAAGAAGAAGAAGACGGAGGAGGAGGAGGAGGAGCAGGATGGATCAGGAGGAGCAGGAGGAGGAGGAGGAGGAGGAGGAAGAGGAGGAGGAGGAGGAGGAGGAGGAGCAGGAGGTGGAGCAGGAGGAGCAGGAGGAGGGGGAGGGGGAGGAGAAGGAGTAGCAGCAGGAGGAGCAGGAGGAGGAGAAGGCCTGTCCCGCCAGCTCAGGCCCAACAGGCGGTCCTGGCAGCGCGCCAGCAATTCGGGCGCCCATGGCGCCGCTGAGGATGTGGTGGCCGGTGGCCGTCCGATGCAGCCACGCGCGAGGATGAGGATGAGGAGGAGGAGGAGGAGGAGAAGGAGGAGGAGCCGCACCAGAGGAGGCCGGTGGAAGTGGAGGAGGGAGGCGGAGGAGAAGGGAGAGGGCGACGGAGGAGGACGCAGGAGGAGGTCGACGACGAATCGCCCAGATGCCCAGGCTGCGGGAGCGTTCCCGAGCCTGGCCGGCGACGGGGCCAGAGGCGCTCCCGCCAGCCGCCGCGGCGCCGCTTCTTCGGGGGACGCTCAGCGCTAGTCGCAGGTCTGCTTCGGTCGCCCTTCTCCTCCCGGTCTCCCTCCTCACGCTCGCCGCCGTCCTTCCTCCGACTCTCTCCCGCTTTCCCTTCCGCCCCCGATCCTCCTCCGCCTCGTCCTCCTCCTCCACCACATCCTCATCATCCTCATGATCATCCCCATCCTCCTTATCCTTTCTCCTGCTCCCCTGCTCCTGCTCCTACCTCGGCCACGTCCTCATCGTCCTCATCTACCTTTTCCTGCCCCTCTTCCATTTCCCGTCTGCATTTCCTTCGTTACCTTGCCCCTCCTGATCCACATCATTTTCCTCCCTCCTGCTCATCCCTCTCGCCTGTGCGTCCCTCCTCCTCCTCCTCCTCTTCCTCTTCGTCGGTGTCATTTCTCTCCTCCCTGCTTATCCATGTCTCATTCTCGCCCGTCTTCCTCCTCCTTATTTAAGGCTCTCCCCTCTGCAACAGTTTCTTCTCCTCACTCCTTTCCAATACTGTTGCCTCGGCCACCACATTTCCACGTCTTCATGCCGACGGCGTGTGCGAGGGCGAGACGACAACGATTTGTTTTGGATCAGAGGTGTCCTGGTCAGCACAGATGCCCCGGGCGCGTGCTGGGCGAGTGCCATTCGGGTCGGTGTCGGGTTGACAGCCACGCGTCAGGTCACGTTCAAATGCAGCAACTCCGTTGCCGGTGGCGGTGGCATCAGATGGGGCGTGCTGGCGTGAGGTTACGGGGCGGTCGCATTCACCGTGAAGAATTGGGGTTGGGGGAAAGGACGTTTGAGGTTTTCCGCCAAGATCGACCTCCTGGGGCCGTTTCCTGGGCGACAGGACGGTAAAACAGCAAAGAGGATGAACAGTTTGTTTTGTGTCTATTCGCTTGTATTCCGCCCCGGCCTGAGCGAGATCGTACAAAGGGGGCTCGCACAGCAGTTACATCCTCAGCACCACAGTGGAGCGTTTTTCTGGCGCCCGAGCATCACAACGCTGCCAGGCCTCCCTCCTTGCCGTGGCGCTCCGGCCCCCGCGCCCCCGCGCTCGCCGAGCCGACGAAAGCTTGGGCGGGGCGGACGGGGTTGGCCAGGGGAGGCCCCGGGGCCCGGCCGGCCTCCCCCCCCCGTCAGGGCTGCCTGTGGCGTCTGCCGCCGCCAGCGGGGGTCGCGGTAACCAGGCCGGGGCCGCGTGCTGCTGCCACCTGGGACAGGAGGAGGAGGAGGAGGAGGAGGAGGAGGAGGAGGAGGAAGCAGACAGGGACGAGGAGGAGGAGGAGGAGGAGGAGGAGGAGGAGGACTCTAGGATGCGATGACGCCGATGCCTCTCCACATGTTCGCCCTCTGCGCGACCCCACTGCAGTGTGCGGGGGTGCCCTTGAGCGCCAGCCTAAAGCCGCGCAGAACGATGCAACTGCTAGGAGCCAAAATGCGATACAATGCTGTTCTGCCATTCGCCCTTCTGCCACTCTTTCCCTCAGGCTCCCAACAGTCGCCGCAACTTCAAATAACAAGTAAGCTGGATGAGTGATAAACGCGAGACAAAACTAGAGAACCTTCCCGTCCCATGAGTCTCTCCGAGCTACGGGTGCGCGGCGGTTCCCAACACAGCTCAACCCTCCCAGGCCCTTGGCCGAGTCAACTGCTGGACGAAGGCCCCAACAGGGCGCTGGAAGCTCCTCTCACTCCTCCCGCCCCCCCCTTCCCCAACCCCTTCCCTTCCCGACCTCCCCCCCAAAAAGCTCCACAGGGTCTGGTGGCAACCGATCCGCCGCGACCTGCCGGCCCAGCTTCTCGCTCGGCCTTCCCAGGGGCCCTTGGCCGCGCGAGTTGCCGGAGAAGGCGCCAGACAGGCGCCGGGGGCCCCTCCTCCCTGTGCCCGTCCCCTGTGCCCCTTTCCCTGTTCCCTGAGAAGCCGTCCTCCTCCTCCTCCTCCTCCTCCTCCTCCTCCTCCTCCTCCCTCCTCCTCCTCCCTCCTCCTCCCCCTCCTCCTCCTCCTCCTCCTCCTCCTCCTCCTCCTCCTCCTCCTCCTCCTCCTGTTCCCTGTTCCCGGGGGCCCCTCCTCCCTGTGCCCCTTTCCCTGTGCCCGCCGCCAGGGGCGGGGCGCGGCCCTCGACGTGAGCACTCCGGGTGTGCTTGTGGCGTGGGCTCGGCCGTCGTGGTCAGCGCCGCGCCGACCGCTGCCAGCACGAGCCTGGCCTCTCGGTGCCCCGACGATTTGTTGACGGTGCGCAGGACATCCCCCAGGGTGTGTCCTCGATGTGGCGGTGGTCGCTTGCCGCCCCCGCCTGCCTCGCCTCTCCTGCACGACTGCGGCTTCCAGCCCGCGGCGCGACGGCCCGGCGTCTGGCTCGGCCCCTCTGCATGGACCCCTGCGGCGGCGCGCCGCCCCGGCGTCCTGGCCCGGCCTTCCCCCAGGCCCACGGCCAAGCACGCGGCTGGGCAGCGCGCCGGCACGGCGCCGCAAAAGAGACCCCTTTGCGTCGCGCAGACGTGTGCATTTTTCCTACGGCGAGGACCAGCGAGGAGCACCCTGGATCATGTGGCGTGGAAGAAAGCCACGCACGAAGCCGACAACAAAAAAAAACAGGGCATGGGCGTCCGAGCGATGCCCAGGCCCTCGCTCCTCCAGTCCCCACTCCTCGCACCTCCCGGCCCCGCCCCCAGAGCGTTGCCGATGCGAGGCGGCGTGCCGGCCCAGCGTCCAGCTCGGGCCCCTCCTCCCGTCTCGGCGGCGTGCTGGCCCAGCGTCCAGCCCGGCCCTGCCACCCAGGGCCGGGCGTACCTCTGGGAAGTGCGCCGGCATGGCGCTGCAGACTTCCTAACTCCTCTTCGCTTCCTTTCCTCTCCTCGGGGCCCCCCTCCCCAGAACGTGGCAGACTCGAGACAGCGTGCCACAGCCCAGCGTCTAAAGCGGCCCTCCAGGTCCCAGATGACCGAGCGAAACCGGGCGATTGCCCCGGCAAGGCGCTCTCAGCTCCAGACTCCTCCCCTCCTCAGCTCCTCACTCCCCTCCTCCCTGGCCCGTCCCCAAGAAAGGTCGCTGCGGATCCGAAGCCCGTGCCCGCCCAGCGTCTAGCTCCATCTTCGCAGGCCCTTGCGGGAGCGTTTTGCCCCCGCAGCACGCCGCTTAGGAACCATTTGCTATTGCGATGCCTCTCCCCACCCAACATAAACCAGAACCGCACCCCCACGAGTCGAGCCTGGGCGATCAGCCTGGGAAGCTTCGCCAGCTCAGGACGCCAGGGTGGCTCCACTGATTGAGCAAGGTACGGCGGCCGCCTCCCCCCTGGACGGCCCACCACGCCATCGGGGCAACGGTGCCCGCCGATACCGACGCGGCTGAAAATTGAGCAGGGTTCGTAAGCTGCACTGGAACGCCGGCTGACTGAGTGAGCATCTCAAGCTGCCGGGCTGCATGGAAGCGAGCCGTGTGCGCCTTGATGTATGCAACCATTGAAGAGACGTAAGGATTCGACGAATCCTCAGAAATCACCCCCGCAATGACCGCACAGACAGCGATCGCTGCCATTGCATACTAAGCACGAATATCAGACAGAAGGCCTCGTTGCACCCGCTTGCCTCCGGGGCTGGACAAGGGAGGGGGAGAGGAGCGAGCGGGGGAAGAGGAAGAGGACGAGGAACACGAGTGGGAACAGCAGTGGCTCAGATGCGGAGATCACTGCAGGCCAGCCACCAGGAAGAAGAGCTCCCAGACACGGGCCTCCTGGTTCCTTGGCGGCTGCATCCTGGACGCATGGTGCCAGAAGATGGCCACCAAAGTTGCATTCACGGTTTTGGCCGTGATCTTGGCCAGAACGGCCTTCACGAATTCGGGCTCGGTCCCTCCTACCTTCACCTTGTGCTGAAGCTCAGCCTCGATTCACCAAGTCTTGTCCAGTGTGAGGGACGCCGGGGGCGTCGGAGGCATTTGCCGCGATCCCCCGCCGCCGGGCGGGATGGCGCCAGGCTGTGGCCCCGAAAGCCTAGCAGCGGGCGGCGAGATCACGGACCCGAGCGGCTCTTCGAACTTCGAGTTCATGGCCGCCGCGAGGATGCGGCGTTGCTCCTGAAGGTTCTCCTCCTCTTTAGCCGCCTCTGGTGGCGAATCACCGACGAACTCGGAGAGGAAGACCCGCCCCAGGTCCCCCGCCCTCCACGAAGGCGGTCGCCACGCCGGTCACTCCCGCGGTCGCGGTCCCGCCCGTCTCTGCGCGCTCCGCTGCCGCCACCGCCTCCGCCTCTGCCCCAGCGCCCGCCCCCGCCTCCGCCGCCTCCGCCGCTGCCCATCCCCCTCGCGCCGTCCCGGCGGTCCAGCATCGGGCCCGGAGCCACGCGGGCATTGTTGCGCATGCGCGGTGTGCGTTGTTGGATCAGAAGCGGGCAGACTGTGCGCCAAGGCCCTCAAAAGACTGCGGGGGGGCAGCCCAGGACGTGCACTTCGACGAAAGCCTCCAGAACGAAAACCATTGAGAGATCATGCCCCGCCCCCACCAGCTGTCTGCACCGCGCCACAACACGCCCCATGATCACACCCCTCAACACGGCAAACGAGGTCGGCATTTGGCCAGGCCGCGACCCAAACGGCGATGCCAAGGAGGGACGTTTCGAAATGGGACGTCGGCAGGGCCCTCTGCAGAAGGTGCCGTTTAGCATTCTTCGGGGCGACAATGAGGCTCTGCCCGTGCACCCGGAGCTCGACGTCAACCCACGACACCACTCCCCCGGATCCGTCCGACCGGCACGCCACAGACAGCTGCTCAGCGAACGTCCCCTTCACGACCTCTATTGCGCACAGACAGCACCAGCCGCAGCTGGCCGCGATGATGTCGTCCACGTATCTGCGCCAACAGATGCATTGCTTCGCGGACCAGGGATGGAAAGAGAAACCAGCGGCCGCGTGGGCGAATCCGGGCTGGAAGTACACCCGCTCCTGGCGGGCAAGAACAACGGCCACGCATACTGCGCTCACGATCCCTCCCATCAGTAAACCGGCACATGAAGGCCGCGGAGCCCAGGCACATATATAGAAAGCGGCAGAGAACGCCAGCAGGGTTCTCGCCATGTCCCATGTTGATGAGGAGATCAACCCGGATCCGAATGTTCTGCGCGCGACACAAGGTTCGGATTTGATTTTTCAGTGCGCGATTCAAGTTTATTGCGTGTTGCTGCGTGCCTGCGGTCTCGCGGTGAATTGAATTCGAGAGGCGTGGCCGAGTTGGCCACGCTTCCAGGAGGATCAGGTAGCACGGAGCAATGAGGAGCGGGGAGTGGTGGAGCAGAAGGGGAAGGATGGGATCGAGAAGGCATCTGAGACAGGTGACGTGGAGGAACAGTGGTTGGAAGATGAGGAGGAGGGCGGCGAGTTCGAGGAGGTGGAGGAGAAGGAGGAGTACGAATATGATGACGAGGAGGAGGAGGAGGAGCGGAGGTGCAGCAGAAACCTCAGCACGATCACGAGGACGAGGAGGAGGAGGAGGGAAAGAGGAGAAGAGGACATGGAGAAGGTTCGAGGGGATTGAGAAGGTTGGATGATGAGGAATCCATGTGTTTAGATGTATGCGCTTACACGTGAATATCTACAAATATCGATGTACCCGGCGAGACACAGAAAGGGAAATGTGCCTAAGTGAGTAAAGTAGAAATAATGATGTTGTGTGTTTGCGTTGTGTTGTTTGGTTTACATTGTTCTGAGTTGCATTGTGTTACGCTGCTTGGCGTTGCTTTCCGTGGCGTTGCCTTGTGTTGCATGTGTTTCGCGTTGCTTGGCAGTGCGCTGCTTCGTTTTGCTTCACGCTTCTTCGCGCCTCCTGGTATTGCTCCACAGGTTGGCACCGCAGCGTTCTGCATCGCATTCTGTGGCAACTGGACAACTGTCGGGGGAGCGTAAGACCTGGGTTTGCCAGGACTCGGGTTCGCCATCGTTTTTTGACGACCGCGCCTCGGATTTTGACGAGGAGGAGTTTCGTGGGATGTCTGCAGCGGGAGGCCTCGTCAAAATGCAGGCTCGGCCTCGTCAGTTTTTTGACGACCTCGTCGGGGATTTCCGAGTCCCCTGTACCCGGGTCTTACGCCCCCCTGAAACTGGGGCAGGCGGGGCAACCTGGGGAGTCCGGGCAGCACGGGCAACCCGGGCAGTGCAGGCAGCCGGGCAACCAGGGCCATGCGAGGAGGGCCGGCCGGCCAGGCTGGGCGCCCACAGGACGGACCCCCTTCCGCAGAGCTGGGTTGGGGCATGGTTCTACAGTGGATGGAAGCCCATGCCAATCGGGGGTGGACAGAACCCCCAACAGTGACACGTCGATTAGTGAATTGTCCGTTTTCGGTTCTCGAGAGGGCGCCGCGGCCGTCATTTTCCAGGCTTGCGCCCGCCAGGTTTGGGCCTCAGGTCGTTTTCACTAAACCGCGTTTTACTAAAGGGGGTTCTGTCCATCCCCGAGCCAAGAAACACCCTGCTTGCCTCCAGGGTGCCCTGGGTATCTTTGGGTGTCGATGGCTTCGCTAGGGAAGGCGTGACGTTGCCATGCCAACACATCAAATGGCGTCCTGGGGTCTCAGTGTTGGGTTGCTTGTGGTCGAGCTCCCACTGTATGCGTAGACGGATACATATATATATATATATATAGAGAGAGATTACACATACGATAATCAAAGAGAGAGAGAGAGAGAGAAACAAACATAAAAATAAAGAAACAACAACAACAAAAAAAAACACAGAAAGCAGAAAGAGAGAGAGGGAGAGCAGCGACACTTGGTGGCGCTCGCCTCGGTCGATGGGCCGGTGGCGGAGTCTGGCGGGGCGCCGAGGCGGCCGAGGAGGAGGAGGACTTGCCGCCTCAGAGGTAGGCACGTGAGTGGTCTTTGCCGCGAGTGCGGCCCTGCCACGGAGACTGGTGCGAAGAACACACTTGTTCGATGCTCGTTCTGGGGACCTTCCTGAGGCCCACCTAACGGATCTGTTCGACTCGGGTTCGACTCAAGTTCGATTCAGGTTCGGCTCAGGTTCGACTCAGATTCGACTCAGGTTCGACTCATGTTCGACTCAGGTTCGACGCAGCTTCGACGCAGCTTCGACGCACGAGTGGAGCGAGTGGCTCCAGGAAGGTCCCCAGAATAAGCATCTAAGTCTTGGCCGAGAGTGCGGCCCTGCCACGGAGACTGGTGCGAAGAACACACTTGAGCCCCGTGAAGGCCAGCACCCTGATAGAAGAAGGCTGTGTTCGTGGACAGTGATGGACGCATCCCATTGCTGTAGTTACAGACTGCGTAGATGTCGGTGTCCCAGTTTCCCCTCTGGGCTGGAGGGGCACGGCGCGGCTGCCAAAAAAAATCCGCCCTGGACGATTCGATTCGGCCTGCTTCTTCGCTCTCGATCGCCTCGATCTGTGCGAGGGCAGTCCTCCGACCATCTCCGATAGGTAGAGAGAGAGAGAGAGAGCGAGAAAGAGACGCGGCGATCCGCGAGCCCGCGACAGCGTCTTCCACCAGCGGTGCCAGGCGGGGGTCGCATTCCGGTTCGATCGATCCGATTCGGTATCGGCTCAGGCGGGCTCGATCCCATCCGATGCCGATGTTCTGACGACCCGATGCGGTCCGATGCGCGCATGCCGATCCGTGTCGATTTCGACTCCGTGCCAAAGCAGCCCGACCCGTCGGACCTTCTGGTTCGATCCGATTTCCCGATACGATATTGTTGATCGTGCCCTCTTCAAGGCCCAGGCGACGTCCCCACCCCCCCACTGGACTGGGAACCCCTCCCTCGTACTCGCGCTCCGCCGGTACAGGAGCTCCACCTCGGGCCCCAGTGGGCGCGCCCGCATGCTTCGGCGCATCCTACACCCTAGGCGAAACTTAAGAAAACCTAAGTTTTCGTCCAGAGTCTCGATTATTCTTAACTTTTCAATGTAAATCCCAAGATTTCAATAGAAATGTTGGGTTTTTATTTAAGTTCTGAGACCATGAATTTCTTAACCCATGATTTCTTAACCATTTCGCGTGGTGTACACGCGTAATTGCCGTGCCCCATAAAGGGGGCTCTGCCTCAGGCCCCAGTGCGCGCGCCCGAGTGCGAACTACCCCCCACGCCCATGTCGGCACACCCCATCACACCGACCGTGCCCCACAGGAGCGGCCCAGGTGGGACCGCCGCATGCATCCCCTTGACGCCCGTTTTGGCACGCCGCTCACGCTGACAGTGTCCCACAGGGGGCTACGGCATAAGTGGTCTCCTCCTCCCCCTCCTCGTCCTCGTCCCTCGAAGTCTGATGTCTTCATCTTTTTTGACCCCTTCCCAGGGATTGGCGTTTCATCCCAGATCATTGGTTGACCGCAGCGGAACCCAGAAGCGGTTTGCAGAGGCCGAAGAATGTGATGAGAAATCTCCGCCTTGATCGTTTCAGGGCATAGGGAGCTATGCGACATCTTCGTTGAGAGGCTTGAATCTTTATACATATAGACATACATACGTTCGTTCACTCGTTCAGTCGCACATGCATACATACATGCATACATGCATGCATGCGTGCATGCATAAATAAACACATACCTACATTTAGACATGCACACATACATGCGCAAACATAGACATACTTACATGCATACATAGATACATACATACATATATATCTACAAACATACATACCCTCATGCATGCATTCATGCATTCATGTATGTACAAGTATATGATAGTATATACTCAGACATGTACACATACAGTCCCTACCACATGCATGTATACGTACAAACATAAACGCATATACACATACGTACATACATACATACGTACAAACAGCCAAACATGCATGCATACATGCATACATACATACATATATACATATACCCATGCACGCATGCATTGATACATACATGCATGCATGCAGATATATACATATATATATATATATACATAGATGCATGGTTGTATACGTTGCATTACTGTACAGCGCGTTGCATTCCAGTGCATTCCACCACATACCATTACAATACAACGCATTGTACTGCATTGCATTACACTGTAATGCATCACATAACTTCATGCAAACATTCATGCACATATACATACATACACCACACACATATACATACATAACTACAGACACACACATGCATGCACACAAGCATACGTACATATACACATGCATACATCCATGTATGCAGACATACACATGCACACATGCCCACATGCATGTATACAGGCATACGCACACGTACCTACAATTGTACACACATGCATGCATACACATGTGCATATATATATATATATATATATATAGATATACAATACACTACAGTACAGTACATGCCACTGTATTGCGGTACTTCGCATTACACTACATCACACGACATCATATACCATTACATTGCACATACATACATGAATGCATGAATCCATACATACATGCATACATACATGCATACATACACACGCATGCATACACACATGCATGCATGTGTATATATATATATATATATAGACATACATACATACATGCGTACATACACACGTTTCCGTCGGTGGCGAGGCAGAGACGGTCCGCGCCAGCGTGTGGCAATTCGGGGCAACCGATTGGCTAACTGGCCAACATGGGCCGAGGGCGGCCGCGCAGAGGCAGGGGGAGGGAAGAACAGTCAGACCTGGAAGAGAGTTCCGCGTCGAGCGGGCCAGGGCGGCAAGCCGTGGCAGCGGTGACCGTGGCAGCAGCCGGGCCAGGGCGAGGGCGCACCCACGGGCGTTGTCTCGGGGGAGCGTAAGACCCGGGTTTGCCGGGACTCGGGTTCGCCATCGTTTTTTGACGACCGCGACTCGGATTTTGACGAGGAGGAGTTTTGTGGGATGTCTGCAGCGAGAGGCCTCGTCAAAATGCAGGCTCGGCCTCGTCATTTTTTTGACGACCTCGTCGGGGATTTCCGAGTCCCCCGTACCCGGGTCTTACGTCTCCCCGATTGTCAGGGCCCAGTGACGATGTCGAGCAAGTGGTAGAAGCAGTGCAGGAGTCCAGGGGCTCCCAGCAGCAAAGTGCTGTGTCCCAGTGCGCTGGCTGTGCGAAGTTGCGCCCAAGCGCAGCGTCCGCAGCGGGGCGGCACCGGGTGGAGCTGGGCGGCACGCCAGGAGAGGCAGCGAGGCAGCGCCATGGCGGCGCGCGAGGAGGGAGGGAAGCGGGCGAGGTACAAACAGACACACACACACGTACACGCATGCATACATACAACACACAGACAGACAGGCAGGCAGGCAGGCAGACAGACCGACAGACAGACAGACATGCATACACACATACACGCACGCACGCACGCATGCACGCACGCATGCATGCGTGCATGCATGCGTGCATGCATGCATGCATGCATATATACACATGTGCTTCTCGTAGCGCCCGTGCCCTCGGCGCGCTCGGCGCTGGCCATGCGCAGAGGCCAGGGGGAGGGAAGAGCGGTCAGACCTTGGAAGAGTTCCGCGTCGAGCGGGCCAGGGCGGCAAGCCGTGGCAGCGGTGACCGTGGCAGCAGCCGGGCCATGGCGAGGGCGCACCCACGGGCGTTGTCGAGGGCGAGGCCAGGGCGAGGGCGAGGGCGAGGGCCCAGTGACCATGTCGAGCAAGTGGTAGAAGCAGTGCAGGAGTCCAAGGGACTCCCAGCAGCAGAATGCTGTGTCCCAGTGCGCCGGCTGTGCGAAGTTGCGCCCAGGCGCAGCGTCCGCAGCGGGGCGGCACCGGGTGGAGCTGGGCGGCACGCCAGGAGAGGCAGCGAGGCAGCGCCATGGCGGCGCGCGAGGAGGGAGGGAAGCGGGCGAGGTACAAACAGACACACACACACACACACACACACACACACACGTACACGCATGCATACATACAACACACAGACAGACAGGCAGGCAGGCAGGCAGACAGACCGACAGACAGACAGACAGACATGCATGCATACATACACGCACGCACGCACGCACGCACGCACGCACGCATGCGTGCATGCATGCGTGCATGCATGCATGCATGCATATATACACACATGTGCTTCTCATAGCGCCCGTGCCCTCGGCGCGCTCGGCGCTGGCCATGCGCCGCGCGCGCATGCCGCCGCTGCCTGGCCGGCGGCCGCGGCTGCGTGTGGGCTGGGCCGGGGCGCCCGCGGGCGCTGGGCCGCCGCAGGGGAGGACTGGGGGCCGCGTGTCGGGACGGACAGGCAGGGGGTGATTTTGGGGGAGGGAAGGGGGACGAACCCAGGCATGATCGCGTCGCGAAAAGAACACGACGGACGGTTTTTGGCAGTGTTTGCCGTCTTGGGGCTCTGGTTCCGGGGCCGCCAACAAGTATTCAAGATGGAAAAAACCGGTCTTTGGGCAAGGGTCGAGATCTCCAGGGACATTGCATTGAAAACGTCAGGACCTCGCATGTCTGGGAGTCTGCTGCGTGCAGCTGATTTCGGCGCCGCCGCGCGATGCGCACGGGCGTCTCCCAGCGCCCAGAGGTGCCTGGAAAGTTTGCTGCATGCAGCCGATTCGCAAACCCGCCCTGTGTTGTTCCCCCTTTTTTGTCCGAGCCGACACGTGTGTTTTTATGTCCTCCTTGGTCGTCGTCGCCGTTGACGCCGATGTCGTCGTCGACGTCCTATTTGGTCGGCCCCTCCTCAGATGCGGAGGGAGGAGGAGGAGGAACACATCCACACAGTCTGTTACCATAGGGAGGTTTAGTTGAGAGGCTGGGAGGACGGCAATGATAATTAGTGGGCGCCGCCGGGTAACTGCCCCCCCCGCTGCGTTCTGCGTGGATGTCTCCGGGCAGAGAGGGATCTCGGCCAGGCCTGCTGTCAGCAGCTGGCCAAGTGGCCCTCCGCACCGGACACCCAACAGCTTGCCCGGATGAGGCGAGCGCGTGCACGCCGACATATGGCGACAGGCGCGGGGTGCGTGTCGGGCGCGCTGGAAGCTCAACCGCCTGCCCCAAACCTGGTCGGGGGTGGACAGACCCCCCGCCCTGACACGTCGATTGGTGAGTTGTCCGGTTTCGGTTCTCGAGAAGGGCGCCGCGGCCGTCACTTTCCAGGCCTGCGCCCGCCAGGTTTGGGCCCGAGGGCGCTTTCACTCAACCACGTTTTACCAGGGGGGGTTTGGCGGCTGAGGTTGTGTAAGTGATATACAAGTCATTTGCTTGAGGAAAAAAAAAAAAAAACGTTTTACCAGAGGGGGTTCTGTCCATCCCCGACCTGGCCCCGTGCCTGCGACCTGGCCCCCGGCCGCTCCTTCGCGCCCCTCCCTCTCCCGGGGGCCCCGTCGCCTCTCTGCTCCCGCCGATGCCGCCCGCCGCTCCCGCCCGGCCTCCCGCCTGCGAGCCGAGGCCTCCGCCCCCCGCTGCGCTGGCCGGGGCGCGAAGGGGCCGCGCCTCCGCGGGCCGATCGCCCCTGCCCGATGCAGGTTCGATTTCGACGGTTTCCGATGCCGATGCGGACGATTTCGGACGATATCGTTTTCGATCTTGATTTCGTGCTCGTTTCGATGTCGTTTTCGATGGCGTTTCGATTTCGACATCGGTTTCGACGTCGTTGTTCGATCTCGGACGATATCTCAGCGGAGGTTTACCAGCCTGCCGGTTTCTGCCGATGCGACGTCTCCCGACTGAGTTGCCGACTTCCGCCGATCCGATGCACCTCGGTCGTCGATCCGATTTGACGATTCGATTTTGGGCTCGCCTGCCGTGTACCGTGAGGCTGCGGCCCGCGCGCAGGCGCGCGCCCGCGGCGGTGGGAGTTGATAAGCGCCCAGCCATCGCCAATTGGGCGGGCGAGCGGCGTCCGCCAGGCAGGGAAGAAGAGAGGATGGGGAGGAGGAGCAGGATTGGGAGGAGGAGAAGGAAGAGGAGGCGGATAATATTGATACTAGTAATCGTAATAAGAATTGATATTGTTATTATTCTTATGGTGAAGAAGATGATGAAGAAGACTATTACGAATAATGAAAATAATAACAAAAATAAGTATATTAACAATGATAATGATATTAACAACAAGGAGAGGCATGGGGGACGCGGGCATGATGCTTTGGTATCAGCGGTAAAAAAAAAAAAAACACCCGTCGGAGGCGAGGTGTGCCCTGCCCGCCCGCTGCACCGACCGTCGCTCCCGCGAGCTGCAGCTGCTGGGAAACGCCTCAGGGCCAGGAGGAGCGTGGCGCAGGCCAGGAGCACGCAGGCACCAGCGGGCTTCCACCAGGAGGAGGAGGAGGAGGAGGAGGAGGAGGAGGAGGGGGAGGGGGAGGAGGAGGAGGAGGAGGAGGAGGAGGAGGAGGAGGAGGAGGAGGAGGAGGAGGAGGAGGAGGAGGAGCAGGAGAAGGAGGAGGAGGAGGAGGAGGAGGACCGACGGCGCACACCGCGACGGCCTCGAAACGCCGACGCCCCCCCCTCCGCGCCACCGCCGCCGCGCGGCCCAGCTCCTTCCCCGGGAGGCCGCCCGTGGCGCGCGCAGCCCGCCCCCGCGGAGGGCCGGAAGAGTCCCCGCTGCGATGGCCGAGGCCTTCTCGGAGGTCGACGGCGCGTGGCGCCCCGCTCTGGTCCGCGTCCGCGCCGCCCTCGCCCTGGCGTCGGCCCGTGCCCGAGCCCGAGGAGCATCCGCTCGGCGGCGAGCGAGGGGGGGAGATGAGCGGGGGAAGGCCTTCTGAGGAGGTCCGCGGGAGTCCCCCCCGGCCTTCTGAGAAGTTGTCCAAGCGCCTTCCCCGAAGGCAGCAAACAAAAATCTCAGAAGGCCGGAGGCCTTCTGAGAAGTCCCGCCGCACGACCCGGAGGTCGTCCGCTCACTCGTCGGTCGACAGCACCACAGTGACGTCGCGTCATCCCCCCCCCCGTCGTTGCCGCAGCACCCTCCGGACGTCGACGAACCAGGGGCCACAGTGGCCATCGCCTCCACGACGCTGGCGCCTTCTGCCCCCTCGACCTTCATCTCGTTGTCCTGCGCGCCCTGCCGGCGAGGAACACCACGGCCGAGAGGAGGGTGCCCTCCGCCGCCCGCAGGGGCCGCGCGGACTAGCGCGGCTGGCCAGCGGCGAGCCCAGCCGTGGCATGGGCTGCCAAAGCACCCCCCCGAGAGACCTCCAGCGCCCGGTGGCGAGCGACCATCCCTGGGGACGGCGCGGCGGCGGGGCCTGCGCACCGCGGCACGGCGAGCTTGAGCCAAAACGGCTATGGACGAGGAGGATGCAGAGCTGGAGCAGGTGGAGGAGGCGGCGGCTGCGCCACGTAGCCTGGGCCCCCCAGCCCGCCTCGCCGTTCGTGGACGGTGCGCTCTCGGAAAGCAGTGGGCTGGTTTTGATCACAAAGACATCGGAAATGTGTGGCGCGGCGCCAGCGTCCAGAAGGTTAATATCGCGTCGACGCGGCGGCGCGCCCTCGCTTGGAACCCGCCCGCATGGAACGATCTTGTGCGGCCTAAGAGACGCGATCGTTCAGTGTTGGACGATCCACGCGGTGTCAGAAACCATCGCAGGGGTCGTCAGTACAGAACTTGCCGCACGTGGGTAAAGAAGGACAGGGCTGCTCGCGGTCCGATCCTGTCCGATCCGATCCCCGGACTTCGATTCCGATTCCGGCCCGATCCGGTCTGCATGAGCAAGGCCCGATCTGCGATTCTAACAACTCCGATTCCACGACCATTCCGTTTTTCGGTCCGATCCCATCCCGCGACGATCCAGGTTCGCGGCTCGTTCAGCTCAGGAGGAGCAGCGAGGAGGAGGCGAGCGAGGAGGAGGTGAGGCGAGGCGAGGGATGGGGAAGCGACTGGGGGGGGAGGCAATGCAGGGGGAGGCGAGGGAGGGGGGAAGAGCGGGTGGTGAGGCGCAAGCAAGGCAGAGGAGGAGGGGGAGGCGAGGCGGGGGGGAAGATGCATGGGGAGGAGGGCGAAGCGAGGCGAGGCGGGGGAGAGGGGGAGGAGGGGGAGGCGTGAGTAAAGAAGGACACAGGGGGGGCGGGGGGCGAACGAGGGGGAGGCATGGCCACCGAGGCCTCGATCGGCCCATCCCCTGGGAAGGAGCGCATGCTGCGCGCCGCGCGGCGTCGCGGCGCGGCTGCTGCCCCGGCCCCTGCCGGCCGCTGGGGGGCTGCCGCTGCCGGGGCTGCAGCACGGCAGGCCAGCGGGCGGAGTGGGAGGAACATCGCTGGGGGGCCAGTCGCGACGGTCGACCGGCCGCCTGTGGTCTTGTGCGGGCCGTTCTGGAGGTTGCTCGCCCCCATCGCAGACCTAGAGATTGACACCAACACCAATTTCGGCGGTGTGCCTCCACCGAGGGATGAAGATCCTGATCTCGGTGATGGTGGTAATAATCTGGCTTCCAAGGTGGCCAAAATATTACCACCAACACCAAAATCTAGGATCATCTTCCCCCTGCGGAGGCAACCCCCCTGTTTTGGTGTTGGTGCCCATTTCCAGGCCTCCAACCCCACTGCCGGTTCGCGCCGAAAGACGGGTCAGGCTGGACCTTGGGAGGGGCCCGGTGATGCTTGGTGGGGGGCCGATTTGGGAGCCGAGGCCAGGCAGACGGTGTAGCCAGTTAAGCAGTGGTGTGGTTTACCTTTCTGGGTTTCTGCGACAGTCCATTCCCGATGCGGGAATTGGCTGCAGAGAGAGGTTACTTGTGTAGAGAGTGCATGCAAATTCGCAGACCAATCGCGCCGGCATGATCGAATGACAGACACCACGCCGTTACGGTCACGGGCCGCACCGTTTGCCCGGCTTTTGGGGGGGATGGGAGGCTCGCAAGGCCAGGATCCAGGTTGTTGTCTCCATCTTTGTGGGTTCTGGGATGATTCTCGCCAGCGCGGCTGGCTTCCCTGCGAGAGTCTGGCCAACACGCACCCCAGGGTGGGGTCCGGGGAGGGGCGATTTCTGACCACAGAGGCAGAGGTCGCTGCGAAGCCCCAGGTCCTGGAGGAGATTGGTCCTGGAGATTTTTCGCCGCTGGCGGTCTCCCGAATATGTTACTGGACTTCAAGGCTCAAGGCCGTCAGAAATCGATTCCAGATGAGAACGTGGCCACGGCAAGAGTGGCAGAGAGCGGGGCAGATTCAGACCCTTCGTGTTGTGGACAACAAACAGCATATCTCGCTAGCGTGAGCAACCGCGAAATGTTGCACTCTATGTGGTACAGCCTGCGTGGCGCAGGCGAATCACGTGATGCAAGGCCTGTGGCGCCAGCTACGTGGTGAAAGCTATGCGGCGCAACCTGTCACCCAGCCAGCCCACCATGAAGTCGGGTTTGCCCCTCTACTGGAGGAATATTCAAAAATAGTCAAAAAATCGTTAGGGGAAGCTTTTTTGAGCACGTGTTGGCTCTGCTCGAACATGTTCTGGCAATTTTTAAGTGTTCCTCCAAAATCCGCCAGTAGGAGGACATGCGCGACCGAAGTCTACCACGGGCGACGAGCGGGCGAAAGCCCGGAACGTTCAGCCAGCGCACGAGGCGCCCACGGGCGGCGATTGGGGCGAGAGCCCGGGAAGACTCGGCCAGCGCGCGGGGTGCGAGGCGACCACGGGCGGCGACTGGGCGAAAACCCCGGAGTCGGGGAACGAAGAATGACATGAACATAAAAATTCGGAGGTCCGCGCGGAGTTCTCGGATCCGCGTTGGGGCCCCCTGGCGGCGCCTCCAGCTCCGCCCCTGGCGCGCTCCACGCGCCAGGGAGGGGAAGGGTCCAGCGCCGATCCGAGAAATCCGCGCGGAGCTGCGAGGTTTTATGCTTGCGGCATTCTTCGCTCCCTCACGGAAGGCCCGGCCAGGTCGCGTGGCGCCCACGGGCCCCCACGGGCAACGGCCGGGGCACCCAGCCAGCGCATGAGGCGCCCAGGGGCGGCGACTGGGCGAAAAAACCAGGAGCCCACCCGTCTGAACGTTTCAAAGTTTACGCATGGGCCCTGTGGTGCGAGCACGGCTCGGGAAAAAGCAAGACGGAGGGTTTTGGAACGTTTTCCGCTTTGTGGGGGGGGTCACTGCGGCTGGGGGTAACCAAAACAGAGTTTGGATGAAGGATGAAGAGCCGGCCCTCGAGAGGGGGGAATACCACGAAGGCTCCGCACTGCGGAAGTAACACGACGTCGGTGGTTTTGGGGGAGCGCAGGAGATCAGGGTTGTTGATAGTTCGTTTTCACTCGAGCTTCCGGGGGGGGGCCTTCTCGTTGCCACAGCCGGGTTTGAGAGGGAACGCTCGCGCCACATCTTGCATCATACCTCTCCCCAAGGGCTCCCCCGAGGGCGCGAAGTTATTCGCGCTTCGCGGTCCTCGTTCCTTCTCCCCCTCCTCCTCGTCCTCCTTTTCTCCCTTTGGGGGGGCGGCGCGAGAGCGCGAAGTTATTCGCGTTTCGCGCTTCGCGGAGCGCGAAGCGCGAAGTTGGGAGCCCTAGCTCCCTCCCACCCCTTACCATGAAGTTGAGCCCCCTCTATTCGTAAGACATGATCCCCCAAGAGACACCATCCTTACCTATGCAGAGGTGCTGGCAGCGCCGCGTTGGGAGTGCATCCAGTGAGGCGGAAGCTGTATCAAAGTGTCGAAGCGTGGAAGTCGTTAAATCGGGAGCCGAATGTTTGGTAATGCAGAAGTGCGGTCATTGGGCGGCGAGAGAGTCATTCCGTGGGACGGAGGATTCTGCGGAAGTTCTGGCATGTGGCAAACGTTGCAACGGGATTTGCGTTGTTGTTGCGACCAGCCTTGCGGCGAGAGCGTCGTTCCATTGGACGGGATGTCCATGAAATGTCTGAAACGTGGGTGGCCAACGCTTCAGCGAGAGCACCACTTGTTGATGCAAAGATTCTGCCAGCTCTGCGGCGAGGGCGGTTTACCGTAGGACCGAAGCTTTCTATAATCCTAACATGTGGCCGCCGCAGCAGAACATGTGAGGAACCAAGAACGTCCTGGTCGCAGAACCACATTGGATACCACACAAACAATGTTTAAGGTGGCGGGCCAAGACGGTCCGTAGCCATTTTGGCTCAAGTTTGGATCAAGCGATCTCTGCTCAAATTTTGAGCTGACTCCTTCGCTGACACGACGTATCGCTGCGCCGCGCTACGCTACGGAACGCTTCGCTACAATACGCTACTCTACGTACCATGATGAATTTGTGTTCGTTCCTTGTACGCGTGCTTCTTGGCAGCGCACTCACATCTGATGGTCTGTACGTTCAGCCATCGGGTCAAGACTCCAGAGCCCGACGCGGAGACAGGCATGATGGGTACGGAGATACGTGGTTGCGAACGGCTGAAGGTTGCCCCAGCCGGTCAATACCATATAATGCGAGCACGTGTGTGACAGATGTAAAGGATTACGAATCTTGGTTGCCTCCTCTAGACGTTTACAACTACTACAAGGCGCGCGAAGATTGGTCACGAGATCATAATGAATGATGGAAACACATCACTAAGCCAGCTACAAGGACCTGCAGCGTGCAACAGGCAAGAGTGGCACCTCATAAAGTTCACTGTGCATGGCTTCGCATACAATTTGTCAGTATTGGTTGGCAATTCCAAGTACCGCTTGACGGATACCAAGTGTGGACGAGGATCTCGCCGTTAACACAGTGTCGTATCGAGAACATCGATCCGGCTCTGCTCAAGGTAACAGGAGAAAATCAAGGGGCATCGGATCTAAGCACGATATGCTCGCAAGGTGGGAAGTATGATGTTGAACTTGGTGGATGTGAATGCGACGAGGGTTATTTTCCATGGACGGAGGGATGCAGTCAATCGCTTGATGATGAAGATAAGGTATTGTGTCAGGAGTGGTATACTGCGCATCCCTTGAAGTACATGCACTCAAGAGATTACTATTGCAGGGCACCCGGGGAAGCCAATTGGCGGAGCAATCCAGAGAGCGTTGCATTTGACATACCCGATGATTCGTGGGCAGAAAAACGATCGCTGACATGGTGGCATGCGCAGCACCTCTGGTATTTCTACAAAGATTCACCTGAAACCAAAGAAATGGATGAATGGCTTGCAACCAAAAATATATCACCCTCGCGCGTCGCCGTGCATGTCCGGCACAACGATGCGTGTGAGGATGATTATAACACATGGAAGTGTTGCTTCAAAAGTCGAGGACTATTCGACTCAATTGGACGTCATTGATAGAGTGTACGGTCCATTCGAACACGTCCACTTGGCCACGGATGATCATGCTGTAATTGAGGACGCTCAGCAGATTCGATGGTCTTCACGCCTCATCCGCCAATGGTATGATCGTGCCAAGTATCGTGGCAACGTTGACAACTCGGACATATTCGAAAAATATTCGGCCACAAGAGCAATCAAGCGTGATATACTTGCCATGTCAAAGTGTAAATCATTCATCCGGACAATGTCAAGTTCTGTCGCCTGGGTTACATATGAGTTGATGATGGCAAGGCATGGGCATTACGTACTTTTCATCTCGTAGCAAGGGGCTTTCAATGACAAAATTATCGGCGGAAGACCATTTCGCCCGGGGGTCTTTTAATTTTGGTGCCAGCCGCTGTTTGTTTGTGTAGCGGACCCGGCACCCTTTCACGCTCGAGCGCGTTCTCTCGTCAGCAGATGTTCAGAGACAGGTGCTATGAGAATTTCGTATTGTTCAGCACTGGGTTGAACGACACAATAACTTGTGGGTGACACACTCCGTCCTGCTCAGAGGGTGCGGACATGTCCGTTTGCCTCCTCTGCGTGGGTGCCTACGCGCCTGCTGCTACAGCGGATAGGCCAGCTCCTCTTGCCGGCGCCTTCCGGCGAGCTGTTCCTGCTGTTTCCACGGTCGCCCAATAAGCAGAGGAGCGTTTATTGTGGAAAAAAAGGTGGCGGGCCAAGACGGTCACAGAGGAGGAAAGAAGTAACCAGATATTGTTGATATTAATCCCTTGGGGATTATAACATTCGGGGTCCAGGCGGGATAATGATGTTTGTTTCAGAGATACCGATGTTATGATATTCGAAGCGGATCGGTCTTCAAGAGCCTTCATTAATGTTTAGCATTTTGTTTGAGACATCATCGAACAACTGATCGTCGCGAACTCGGCGAATCTTCGAAACTGTGACTTTCGCCTAAAACATCCTTACAAGAATGGCATGTTCGCGACAGTGCCTTTTACAACAACCAGCGTTTGCCTTGAGACATCATCGAACAACTGATCGTCGCGAACTCGGCGAATCTTCGAAACTGTGAATTTCGCCTAAAACATCCTTACAAAAATGGCATGTTCGCGACAGTGCCTTTTACAACAACCAGCGTTTGCCTTGAGACATCATCGAATAACTGATAGTCGCGAGTTTGGCAAGTCTTTGAGACTGTGCAATTCGCCTGCGACGTCCTCAGCAAATGAGAATCAGGGTTATTCATGACGCTATGCCTGAGATGAAGATAAGTGTTATCATAGGAACTTTGGAGGGGATAAACTAGTTCGGCCTTCCCGCCTGCTGTGGCAACTGAAACACATTCCGTCTGGTCAATATAGAGGTACAAAGGTTAAGGGGGGATGCTTTGTTATCCGAGGGGTGCGGTCATATGTGTTGTATAATTGTCGAGCGGCGTGATGGTTGCAGGGCGATGTTATGCATCCTGGCGCTGCCGAGTCGACTCGACTCCGGCTCCGTGCCGAGATAGCCCGATTCGTCGCACGTTCCGATTCTGTCCGATCACCCAGTTCGATGTTGGCTGGTCCACGGGAGGGCATGAGGGAGAGAGAGAGACTCCGCTGGGGAAACAAGGGGCAGTATGCTTCCACCTCCGCGGCGGCTCTGCAGGAGATTGTTGCAGGTGGGCCTGGGCGCTGCTGCCGCGGCGCCCGACCGCCCTGGGAGATGTTGTTTGTCGTCGTCGTCATCCTCCTCCTGCTACTGCGTCATCCTCTGATGCATTCCGAATCCTGTTTCTCCTGATTTTGCATATCGATCATCCCCATCTTCATCGCTCCTTCTCGCTCGTCCGCCTCCTCGCTTTCCTTTGCTCCTCCTCCTTCCCCTCCGGTTTCCTCGAGTGCCTCCTATTGTATCATCATGTGCCCAATGGACCCCTTGAGGAGGGAGAGGAGGCGGACGAGAAGGAGGGAATCCCTCCTCACCGTCGCCATCTTTATGATCCTCTCGTTCCTCGACACTGTCGTCACCCTCGCCCAATCATCCGCATCATGACCATCTTTATTATCATGATAGCAGCTTCTGCGCAGAAGCTCGTGGGTGTCTGTGCAGCCAGACACGGGACCAGGCCATGCGGCCGATCGTAACATGATAATGAGTAGTCGAATGATGGCAGTAGCCATTGCCGCAGGAGTTTCGCAGCCAACGGTTGTTAAGAGAGGAAGGGACAGTGTTGGCCCTGGTCGTGGTGGTGGGGTGACTACCGGTGCGGTTCGGTCGGGCGGGTCGACAAGTGATGGCAATCGAGATGCGGGTCCTCTTGCTAAGCGGCGCGCTGTAGTTCTTGCTCCCCCCGCCACCTTGACTGCTCCATCTGCTGTCTCTGCTGAGCCTCCCTCCCCTGCTGCCCCTCCCCTACGCAAGCGCAAGGAGCCTCCGCCACAGTCGCAAGCAGCCAGCCTCTCCCTGTCACTGGCCGTATTCCTCCTGAGGCCGCCAGGGGGCATCGCATTCGTGTGTTTGGTCCGCTCGCCGTCTGCGCCAGCTGCGGTGCGCGTGTTCCCAGCGTATTGCAAGGGGCCTCTTCTGGCTCCAGTGCGATCCCAGGGCGAGCCCCACGGCCTCCGATCGAGGGTCCAGGCTCAAGCGTCCCCTGGAGTGCAAGCATCCAGTCGATGATGAAGCCATCGGGCAGCCACGCCCCATTCCAGCAGGCAGCCATGCTGAAGCGTGGCACGGGGTGGGCCGCGCATCGGAGGACGCACCTTTCGGGGAAACGCAAGACCCGAGTAAGCCGGAACTCGGGCTTGCCGACGTGTTTTTGACGAGCGCGCCCCGGATTTTGACGGTCCAGTTTGCGTGGGATGTCTGCAGCGGGAGCTCGCGTCGCATTTCAGATGGGGCCTCGTCACTTTTTATGATGGCCCCGTCGGGCCAACCCGAGTCCCCCGTACGGTAGGTTCGTGCCGTGTCGACCAGCGGCGACCCCGCCGCCAGAGTTCAACGTTGAACGCCGACGGCGACCCAGAATCGATCGATGTTCAACGATGTGGCGTTTCGGAAACGGCCGATCGTTCAAGGTTGAACGATTCCCGCGGTGTCAAGAACCATCGCCTGGGTCGACACGACGCAAACCTGCGGTACCCGAGTCTTACGTCTCCCCGAACCTTCCCGATCTCGTGCCTCCGACGGCCTGGCTGCCCCGAGGGCCCTCCCCTGCCGAGCACGGCCTCCCCGCGCCGCCCGGAGGCGGGCGCCCCTCGTGCTGGCCCAGGGCTTCTGTTGTCGGCTGGGCTCGGAGGCCCGCGCGGGGTCGGGCTGCCGTGGGCCTCCCTAGCATCGCTCGGACGTGTGCATTTTTCCTCCGGCGAGGGCCATCGAGAAGCATCCTGGATCGCTTGGCGGAAAGGCCACGCACGGAACCGAAGCAGACACAGGGAACGGACGTCCGAGCGATGGCCAGCCTCGCGCTTTTGAGCAGGGCTCGTGGGCCCTCCGGCCCTGCTGGCAGCCGAGAAGGTCCGCTGGTTCTGGGCCTCGTGCCCTCAGGCTCTGACCCCTGGGAGGGGGGCTGGCTGCCCCGCTCGCCTCTGCTCGCCTCGGGCGGGCGTCGCAGGCGGTGGTAACATGGAGGCGCCCTGCTGCAGGCAGCATCTGATCATCGTCCTCCTCATCCTCTTCGTCCTCGTCATCATCATCACCACCAGCATCACCATCATCGTCATCATCATCATCATCAACATCAACATCATCATCATCACCATCATCATCACCATCACCATCATCATCCTCACCATCACCGTCACCGTCACCATTCATCATCATCATCATCATCATCATCATCATCATCATCATCATCATCATCATCATCATCACCAGCATCATCATCAGCATCATCAGCATCATCCACATCAACATCATCATCAGTATCATCAGTATCATCAGTATCCTCATCCGCATCATCAGCATCATCAACATCATCATCAGCATCATCACCATCATTATCGTCAGCCTCATCATCATCTTTATCAACATCATCAGTATCAGCATCGTCACCATCACCATCAGTGTCAGTATCATCACCGCCGTCGTCCTGTGTCTCTCTTGGTGTTTCTTCGCTGTGCTGGTACCGCTGCTCCTGCTGCTGCTGCTGCTGGTTGGGTGCGCCCTTTGCCTGGCTGCGATGGGCAGCCTCTGGCACGAGCGTGTCTTACTGCGCCCAGCTTCTCTCTGTCACCCAGTGATCCTCTGCCCTTCTCCGCAGACAGCGAGGTTTGCATGGCGTGTCACGGAAAACGAAGGGAGAGGAGCGGGGCAGGGGGCGCCGCGCAGTTTTGGTTCAGGACCCGAGGGTCTAGGTTTGCCAAGCTCCGTCCCTGGGATCTGCCCGCCCTCCCGCCCAGGGTGCAGACCGTGGGCAGGGTGTAAAGGGCTGGGCCGCTGGGGTGCTATCCCCCGTTGTGCCCGCAGTTCCCCTGGGGTGCAGACCCCGGGCTGGGCTGGCGGACCTGCACCGCGCATCACCCCACGTTGGTGCTGAGGTCCGCGCCCGGGGCCGCAGCCGTGGGCGGCGGGCGAGCGGCACACGACGGCTGGCGCCCCTCCCCGGCGCTGCAGGCCCGTCGGCCCCCCAGCTCGAGTCCCGTTTGCCGGATGGCTCGCGAGCTCCTCCACAGCCCACGGTGCCAGATCGTGGTCCATCCTGAGTGACACGACAAGCTCTGTCGCTTCGCATTCGGCCCAGTTGGTGATGTCGTGCAGTGGCGTCTGGTCGAAAGCCGCTGGGGCCTCTTTCAGCGTCGCCCTCCCGGAGCGTCTCGGATCTGGCAGGCGCTCCGTTTTGGGATGATTGCCATCGCGGAAGAGCCACGTGAGGCTGACGAGTCCGCGTCCATGGCTGCCGCGCTTGAGAGGAACGGGAGCATCCTTCATGATTCTCAGTGAGACCGTGCCTTGTTCCCCCCGCCTGCTGCTGGCCCCGCTCTCCTCCCCCCTCAGCCTGTTCTCGCTCGTCCTCGGCTGCTTCGGTCTCTCTGGGGTCGGGTGGGGGTGCCCGCCCGTGGGGTGCTCTGGCGAGGTGCTGCCTCCCGAGCCCCATCGCCCACTGGGCTCTTGCTCTCTCTCGCTTGCGCGCTCTCTCTCTCTCTCTCTCTCTCGCTCTCTCTCTCTCTCTCTCTATCTCTCTCGCTCTCTTTTGCCGCACCAGTGACTGGAGACACGGTCTGCCCTGCCGCTCTCTTGGGGGAGGGGGCGTCTTGTCTCTGTCGGCCGCGTCGCGCCAATCAATGTTCAGCACAGTTGATGCGACTAGGCTGCGGCTGGAGGGCGTCGCTCCCCGCCTCTCTTGCTGCCCATGCCCGGGCGCGGGGTCGTTGCCACCACAGCCTCGCTCGTCCCTCCGCCCGTCACTTCCTCTTCCGAGGATGATGCTCCTGAGCAGTTGACCACCAATTGAACTGCCAGATGTGTTGTTGCCCAGCGGATATCCTCCCACATCCTGCGTGTGTTGTTGCCCGTGGCGCCAAAACTTTGAGTTGGCGTCGGGTCCCGTTCGCCAAGTGCTGTGTGTTGTGTTGACTCACCGAACGCAGGCCCCAATTCAGATTTCAGGACGCTGTTTTCCGTCGGGCATTAACCCCGCTCCAAGCGGTCCGCTACGTAAACAACCAACAGCATCGTCGTAGTCATCGTCACCATCAGCAGTACCATCATCAGCCTCATAGTTGTCGTGTTCCTCATTGCCAGCTTTACTCAGCATCATCAACCTCACCGTTTTGCCGCTGTCATCACCAACGCTATCGCCGTCATAAGCATCAGCACTGTCGTTATACACCCCCCCGCTGTCATCTTCATACTTCGTATCCCTCCCTGCCATGCTTGTTTCTCAACTCCCTCAGTTATCCTTGTCTCAGCTCGCTCATCCCTCCGTTCTCCCCTCGTGGCATCGGCAACTTCTTGGATGGAACCCAAGGGCCAGTCGATGACTAACTCGCCTGTGCCTTCTCTCAGTCTGCACCCCGTCTCGCGAAGCGAAGGTCAGTCCCACCCTTGTCTCGTTCTCCTCCCAATCCTTCTCCCGCTCACGGTCGTGGTCGGTTTCCTTCCCGCATCACTTTGGCCCTAATCATCACTCGCACCCTTACCCTTCCTCATCCCTGCCCCGATTCCGCCTCCCCTCTGCACCCCCCGCCCCGCCGCAATATGCCAATCTTCTTTTCCTCCGGTGAGAAGTAGGGCTGGTTCAGAGGGCGGCACGAACAACCATGCATCGCCCCGTCCGGGAACACGGCGACACGGTCGGACCGAGGTATAAGATCGAGGTCGGTTCTGGGAGGATGCCAGACTGCTCTTCGTGTTTGTTGGATGTTCTTGTGCATCCTGGGGAAGAGCACCCTCGAATGTATTTCAGTTTGGGCCGGCGGAGGGGTTCTTGTTTTTGAAGGTCCCATGTCCGACCGTAGGACGGGCAGGGGGAGTGGGCGTGGGATCAGAAGCAAATGCCGAGGAAGACAGGGCAGCAGCAGGAGCAGGAACAGAAGTGGAGGCAGGGGGGCGAGGACGAGAGCGAGCGTGTGGAGGAGGAGAAAAAGGAGGACGACGGAGGAGCACAGCGGAGAATAATGAGGAACAGGAGGAAGAGGAGAAATAGAGAAAAGCAGGAAGAGACAGACAGGCAGAGGCAGAGACAGAGGCAGACAGACTGAGAGAGGGAGAGGCGGCACGAATTCGCGCGGGTGTCTGCGTGAGCGCCCGACAGACATGATCTTCCAAACGTGGTTTAGCCCAATGTGTGTTATCCTCCCTCAGCTCCGCCGGTAACTCGCAGCTCTTGACAGTCATCAGTGCGCGGAAGCAAGCGTTGCGGGGCATCGTCGGGGCCCCGCATGAGTCGTCTTTTCGATGCGGCTCGCCTCTTGCCCTTGCTCAAGCACTGACCCTGAGCTCCTCCGCCCGTCCTTATCCTCTTATTTCCTCCGCCTCCTTAATCCCCTCCCTCCTCTTCCCCGCCCCTGCCCCTCGCCCCTCTCCGCCGACAGCTGATGCACATTGCCGACGTAACTTCCCGTTATTGATGTAACCTTTTCTGTCAGGAAGTGGTTGTTGACTAGAAGTAGCATCGTGTTTTCGATCGTCCAGAGAAACCGACATACCTTTCCATTACCAAAGTAAAATTTCCGTTAGTAACGGAATTCCCCCGTTAGTAGCGTAAGAGTTCCGTCAGTTCCGTCGGTTCCGTCAGTTCTGTCAGTTATTTGCATGGCATGTGGCAGAGCTTGTCTCCCGCGACGCACGGGGCACACGTGTTTCTCCAGCCAATCTAATCTGAGTCAGCCGCGTTTTCCGCATTTAATTTCTCGCGCGGCATTTGCGATCCACCAGCGTGCCGAGACGCTCTGTGACACGCGCAGGTGTGCGTTTGCACAACGTGCAACTCACCGAAGGGCTTCGGTTGACAATCACACGTTAGCGTTAACACACGTTCTCAGGATCATCGAGCTTCTGGCTGGTGCGCCTTCAGAGCTGGGGCCAGCAAGAGACTACCCCAATCGCGCGCCGAGGCGCACGAGTGCTTGCGATAGCCGCGCGCGACGGCTGGGAGGCTCGCGGACGGAAGCCAGGGGATGGGTGACGCCTTGGCGGGGCGCCTCCCTGGCCAAGGACGGCCCTGCCCCACGAGGTACCCCTCGCGGAAGGGGACCGGCGAGGCGCTGCGAGCCTGGTAGAGCAGCCGCGTGACGACGAAAGTTTGGAGTGAGACGCGCCGGGGCACCAGAGGCCAGGCGTGGGCGCGTGCGCAACGAGGGACTGGCGGAGGGTGCCCGCGAGATCGGCCTGCCTGCGCATCTCGACGTCCAGGGCGGCGCGGGCGCTGGCGAGCGTGGCAGTGCGGTGGTTGCCTCAGCCTGGGCGGTAGCAGCTCGGTGTGGTGCTATTGGCGTTGGTGGAGGTGTTGGCGCCTCGTTTCCGCGCTGCGCCAACTCTCAGCTGGTGATCTGCAGTTCGCGTCCCAAGGGCTTACCTGGCTCTTCTCAACGGTCGCCCACATTTGCCCAAGATTCTGGGCCGCCGCGGGACATTCTGGTTCTGGCTCTCCTCTTTCCTGTCGTGCTATACTTGTTATTCGTGGATTTGTTCTACGCTTTATGTGTGCACCCCAAGCACGCGCGTGAAAGACCTCATGTTCTGACCGCAGTTCCCTTTTTGTCCGCCTCTCTCCTCTGTCCGTTTTTTTCCGTTTCGCAGTTCGTTTCCAGAGCGCCCCTCCCGATGCTTGACCGGGATTTGCCTGCATGGTGCCCGCCGGCCAAAAAAGTGCTGATGTTTTACGATCGTTGGGACCTCGGTTTGAGCGGCGGCGTTGCTGGCATCCAGACGTGTGGCGCGGCAGCGGCAGACGAGGCGCGACAGCCGAAGCCGAAAAGGCTTGGTCGGTGGACGGCGACCCAAAGGACTTCGCGCGCCTGAAGGGGCCTGGCGAGGTGGCTTCGTCGGCAGCAGCTGACGCGCGGCGGGGGGGTCAATCTACGCGGTCGACCTCACCACAACCCTGGACAAAAAGGCGCGAGCCTGTGGAGTGCCGTGGCGGGCGAGGTGGCCCAGGGGCGAGGGGGCCTGAGCGGCAGTGTGGCGCAGCGCGCCCTGGAGCCCTTCGAGGGCAGCCACGTGTGTGGCCCGAACGCCCGCGGTGATGACCGAGCAAGTGACGACGACCGACGAACCGACGACTTACGACCGACGGCCGACGACCGACGACCGACGACTGACGACCGACGACCTCAAGTCCCAGGAGGTGCTTGCACGGAGGTCCCCAGAGGCCTCTCTGGAGGCCTCCGCAGGTGGCGAACAAGAGCGCGAGGACGGAGGCCTGGGACTCTCGAAGGCGGCCCGGCCGTGCCGACGAGGAGCCCCTCCGCGGAGGGCGCCGAAGAGGCGAAGAGACGATCGGGGTCGCCTCGGCGGCGAGGCCGCCCTGCGGCCAGGGCCGGCGGCGTGGCGGTGAGGCTGCCCGATGGCGTGGGCCGTGGGCTGGCGGCTCGTCCGGGCTGCGCAGGCCGCCGCCTGGCCCGAGAGGTGCAGGAGCAACGGCAGGCTTGGCATCGCTCGGGCGCGTGCGTTTTTCCCTTCGGCGAGGACCATCGAGGAGCACCCTTGACCATCTGGCGAAAAAACCACGCACGAAGCCGAAACAAAAACACGCAGAACATGGACGTCCGAGCGATGGCCAGCAGGAGGGGGCGCATCGACCCCCGAGCGCCCATCGATCGCCGATGGGGGTCCGAGGGCCCCACCCGCGCAGAAACCTGCGGATTTGCTATTGGGGGCCTGCAGTCGGGGCGCTGAGGACGGAACCCTTTTCGTTGGGGAGGGGCTCCGTGTTCCTTGATTGTTTCACAGCTTGCCCTAGGTGTTCCTCAGGTTTTCGATGGGAAATCGAACCTTCACTGATGGGAAAAGGGGGCCTCGTTCCTTCTTTAGGGTTCCTTAGGTCAACGTCCCGACCGTATCGCCGATCTATCAGGTCGCCGTCAAGCCCCCCATATGCCAGTCCCCCCCTATCGTTGCCCCTGAGGGGCTCGCAGTCGTGGTTTCCGTCAGAGAGGGTCCCAGACGGCTCTGCGCCAGAGGCTCGGTTTGTGTGACCGTCTGTTGTCGGTTGCCCGCGAGAGTGACCCCTCGCAGGAGCGACTTTGAGTGCGGGCCCGCAGGGGTGCCCCAGCACTGGCCTTCGCGCTGCAGTCTGACACCCCCCCGCGGCCAAGCTGCGCACCAAAGGTTACTCCTGGCCAGGGTCACTCTTGCGTGTAGGCGACGGTGGGGCGACGCGGGCTGGCCCCAAGGCCGCCTGAGGAGGCCGTGCTAGAAGGTGGAGGTTGGCGGGAATGCTCGGCGGCGGCTCTGTCCGCGCGGGGGCGGGCGGGCCGTCGGCGTGGTCGTCGAAGGAAGCACCGAAGCCGAAGGGGTCGCTGTCATCTTCGTCATCGTGGCGATCTTCATCGCAGGCCGCATATGACTCGGCCTGGTCGTCACCTGCGGGAACCGGTGGCCGCCGCCGAGAGAGAGAGAGAGAGGGAGGGAGAGCGAGCGAGAGAGAGAGAGAGAGAACAAAAAAAGAGCGAGAGAGAGAGAGGGAAAGAAAGAGAGGAATGGAGAGATACATGTAAAGAGAGAGAGAGAGAGAGTGAGAGGAAACAAACACATATAGAGAGAGGGAAAATCTATATATATATATATATATATATACATATATATATGTGTATGCATATATATATGGTCATACCGAAGATATATAGAAAAAAGAATGAGAATTGAGGGTGAGAAGGAGGAAGAGGAGAAGGAACGAGGCAGGAGGAGGAATAGGAGGAGAGGGGGAATGACGAGTGAGATGAGGACGAACATGAGGAGGAGGGGGAGGAGAAGGAGGAGGCCGACCAAAATGCGCCAGGCTGGGCGGACACGCGGCCGCCCGGAGGAGGAGGCCGAGGAGGGAGGAGAGGGAGGCGTAGCAGGGGGAGCAGCAGCATGTGCAGGATGATTTCCAAGCACGGGGATGGGAATATTTAGGGAAAAGAGCAGGAGTAGCAGGAGACGGAGAAGGGAGGGGTGAAGCAAGATGGCGAGGACGATGTTGAGGAAGAAGAGTGAACGGAAAAGAGGGAGGAGCAGCACCAGGACCAGGAACAGCATCATCAAGAGGAGGGTTGAGATGGCGGAGGAGAAGGGGAATGAGGAGGAGGAGGAGGAATGCTAGGTGAGGAGGAGGTGCAGCAGCTGCATTCGCATCAGCAGCAGTGGCATCAGCAAAAGGAGAGGAGATGGAGCGCTGTGGCAGGCCTTGCCAAGGAGTAATCAGCGAAGCTCGGGATTAGCTCATGTGCGAAGTCTTGAAGGGACCAACCGATCTGTATGGGGTAACTTCTGCGGGGAATACGTTGGGACTGTCTGGGCTCGACTTAACTTTGCTCGGCGATGCCTGCAAGTGGCGATGAGTTGTGTTTGGAGGCATCGGTATCAGAATATTGCTGTTCTTGTTGGCGTAATTTCTCCTCCTCGTCAGTCGCAGGTGCTGCTGGCATCGAGTCAGAATGCACGATGGCTGGGCTGCGAGACTGCACCCGCGCTGGCGTTACAGGCCCCGCGTCTCTGAGGAGTGTGTAAAGGGAGGTAAGCGTTCGAATTCACATCGTGACTTAGTGATATGCCCAGCCATATGTCGGCGGCAAGTCCTGGGGGTTGAGACATCCACCACTGGCGTAGCATCCATCCTCGATCGCGTGGCGTGATAATCAAGTCGCCCAGCCATGTTCCTCACATCCAGCCTTCTTCGTTGCATCATCGTACTTGCCAGCCCATCCTTCTATTCTTCCTTGCCAGGGCCATGAGGAGGAAGATATCACATCTCCGGGAAAACGAAGCGCCCAGCTTCCGCCAGTGCCTCAGAGCGTGCACGCCAAGGCATGTCCATCCTAACAGTGGGATGGGTTTGACAGCGAAGCGTGATGGACCCATGCAGTTACCAAGAAGATAGCGCTTACCGGCGGACGCGTCCTGTCTTCGCACTCGCGCCAATGTACCGACGCGCGAAGCCGCACACTCACGGTCGTTCGCGAGGTGCTTGGGTTGCAATCCTTTGCAGCTCGTGACGTGCCTGTGCGTTGCCACCACTGGTGCGATGGCGACAATGATGTGAATACGACGACGAACAGATGTGCGCTTCTGTTCTTCCCACCATTGCTCGCCTCTTCCTCCTCCTCCTCCTCCTCCTCCTCCTCCTCCTCCTCCTCCTCCTCCTCCTCCCAGTCAACCCTCCATGGTATCCCTTCACAGTTGGCAGTTCATTGCCGGCATCCCAGGCCCAAGCCAGCAAGAGCAGTGTGAGCAGTCGATACAGGGAGATGGATCCACCTCGTTGCGTGTCACGAGTTTCACGTGCATGCGCGCAGTGTTTGACTTATGGTGAGAACTACCCTAAACAGGTTTGGCCGGTGGTGTTGGCCGGGAGAGTTGGCCAGAGGGTTAGCTGGAGGGTTGCCCGGGGTAAGGGGTAATTATTCGATCGAGTGTGGTTGCCATAAGACATAGTAGTGTTGAAGGAGAGCAAAGCAGATCCCTTCCTGCTCTGATTTGCCACCCGCGCGCAGCGATGCAGAGGCCCCGAGCGAGGAGGCACTAGCGGCCATGGCAGCACAGGCCCCGCGCGCCGGTGAGGGATGCAGAGCACTCGCTCGTTGCTAGAGTCAAAATGTCAGAGCCCCGAATCATCAGGGGTAACTCGGGTCAGGGATAACTCGGGTTCGTTTTTCGGGAATCCAAACCCGAGTTACCCCGGACCCGAGTTATCCCGGATAACTCGGGCGTCCAGAGCCCCGAATCATCAGGGGTAACTCGGGTCAGGGCTAACTCGGGTTCCTTTCTCGGGAATCCAAACCCGAGTTACCCCGGACCCGAGTTACCCCGGATAACTCGGGCGCCCAAAAATGCTTCAGAAGTATACTACAGATCGTCCACCCTAGCCCTTGGCCATGGGCAATGGGCTGCCACCTTCGGCTTCAATTTGGGCGTCCAGTGGTCCGGCATCCTTGCCGCACCGCCTCCAGGAGCAGTAATCGGGGGAGGTAGGCTCCGGGGGGGGGACGCATCGACCCTCAAGCGCCCACTCATCGCCGATGGGGGCCTGCAAGGCCTCAGCCCGCCCAGGAGCCTCCTGTTTCGCTATCCGGGGCCTGTCGCCGATGCATCGGCGAGGTATCGCCAGTTCTTCCTCCCAATCGTCCCCTTTCACCCTTTTTGGAACATCTCTGGCAGTCTCAGAAGCTGTGGGCGCAAACCTTGTATGCGCTCAGCCGAGCGCACGGCAGGTCGCCTGCCGGGTCTGCGGGCGCAGGCCGCCCGTCGCGGGTGAAACCTGGGGCCCCGGGCGTGGGCCCAGGCTGCAGCAGAACAGAGGGCCGAGGGGCGAGGCGTGCTATCCACGCTCTGCTCCTGAACTCTTCACGCCCTTGCCTAAGTTCGCGATCGTAAGCATCACGGCGTCCAGCTTCTCTCCAGGAGCGCGTGCTCGAGAATCAGCAACACGTCTTGTGCCCAAGCGGAGGAAAAGGGGAGGGTCAGAGGAGGAGGAGGAGGAGGAGGAGGAGGAGGAGGCTCAGCGGAAAGGGAGACTGATTGGCATGGGGCATGGGGGGCAGCGCAACGCAAGCTTGATTGCCACGTGCGTTTCGTTGCACCCGTGTTGAGTTGTTTCAGTCCTGCCAGTTATATGTCGCACGAACAACAGTTCTTCGTCCCATTCAATGCCAACCCTTCGACTCAGCAGTACAACCTATGCAGAATCAGCATTGCAAGTTCTTATCGCGCCCCTCACTTTCTGCGCCTCGGACTGGCAAGTCCGCAGCAAGCTTCTCACTCGATGCAAGCTGGAAGCTGGCCTGGCTGTAGTTGACCGTTATCTAACTGCCTGCGGCAAGTCCCGCCACCATGCAAGCCCGGCATTCTGAATAGCGACAAATCCAGGGGGGCACACGAGGTTGTTTTGAGTGACGTTTCGTGTCTCCAGGCTTGGTAGTGCTGTGATGAGGATGTTGAGGACTGTAAGGGTTATACGGGATGACTATGATGAGTGTTGCATTGTTGCTGCTGGTGATGATGATGCTGATGTTGGTGAGGACGATGGTGCCAAGATGAAGAGGACAATAATGATGTCGTTGGTTATACTGATGATGGTGAACTTGATGCTGATGCTGATGAGGACGCCGACGACGACGACGACGATGATGATGATGGTGATGATGATGATGATGGTGGTGGTGGTGGTGATGGTTGTGGTTGTTTGGGTGATCGCGATGATGATGCTGGTGGTGCTGGTGATGCTGATGTTGATGATGGTGGTGGTGATGATGTTGCTGATGATGACGATGATGCTGATGATCAGGTTGATGATGGCGATGATGGTGGTGATGATGGTGATGATGATGGTGGGGAGGAAGAGGAAGAGGAGGAGGGGAAGGAGGAGGAGATGTCGATGATGATGATGAGGAGGAAGCGGAGGGTGAGGATGAGGATGAGGAGGAGGAGTAATGGTGATTGTGATGGGTGTTGTGGTGTTGGTGATGTTGATGATGATGATGATGATGATGACGTATACGCTGATGTTGACGATTGCCATGATGGTGGTGTTGTTGATGATGATGACGGTTGAAATGATGATGGTGGTGATGATGATGATGATGATGATGATGATGATGATGATGATGATGAGTAGGAGGAGGATGAGGAGGAGGAGGAAGAGTATGAAGATGAGGATGAGGATGAGGATGTTGATGACGATGGTCTGGGGATGAGGATGAAGATGATGACGATGAGGATCAGGATTTGGATGAGCATGGTGATCAGCATGAGGATGATGATGGTGATGATACTTGCGATGGTGATTATGATGATGATGATGATGATGATGATGATGATGATGATGATGATGGTGATGCCGATGATGATGATGATGATGATGATGATGATGATGATGATGATGATGATGATGATATTGATGATGATGACGACGATGATGGTGATGCTGATCAGGACGATGATAACGATTGTAGCCAGGATGATGCTGGTGATGCGGATGATGACGATAACGATGATGATGATGTTGCTGATGATGATGATGCTGATGATGAGCATGATCATGATGCTGCTGTTGATGATGATGGTCAGGATGATGCTGGTGATGATGATGATGATAATGCTGATGATGATGATGATGATGATGGTGATGATCAAGATGATGATGATGATGATGATGATGATGATGATGATGATGATGATGATGATGATGCTGATGATGATGATCAAGATGACCAGGGTGGTGATCCTACCGATGTTCAGGATGTTGAGCAGCACGATGATCAAGATGATGATCAGGATGATGCAGCTGTTGTTGCTGTTGATGATGATGTTGGTTGTGCTGATGAGGATGATCATCTTTACGAGGATAAAAGTCGTTTGGGTCGTTTTGGGGTTGTCTGGGCCTCCTATGAGGCAGTCGTGGGGGTCCTTCGGGGCCATCAATGGCCGTCCTCGGGCCCTCCACGCCGGTTTGGGGCTCTCTTGGGCCGCCTTGGGGCCTTCTTAGCCGTATGGTGGGTGTCTGGGGGCCGTCATGGGGCCGCCTGGACGCCGTCTTTGGCCGTCGAAGAGCCTTCTACGGCCGTCTTGGGTCCCACGGCAGGCCTTCTTGTGGCGTCTTGGGGCCGTCTTGGATGCTAGTTGGGCTATCGTGGAATCAGATTGGGCCGTCTTGAGTTGACGGCAGCCCGAAAAGGCGAGCATGCTAACATCATTCATAAACCTAAGCGGCAATCAATGATTGTGGTTTCTTCGGACCCTGTTGGAGGGCCTCTTGTTGGCGTTTTGGGTTCCTTTGGAGGCATCTTGGGCCGTCTTGAATCCATGTTCAGCCGCCCTGGGGCAATCTTGAGCCGTCGTCGAGGCATCTTGGGCCATCTTGGTGTCTTTGGTTGCCTGCTCGGGACGCATATCCATTGTTTGTAACGTGGGATCGTGGCTTGAGAGGCCCTGGAGCGTGCGGGAGCAGCGCCTGGGAAAGCGGGAAGTGCACGATCCTCTAGCGGGTGCGCAGGGGATGAGGGGTCTATGAGTTAGCAGCCATGCGGGACCAATCTTGAAGCGGGCGCGCATTGAAGGGGGGTTCAGGCATTAGCTGCCATGCGGGAACCATCTTCGAGCGTGCGCGCATGGAATGGGGGGGGTCCAGGCAGTCGTTGTCATGCGGACTGTGCACAATGCTCGAACGGGCACCCGAGGGATGAGGCTTCAGGCAGTAGCTCGCATGCTGGAAGTGCACCATCCTCGAGCTGGCACGAGGGAAGTGCCATCGGAAAGGAGAGGTGGTGCGCGCAAGAGCCTGCTGGTAGAGGGGGGCGTCCCCTTACTAGAATTCAAACCCTACCAGGCAGACCTTGGTGTTCTTCCACGCCTCAAAACATGCCAGGGGGCACAGTGGCACATTCCTGTTTTACATGACAGCGCCATATGCAATGGATTCTGGATTCGTGAGCGCGGACCTGGCATAACGTGTAGGGATTCTGGCATCGGGGCCGCGAGCCTGGCGCAATGTACTATGTATTCCAGCCCTGGGAGGGCGAATCTGGTACCATGTATGAGAAGTCTGCCATCGCGAGCGCGAATCTAGTGTGATGTAGAAGGGACCCTGGCTTCGTGAGCGCAAGCCAAATTCAATGTACGCCGAAGTCTAGCCGCGGTGCCGCGAACATGGCGGGAGGTGCGAGGGATTCGCGTAATGTGCAAGGAATTTAGCCTTGGGGACACGAACTTCAAGTATTTTCACGCATTCCAGGGCCACGGTAAATTCTGGAACCCCAGAGGGGGGAGGGGGGTGGGCTACTCCCCAGGCGCGGATCAGCAGCCTTGTACGACAGGAAGCAGGAAGTAGAAATACATCATTGCAGATTGACAGCAGGAAATCGAACTGGCACAGGGCGCAATTCACCGCCCACAGCTTGCCGACCTGGCGCCCACTTGCGACAGACTGGCCCCAGATGCCGAGCGCGGTAGTTTCACGGGCTCCACAGAATTCATCCCACATAGTTGCAGGGCTCCGTAAGAGCCCATTCCATGTTTTCGTGAGTCTGCGTTTCACGGCGTATCGCGTTCCCGCTCCGCTAGCAGCCGAGCCATGTCCCCGAGAGCGTTCTTAGAGCCCCAAGCCCGAGAGGCTCCGTACATGTGTTTCACATGTTTCCAGGTCGTTTCTGTTCCAAAGCCGTTCTGGCTCAAGCTCTTGTACAGCAGAGCAGAGCTGCTAGACTCAAGTGTGAGTCTCTGGGACGCATCAGTGCGAGCTGGCCCGCAACCAGAAACGGCTTCCCTCTGTCACCTCGAGCGCGATCAGCATCGCGCGCAGACCATCACCATTGCCGACCCCACCCACCATCGACGCTGATCGCCATGGACGAGAAGAGAGTAGCATCAGGAGTGCTACCAGGGCAGTGGTCAGCGCGGGACCGGGGCACAGGGAGCAGGAGACCTAATCCGCGCAGCTGGGTGGCCCCACAAGGGGGCCAGCGGATATCGCATTGCACCCCATTTGCCGTCGCAGTTGGTCTTTCTACTCGAGGCGGCACGCATCTCAATATGACCAGATAAGCGGTGATCGATAATAGTCAAAAGTGACGATGATCTAAAAGCCGACATGGCACAAGCAAAGCGGCCCCGCACGCCTCTGGGGTTTGTGGATCATTCGCATCGGTCGTCGCAGTGGTCGTGCTCTTCGCCAGCGTTGTGCCCCCCTCCTCCGCTTCCTTTCTCTCCATCTCCACCTCTGGCCCCTCCTTGGCCCTCTCCCGTCCACCCTGCACTTCTCTCCGCATCTCTGTCCCGTGAGGCCTCCGTGGCGCCGCGTAAGCGGCTGCGGCTGCGGTGGGTCCGCGTGCTCTGGCGGTGCGTCGTGCTGATGCGCCTCCGCTGGCCGATGGCGGACGACGGAGACCCCCCTTCAAGAGGAGGAATGTACCCATACACCTTAGGCGATGCTTAAGAAAACTTAAGTTTTCGGCCAGAGTCTCGATTCTTCTTAACGCTTCAATGTAAATCCTAAGATCTGAATAGAAATCCTGGGTTTTTATTCAAGTTCTGAGACTATGAATTTCTTAACCCATGATTTCTTAAGCATTTCGCGGGGTGTACCGCTACCCTTCCATCGTTTTCCCCGTTTGCGGGCCCTCGTCAAAGTCCTCCCACCTTTGGGAGGCCCTCTGAAAAGCCCCCCCCCACGGGCCATTTGGGGCCTTCTGAGAAGGCCGCCCCCCACCCTCGTACCACCCCTGGGGGCCCATTTCGGTCCGATCGATCCGATGCGGTATCGATTTCGCTCGGCTCGATCCGATTCGATTCCGACGTTCCGACAATCCCATGCGGCTCGATGGCATTGTTTTGCACTTTGGCGCCGCCGATGCGATTCGGGTCCGATCCGACGCATGCGGATTCGATCCGACGTCCCGATCCGGTGCTGATCGGTCTTCCCTTCTGGGGAGCCCCCCGCCCCTCCCGAGAGGGCCACCCCCCTTGCCGTCTAAGGAGGCCGCCGCTCCCTCCCCCTTGGCATCGCTCGGACGTGTGCATTTTTCCTTCGGCGAGGACCATCGAGGAGCATCCTTGATCATTTGGCGAAAAAAACACGCACGAAACCAAAAAAAGCACAGGGAATGGACGTCCGAGCGATGGCGAGCCCCCGCCCACGTGCTCGGCTGCACTCTTTGCCTCCTCGGCGCACCACCCCGTCGGGGGGCCGCCCTGCGAAGGCGGGGTGGCAGCGGCCGCGCCTGGGCCCGGGCCCGCCCCACGAAGAGGGAGGTGTTGCAAGCGGCGGCGAGCGGGGAGGGGAAAGTGAGAAGGAGAGGGCCTTCTCAGCAGGCAGCGGGACCTCTCAGAGGCCCTCGCGCCTTCCGAGGGGCTGTATGTGTCTTCGGGGGAGGCGTAGGCACCCTCTCAGAAGGCCGCGGGACCTCGAGCCTTCTGAGAAGGCCTTCTCCTTCGCACTTCCCCCCTTGCTCGCCGCCGACCACACGGCATGGATATGTCGGAGGTCCGCGCATCGGCGCGGGGCCGCGGCGCCTCCGGCGCCGACCCAAGAGATTCGCGCGTGCCTCTTGTTTTTCCCAACCATCCTGTGGTGTTTGGTCCTCGTTTTGACGAGACGGTGACCCGCGTTCCCGCCTCCTTCCTCCCTCCCTCCTCCTCCCTCCTCCCCCTCCCACACAGAATGGCACACCCCTCACACGTTTCGTGGCCCCATAAGGAGCTCCACCGAAGGCCCCAGTGGCTGCGTTCGCATGCGGTTCCACCCCCCATTCTGGCACACCCCTCACACGTTTCGTGGCTCCACAGGGAGCTCCACCGAAGGCCCCAGTGGCTGCGTTCGCATGCGGTTCCACCCCCCATTCTGGCACACCCCTCACACGTTTCGTGGCCCCATAGGGAGCTCCACCGAAGGCCCCAGTGGCTGCGCTCGCATGCGGTTCCACCCCCCATTCTGGCACACCCCTCACACGTTTCGTGGCCCCATAGGGAGCTCCACCGAAGGCCCCAGTGGCTGCGCCCGCATGCGGTTCCACCCCCCATTCTGGCACACCCCTCACAGCCCCATAGGGAGCTCCACCGAAGTGGCTGCGTTCGCATGGCGGCGCCGCGCCCAATTTGGCACACCCCTCGCACGCTTCGTGGCCCCATAGGGAGCTCCACCGAAGGCCCCAATGGCTGCGTTCGCATGGCGGCGCCGCACCCAATGTGGCACACCCCTCACACGTTTCGTGGCCCCATAGGGAGCTCCACCGAAGGCCCCGTGGCTGCGTTCGCATGGCGGCGCCGCACCCATTTCGGCACACCCCTCACACGTTTCGTGGCCCCATAGGGAGCTCCACCGAAGGCACCAGTGGCTGCGTTCGCATGCGGCGCCGCACCCAATTTGGCACACCCCTCACACGTTTCGTGGCCCCATAGGGAGCTCCACCGAAGGCCCCAGTGGCTGCGTTCGCATGGCGGCGCCGCACCCATTCGGCACACCCCTCACACGCTTCGTGGCCCCATAGGGAGCTCCACCGAAGGCCCCAGTGGCTGCGTTCGCATGCGGTTCCACCCCCCATTCTGGCACACCCCTCACACGTTTCGTGGCCCCATAGGGAGCTCCACCGAAGACCCCAGTGGCTGCGTTCGCATGCGGTTCCACCCCCCATTCTGGCACACCCCTCGCACGTTTCGTGGCCCCATAGGGAGCTCCACCGAAGGCCCCAGTGGCTGCGTTCGCATGGCGGCGCCGCACCCATTTCGGCACACCCCTCACACGTTTCGTGGCCCCGGGAGCTCCACCGAAGCTCCCAATGGCTGCGTTGGCATGGCGGCGCCGCGCCGAAGAAGATGTTCACTATTGCGGTACTCACAGCTGCATATGGTTGGGTCCTTCGCCAGGCTAATTTCGCTTGGGCACCGGCTGCTGTGCGGGCTGGAAGATATGCCGCCAGAATCTGGTGCCGTCTGTGCCCCGCGTGCCGTTCCGTGCCGTGTCCAGGTGCCAGAGTGCAAAGAGCGCCGTCCCGTGGCGTGCGCTGGTTCTGGAGTGCGAAGAGCCGTGGCGTGCCCCCGTGGCGTGGCATGCCGTGCCTGGGCTCTACTAGTTGTCGAATGCGAACAGGAGGAGGAGGAGGAGGGAGGAGGAGGAGGAGAGGAGGAGGAGGAGGAGGAGGAGGAGGAGGGGAGGCGGAGGGGGGAAAGGGGGGGGAGGAGGAGGAGGGGAGGAGGAGGAGGAGGAGGAGGAGGAGGGAGGAGGAGGAGGAGGAGGAGGAGGAGGAGGAGGAGGAGGAGGAGGAGGAGGAGGCGGAGGAGGAGGAGGAGGAGGAGGAGGAGGAGGAGAGGAGGAGGAGGAGGAGGAGGAGGAGGAGGAGGAGGAGGAGGAGGAGGGGAGGGGAGGGGAGGGGGAGGGGGAGGGGGAGGGGGGGAGGAGGAGGGGAGGAGGAGGAGGAGGAGGAGGAGGGGGAGGAGGAGGAGGAGGAGGAGGAGAGGAGGAGGGAGGAGGAGGAGGAGGAGGAGGAGGAGGAGGAGGAGGAGGAGGAGGAGGAGGAGGAGGAGGAGGAGGAGGAGGAGGAGGAGGAGGAGGAGGAGGAGGAGGGGAGGAGGAGGAGGAGGAGGAGGAGGAGGAGGAGGAGGAGGAGGGAGGAGGAGGAGGCGGAGGAGGAGGAGGAGGAGGAGGAGGAGGAGGAGGAGGAGGAGGAGGAGGAGGAGGAGGAGGAGGAGGAGGAGGGGGAGGGGGAGGGGGAGGGGGAGGATAACCAAGCTCGCCTCAGGTTGAGGTTGACTCACCATGCGTGTTTTCGTGAAGCGCCACCCTCGACATCTTCCAGCGTTGCATGCACCCCATCAGTTGGGCTGCTTCCCTCAGTTGCGCTGCAAGCGTCGGTCCACCGGCTTGGTGCTCCTCGCCTTGTCTCCCCGTTGGGACGCTAGCGCGGTCCTACCAGTAGTCCACTACCTTTACAGCGCTTGTCAACGCGCCCCCCAAAATTCACGCTGATGGGTCAAAACGCCACGCAGCCCATAAGTGGCCCAGAGGTACGGTTGCCGCGCGACTCTCACGTTGTTGGCACGACGAAAACCTTGCGTTGCACGACCTGCAACCGGGTTCCCATGTCACGAGCGTCCTCGATATGTGCGTTATGCTATCCTTTTTCTGTGTGGTACGCGCTGCGCGCGGCGGCCTCTGCGCGAACCGGAAGCGTGAGTCCTGCCTTGCCTGACGCTTTTGAGACGCGTAGTCTCCCGCTGGTGCAGGCAGGAGTGATGGGGGCGCCTGGGCGAGTCGTTGGCGAGTCGCGAGGTGGGGGGGAAGGGGGCGGGGGGGAGGTGCGGGCTAGTCTTGCGTTGGTCACGAGTGAGTCGCTCGTGGCTGCGTCGCGGGGTTTGTCACAGGTGCTTCGCGGGTTGGTCGCGTCCCGGGCGCGGGCCTTGTCGGCAGTGCTCGAAGGATCGTTGTGCAGAGCGTTGCGTTGGCACGACGTCGGCAATTCCTGGCTCATGGTTGGGGCACCCGTAACACAGATCAGGTGTCGGTGTTGGGCCCCGTGCAGGCACACATTTCAAACAACGTCACTATGCACGTCTGGCGCGCATGCAATCAATCGCAGAGCAACCGAGTGCCCCAATAACGCCCCCGCACACCGCTTATCAGAGTGCGGGGGCGAGAGCTCTACACATGTATTGGATGCGTGGCTGAAATCAGATTCCGCAGTGCGGACTCTTACTGCTGTCGCAGTAATCATCTATACCACCAGCGCCTATACATACCATTGCTCTTACATTCGTCGCTGTCGTCATCGTCCCCTCCTTCCTTCAGCAGCGTGTGCGTGCGCGTGCGCGTGCGTGTGCGCGAAGGCGTGAGAGGGTGCGCGCGTGCGCGCGCGTGCCCGCCTGCGTGTCTGGACGTCTATATCGCGGTGATCCCTGTAGTCCGACTTTTTGGATGCACCATGCTTTCGCCTGCGACGATTTGAGACTTGAGCGTGCTCATAGGCGACGAACACGACAACATCCGGACGGAAATCTGGGCGAAGCGGGACAAGATCCATACCAAGCTGAAAGATCCGGACGGAAGCCCCCAAAAATGCGAACGAACCTAAAATCATCTAGACCAAGCTTCAAAAACCAGACCGAGCCCAAAAAATCCGGGCGGGATCCCAAAAATTTTGGAACCAGAAGCCCTGAGATCAGGATATTTCGATGGATCTCCGGACGACATTTGGACGAATATCGGGACGGATATCCGGAAGAAATCCGGTCGGATATCCGGATGATGGCGTAATTTTCCAAGAATTTCTTTCGCGTCTCGATAACGCATTCTTTTTCCGTCGCGCGCGGTGGAGGAGGACGAGAGGGAGGGGGGAGGGGGGGGGAACGTCGAGGACAAGGGAAACATTTGTAGTGCGACGGAGGATCGGGATTCCTCGGCCAATAGCCACCCCCTTCGAACCCTGAACCCTGCGAGGCCTATCCGGCCCAGTGTCTGAATGAGCCCTGCCGGCCATCAGAGGGGAACGACTCTTACGAACCCCGCGTGCTCTATGAGCCCTGCCGGCCTCACCAGCCCTATGATGTGAATGAAAGTTCAGCGCAGCACGATCGTGCTGTTGGTGTGCGTCCTCCTCCTCTGCATCGTCAGCCTCATTATCCTCCCCTTGTTCGCGAGGGAGGACGGGGAGGACGAGGGAGGATGGCCAATATGGTTTAGTTTCGTGGGGCCCGCGGGTCAATCCAGCTTGGCCCCCATGTGCCACTTTCCGATTTACGCCTGTGCTGAAAGCTACCCCGTCGTATTCGAGTAGCGCGAAGTGCGTGCGATAGCAGCCTGGACTGCGCCAGGCCATCGTTTCGCAGAGCGCTTCATCGTTCACCTTCCCCCTCTTTCCTGCCAGGTCAGGGTCGGGACCTTTCGTGGCCCCGGGCGGTATGGGTTCTTCTGCCGGCGTTTGCGCGTCGAGGCCGCCAGGTTTTCAAGAGGGGGGCCGCGGAGCAGGCAACGCTCTCTTGGGGCAGAGAGAGGGGCATGATTATGGGAGATGGGGGGGGCGCGGGAGGAAACCATGAGAGCAGTCTTTCTTTACACAAATGCTGTCTTGAGGTTCTCGGCTATTTCATTTCGACGCATTGTGGCTTTGGAGTGCGTTTGTATCGTGTCTTTCTTCCCTGGGTTGTTTTTGGGGGATGGTGATTTCGGCCTTGGGAGCGCGTTGCACGTCGGGATTTGGCGGCATAATCGCCGCGGCAGGCATGACTCCTAGCCTCGGCGTCGACAGCGGTCAGCAGGCGCGGGCCAATGCACCCGCTACCTCTACAGCGCTTGCCCCGTCGAGATCGAGCCTGCTCGGACGGCCCCACCCTTGCGCACCAGGCAAGGCAGCACTGACCTTCGCAGGGCTCCCAGGAGTTTCTGGCCGCAGCATTCCGCTTCAATACAGCCGGGGCCCTGAAGAAGGAACCCTTTTCGTTGGGGAGGGGTTCCGTGTTCCTTAAGTGTTTCACAGCTTGCCTCAGGTTTTCCTTATGTTTCCGATGGGAAATCGAAGTTCAACTTATGGTAAAAGGGGGCCTCGTTCCTTACTTGGGGTTCCTCAGGTCAACGCCCCGACGGTAGTGCAGTACCTGTTCTCAGGGGTGCAGCATTTCGACTCCCTGCTCCGCGACCGTGCCTCCCCCTTGTTGCTTCTTGTGTTCGTGGGGCAGTACTATTTGAGGTCTTCTCGAACGGTGTCAGTGTGGCCTTTTTGTCCGACGACGCTCCCCTCCCGAGGAGAGGGAGTGCAGGGAGAGGGCAGGGAGTGCAGGGAGTGCCAGCGGGGAAGGGAGGGCAGGGAGAGGGGAGTGATGATGGGATGGTGGTGGACAAGAGGGGGGGGGGGAGACAAGGGAGGGACGGGAGTGGAGTGGGCAACTGGTGGGAGAGGGGGAGAAGCGGGAGGTTGTGGGAGGAGCGCAGCGAAGAGGAGAGGAGAGGAGAGGCGAGCAGAGGAGAGGAGAGGAGAGGAGAGGAGGGGAGAGGAAGGGAGAGGAGAGGAAGGGAGAGGACGGGAGAGGAGAGGAGAGGAGAGGAGAGACGGCGGCGCCGACCCCTCGAGGGAGGAGCCCCCTCCGCTGGCGGAGGCTCCACGCCGTCCCCGTGGCGTGCGCGGCGCCCCTCTGCTGGCTGCTGTGGCGCCACGGGGCGCGCCGCCCGCCCGCCGTGGTTGGCCGGTCGGCCGCCTTCGGCCGCGGAGGCGTCGGCCTCGGCCAAGCAGTGGCGAAGCGTGCCGGCTCGCCTGCGGGCCCACCGAGCAGTGTGCTGAGGATCGGGAGCGGAAAAGAGGGGGGTGATGACTAGGGGGGGGGGATTTCATGGCGCGGGCCATGATTTTTTCCCCAGATTTCATGGCGCCTCTTCTTATTCCATTACGTCCCAGGCCCCCCCGCTGGGCCGCGCACATGCCGCCGGGCATGATTTGCACCCCCCCCCTCTTGGACACCCCCCTCTTGGCCGCTCCCGAAAGGACCCTTTGTGGCCTCCACGACGTGTTCTCAGAACCTGTCTGGCCGGGACTGTCTTGGTTTGAAGTAGCACGCTGGGCTCATGTTCCAAGAGCACTGCCTCAGCTCTTAGAACATGTCGAGGTGCTGGGAACATGTCGTGGTAGGCCTGTAGGAATGCCGGGACGGTCGGTCTCTACTCAGCTCGGAGGGCTCCGCGGGGCCCTCGGGAGGCCCTCGGGGGCGGCCGGCCGTCTCGGGAGCTCCAGCACCCGTGGGGCAGGCATCGCCACGGGAGAAGGGGTTCCCGAGGGAAGCGGGTCCTGAAGTGTTTCGCCGCTTTCGGCTTCCCGGGGCTTTCCACGAGCCCCGGGACTGTCATGGAACGGTTCAGGACGGAGAGTTGGTTCGGAATTGGGGGAATGTCGCCGGGGTGCAGGACCCGTTTCCCCCTATGCTAGTAGCAACGGCATAACGCAAAATCTCGGATGTCCGCGCTCGGCCCCGCTGGCGGCGCCTCCGGCGCCGCCCGTGGCGCACTCTGCGCGCCAGGGAGGGCGAGCCGGAGCCGAACCGAGAAGTCCGCGGGGGCCTCATAGTTTTTGTGCTCGATGTCATGGCTTGTTCCCCAAAAGCAGTGGTCAAGCGCCTCGGTTTTGCTGCAAGCCCCCCCGCCTACTTGACGCCGGGCACCTAGCCTGACGCCAAGCCCGCTGCCGGTGGGCTCCAGTGGCACCCTGGCCGTGGGAACAGCGGTGACGTGCAGCTCTGGTGAGCGGGCGGGGTGTACGAAGACTCGAAACGAAGCTCCTGCCCGAGCGTCCTGATCTGGCCGCAGCGTCAGCGACATTTCCACCTCAGAGTGGCATCCCCACCTCTGCGCTGGCTGGCTCTGTGTGGCGATTCGGATTCGGTTGCAGCGCAGACCCCACCCCGAGGACATCGAGTGGCAAAGATACGAGTCACAACGCATCACAAACATTCACAAATACTGACAGCCATGCATGCTCCCTCTGCAAGGTAATATGTGTGATCAACCTCTGTTGGCAAGGACTGTTCAGGGGGTGGTTATCCTTTTCTTCCTCCTCCGCTTCCTCTCCTGCGGCTCAGCGCGATGCTCGACGACATCATGAAGGTATCACATCAGCACGGGCTCGATCGACACCCGAGCAAGACAAATATAATGAACGACGTCAGGCGACGCACGGGCAGGGATAGTCTACGAATAGCACGTGTTGAGAACATGGACATCGAGATCTTTACAGCGGGAGTCTCAATTAGTTCGGCCGATTGATCAGCTTCAACAGTCCGATGGGCACGACAACCCTTCACTTCACGAGAACAGTGTAGGCGGCGTCCACTTATCGAAAGCAGGAGCTGACGACCAGCCCTCTCGACCAACGACTACGGCTTTTCAGCAGCACGGTGGCCCCGACAGTACAGTACGGCGCAGAAGCGTGGGCGCTCACATAACCATCAGCACCTGAAGCGGACACATCGACGCATGCTTCGCATGATTACCAGACCTCCGAGGCGACGCACGATCCACCAAGCAGGCCTAAACAACAGGCGATGCATCATGGATCGCGGCACGAGCTTCGAAACACCCGACCACGACCCCAACACAAGTAGCAACAGTGACAACGCAGACAGCGTTGCACCCTGCGACGCAAGCGAAATGGTTGATCGCCACAACGACAATGACGACCATCACGACGACGAGGGGGACACGATGGAGCCGTGGGCCGACTACATCCTGGCGCCACACGGCGCGCTTAGCAGTTCGTGACACGCCACAGCATCGCAAACAGGGAGGTGATCTGCAAGCGAAGGTCGTGGCGCATGGCGTCGATGGGTTGCCAGCCACAAGCGCAAGGCTTTGGCATGGCGTGCGCTGCGCTGGCGGCCGGATGCCAACCGTCGACAACGCGGGCTACACAACAGCGGCCAACACAAGCGGCGAGAAGACGATATCAGCACCTCCCCTCATCAGCGCAGACCGACACCCGATAACCACATCCTGCACCAATGAGCACAAAATTGCAACCAGATGACGCCACACGGATACCAGTTGCTAGACACGTCACAACTCGGGCGAAGCTTGAGAACGACTACGCAAACAGCCGGAACAAACCCACATATCACCAATTACCTTTCTCACACACATTGCTCGAGCGCCAGCGACATCTCTGATCGGAAGGGTGTTTTCGACGTTGGCCACATCCCTGTCAGGGATTGGTGTGGCTGCCTGTGCGCTTGTCACATCCCTCATTGAGAAAGCTGCTCTCGCCCCAGCGCCAGCCACATCCCTGATTGGGAATGGTGCTCTCGCCTGAACGTTGGCCCCATCCCTGCCTGGGATTGGTGCTGCTGCCTGTGCGTTGGCCACATCCCCTTCCCCTCACCTTGAACGGTACCCTCGCCTCTCCGCTGGCCACATCCTCCATAGTTTGCTATGGTGGTGCCGCTCGAGTGCCAGCCACAGCCCTCATTGGGAAGGGTGCTCTCGCCTGAGCTCTGGCCACATCCCTGTTTGGGATTGGTGATGTCGCCTGCACGCTGGCCACATCCTTAGTTGGCAATTGTTTCTGCCACTCGAGCGCTGTGAATATCACTGATTCGAAAAGGCACTCTCGCCCAAGCCCTGGCCACATCCCTCATTGGCAACCTCAGCGGTGGCCCCATGCCCAGTCGGCTATGTTGCTGCCGCTCGAGCGCCAGGGACATCCCTGATTGGGAAGGTTGCTCTCGCTCGAGCGCTAGCCTCATCCGTGCCTGGAATTGGTGCTGTCGCAGGCGGGCTGGCTACATCCCTCATTGGGAACGGTACTCTCGCCCCAGCGCTGACCAAATCCATAGTTTTCTATGGCGTTGCCGCCCGAGCGTGTTTTCGACGCTGGCCACATTCCTGCCAGGGATTGGTGCTGTCGCTCGCTAGCTGGTCATACCCCTCGTTCGATACAGTGTTCTCGCCACAGCGCAGGCCACATCCCTAATTGGCCATTGTGTTACCGCTCGAGCGCCAGCCACAATCCTGACTGGGAAGGGTGCGATTGACACTCCTCATTGGGAACGGTAGTCTCGCCGTAGCGCCGGAAATATTCCTCATTGGCTGTTGTGTTGCCGCTCGAGCGCCAGCCAGTTGGTGCACCTAATACGCCATTCATGGCGCAACCTACGCTGTAAGTGATGGCTCATCTCATGGTGCACCCATGCTATGAAGCTTCGCGCAACCTATGACACACCCTACGGCGCAGCCAATTTCCTGCAACATATTGTGAGATTGCGGCGCAATTCATCTCGCAAAGTCTGGCGCCTTCGCCGACAAGGCCGAAGATGAGAAGGAGCAGGTGGACAGGACTCCTGCGGCTAGCAGGTCGACAGGACTTGTGATTTTCCGCGCGTGCTCGGTCTGCAGATGACATCCATGACTGCGTCCGCGCGTGCCGAGCGAGTGCCGGCGAGGTGGCGTCAGATTCAACATTTGGCGTCAGGTTACGTTCAAAAACGCCGTCTCATTGCTTATGGGGATGACGTCAGGTTAAGTTCTTTGGCGTCAGGTTAGGGTGGAGGGCACCAAAGAATGCTCTAAGAGCCTGTTGTGGCCTGCACGGGATGTCCTTAGAACATTCCTGGTTGCGACCGTCTTGTTGTCGTACATCGGCTCTGTGTTCTAATGAAGGACATCGTTTTCTGTTCTTAGAGCATTCCAGGGGTCGACCTAAACGGTGATCTGGCGATGCCTAGGCGGACCGACGACAGAACGATGGAACGCGAGCACAAGGCAGAAGCGAATGACATCGTTTCGGTCGATCCCTGGAGCACTCGCCAGTTCCAAGACGGTCGCGGGAGCCCTGCAGGCATGCAGGGACGGTCGGTCCCTGCTCCACGGGCGGGCGTCTCGGGCGGGCCCCTCGAGAGGGGGGGGGGGGGCCTCAGGCGGGCCCCGTGGGGGGGGGGGCCGCGGCGCGGCTTGCGAGGCCGACGGGGGTCCGGAGGAGACGAGGCTGCAGCGTGGAGCTCCCCCACGCTGTGGGCTGGAGGGCGAGGCGCCTCGCGAGCGGGAGGAAGCGAGTCGGCGGCGGGCGAGGGGGCGGAGGTGATCTGGAGAGGGCCTTCTCAGAAGGCGGCGGGGCTGCTCAGAAGCCCTCCGGCCCTCTGAGAAGGTTTTCGTGATTGCGGGGAATCTGCTTAGAGATCTTAGCGGAAGGCCGGGGTATGTCCGAGCACTCTGAAAAAAGGCCCGCTCCTGCTCGATTCCCCCCCCCCCCCGGGCGCGCCGCCTCGAGCGGGAGGAAGTGAGGGCCGAGTCGGGCAGTAGCAGACGCGTCTGCAGGATCCGTCTGAGGATCACCTGCGCCCGTGCTTCTCACACGAGCGGTAAGGATTGGCAGCAGCAACAGCAGCAGCATGGAGGAAATGCAAACCTACGAGCAAAACTACGCGTGAACGCAGGAGCATGACCGTAGTCCCATGGTATTATGTACAGCAGTGGCTCGTGCACTGGTCATCTAATTATTTGTCTGCGCGCGCTCTAAAGTCGTGTATACAGTCGCGCTGACGCCGTGAAATGCTGCGAGGAAGAGACGTCACCGAGAACGAAAACAGGTGACGTCACATGTTCTTCAGTCTCTCCTCCACAGGGATCCAGGGACCGATGTTGGGTGTATCTGGGCTGGGCGGGGGGTCGCCGTTGTCTCAATTGGCCATCTGGTCATCCCCCGCCCCCCCGCTTACACTCTCTAACCGTCCCTTCCTCCCTCCTCCTCTCACAACCTGATCCTGCTCCTCCTCGTCCTCCTCCCTTCACCTTGTCCCCTCTTCTCCTCATCTCTCATTTTCGCTCTTCCTCGTCGTTCCTGTCCTTAGGTTGGGCACACTACGACTGCATGGCTGGAGCGTTCGTGCGTGAAGAGAATAAAGCAAGTGGCCGACTCAGGCGAAGTGAGCAGCAAATTAAGCCACGGACAGGGGCAGATAAAGTAATGCAGAGAGAAGTTGAAAGGAATAATGGCTCAGCAGGGCATAGAGTGACCTGCTCCGCGGCAGTGCAACGTAGGGAAGAGGATACTACGATACAAGATACATAAACAGATCAAGAGGAGTACGCCGAGAGAGTAGGATTCTAACTGCAGTTGCAGGCGGCAGCGCAGGTAAATTATTTGAGGCAGGTGTTGTCCAAGCTTCCTCAGTAAAACTCACAGAGGTTGTTGTCACTTATGTCAGGAGGGAAAGAAACGCACAGACACAATTAATCGTCGACTCCCAGGAACATATGCGAAGATATGGGAAGTGGTGGGGAAGACAAACACCCAGAAGATATGGGAAAATATGGGGGATATTTTTGTGTGTGTATTTATTTGTGTGTCCCAGGGCCCCTTCATTATGGTACTCCTCCGCCACATGAGTCACGCACAAAAAATGGGCCGCTTTTCCACCACCGCTACCATAGGAGGAGGAGGAGGAGGAGGAGGAGGGAGGAGGAGGGAGGAGGAGGAGGAGGAGGAGGAGGAGGAGGAGGAGGAGGTTGTTGTCACTTATGGTACTCCTCCGCCACATGAGCCACGCACAAAAAAAAAACGGTGTCGTTTGCGCCGACCTTGGCGCGCACGCTGCCCGCGTACGGTCGCGCGTGAGAGCGCCCATCGCTTCGAGTGTGGCGTGCCGCGCGGGCGGCCCGCGTGTGCCGCCGCGTAGGGTCGCTGTGGCATCTCGCGTAGGACCCGCTTTTGAGCGTCGCTCACAGGATAACCCCACCTCCGCCGCTGCCCATAGTGAGGTAGTCGAGCGAAAAAAACAGGAGAAGCGGAACGTACAAGCCAGCCTGTGCTGTACTGGTTGGCCTAAGAACGGGGCAGGCTGTGCCGCAATGTGTTGATGGCGTTGGGGGTTGTCAGAGCGGGCTAGCATGCGCATGGACGAGCCGGCGAATTGGGTTGAAGTAGGGCAGGCGGGCAGGCGGGCTTGAATGATGTTGGAAGTACTCTCAACCCCAACTCCTCCGTCTAACCAACTACCAATCATATCAGAACCCCTCCCCATCACATAGCCTGTGAAGCAGGCTCGGTATGACTGCTGTTCAAAATTGCGAAAGTACAGACAAGCAAGCTTGAAAGTAAGTATATGGATTTTGAACATGACAGTGCTGTACTGGGCTGTTGTTACTGGCTGTCCCTGTCTGTGCAGGCTGGCCAGTGGCATAACAGATCTAGCGCGGCCTTGTGGGCCACTTTCATTGTGAACACATTCCCCCGCATCACCTCAGTCCACAACCCCCATCCAGTGCACCAAATCCCCTTCCCAAGATAGGTGATGCAGGTAAGATGGCGGTACTGGGTTGGGCTGGCCGTAGGCTGGCACTGCCGCTACAGGCTGGCCTGAGTAAATTGATTGAGTGGGCGCTGCAAAGTCATTGGTGGTACTGGACTGGCACTGGCATTACAGGCTGGCCCAGCGTTTTGAAACTGAACAATCAGGCCCGCGTCATACAATTGTCAAGTTCAACGGGAAGTCAATGATGCCTTCTAGTCTGGTGTCGTATCGGTTCTGGTAGTATGCAACGGTGTTACACAACAAGGTGGTAGGCGTATTATGGACCCGCTCAACCCTAAATCAAAGGTAGAGCACCTACAGGTAGCCTGAGGCAGTGTAGCAATGTAGGCTGAACGAGATGGCCGAATGTATGCCGCGGCGCGTCGCTCTGCCGGGGTCCCCGGGGTACGGGGAGGGCCTGAACACAACCTCAAAATTCCAGCCACCATAGTGGGACGGGAGGTGATGGAAGCGACAGATGGGTAAAGCCGCCATGAAAAGGCTGGCCAGTCTGGGGGCTTACAGCACTTACTCCTCCTCCTCCTCCTCCTCCTCCTCCTCTCTCCCCTCCTCCCTCCTCCTACTACTACTTACTACTACTACTACTACTACTACTACTACCACTACTACTACTACTACTACTACTACTACTACTACTATACTAACTACTACTACTACTACTACTACCTACTCCTACTCCTACTCCTACTCCTACTCCTACTCCTACTCCTACTCCTACTCTACTCCTACTCCTACCCCTACCCCTACCCTACCCCTACTCCTCCTACTCCTCCTCCTCCTCCTCCTCCTCCTCCTCCTCACTGTCGCCAGCTCTGCAGAGACCGCCATCGAGATGATGAGTATCTTGGAAAACGAATTGAGAGTAGGACACAGGTTGCGCATCAACCCGTCGTCGAGATTTCTGTTGTGTTCGTCGCCGGCCGTGTACCCCGACAGCGAGTATCGGGACAGTCAGGGGAGAGTCTGGTCCAGGACGGTATCGACCAGGGTGCTGGATCCTACTATATCCGTCATAGGTTCAAACTCCGACGACCTCAACAGGACCTGGAAGGCCATCAGGATGGTGTTGTGGAAAACAGCCGTTTCTTGTGCAACCCGATGATCCCCATAAACAAGCGAGATTCGAAGTCCGACGGGATCGTGACTGGCAGCCTCGGCTCTCGTTCGGCCGCCTGGACCCCGAATCAGATGGCCATTCGTTTCCTGGACCCGAGGCAGTCGAAGGTGTTGACGTGGATGCTGAGGCTCAGGAGGCTACCACATGAGGAAACCAGGGCGTTCTGCAGAAGGCGTGCGCGTAGGATTCGGGGGCGATTGCAGGTTCAGTGGGCTCGGATTTTCCTTCAGTCTGTTCTCTCCTGGTTGTCCCACCTCCAGAGACACCAGGACTCCTTATTATATCAATGCTTTCTGGAACAGGGAGCGGATTGGGTAGCAGCCAGCCAGCGACGCCAATGGATTTCCCCAAACAGCTGTAGCAGTAAGACTTTCACTCGGAGTGCGAGGGGCAGGGTGATCCGCTTGGACAACGGGCGGGCCAAGACGTTCGACCCTGGTGGCTCCAGAGATCCCCAGACCTTGCATGCCCTCTCCCTCCGCCTCCTGTCTCACCTCGGTGGCAAGGATAAGGTTCCTGCACGCTAAGCTTCCAGCTTTCGTTCTCATGGGGCAGTCAGGGATCCGCTTTGGGGAGCGCCTCACTCACTCACTCACTCCTTCTTTCGATGTCCTCGCCTCGCGCCATCTCCCCCTTTCGGTGGTGGGGCGGGCTCCATGGCAGGCCTACATCGGCGAGGCGGCTCGCAGAGAGGAAAGTGGGGGAGGGGGGGGGCGCGCCGCCAGGGCGAGAGCGTCTTCTGGAGCCTCGTTCTCTCCATGCTGCAGGCGCCCCGTCGGGTGGGGACGTCCTCATCTTCCCCGTTCCTCTGTTATCCCTCTCCTCCTCTGTCCCTCCTGCTCCTCCGCATCCCTCTCATCCATCCTCCACTTCGTCCTCTCCTCCCCTCTCCTCGCTCCTCCTCTCTCCTGCTCCTTCTCCCCCCCCTTCTCATCCTCATTATCCTGATCCTCATTATCATCCTCCTTCTCATCCTTCTCTATCCTTCCCCCCCAGCCTCGTCGGTCCTTTCCTATGCTCCATCCTCCATGCCTCCTCGTCATCCTCCTCATTATTCTCCTCTCTCCTCGTCGTCCTCATCTGTCCTCCTTCCCCGTCCTGCATCTCCACTCATCGTTTTCATCCTCACCACCTCCTCCTTCGTCGCCCTCGTCCTCCTCGCGTACAGTCGGGGCCTTGAAGAAGGAACCCTTCTGGTTGGGGAGGGGCTCCGCGTTCCTTAGGTGTTTCACAGCTTGCCTCAGGTTCTCCTTTGTTTCTGTCTTCGATCGGAAATCGAGGCTTACCTTCTGGAAAAAGAGGGGCCTCGTTCCTGATTGCGGGTTCCTTAGGTCAACGCCCCGACGGTACCTCCCTCTTCGTCGCCCTCGCCCTCCTCGCGTACCGCGTACTCTGCAAGCGGCGTCTCGTCCGCAGCGGAGGGGAGCAGTGCCCCCGCGGCTCCGCCGCGGGCCTCCCGCCGACGCCGGGAGCGCGCCTCCCCCGGGGGTCTGGCACGGAGCGGCGAGAGCGTGCCCCGCCCGGCGGTTGGCGACAGCGTAGACAGACAGAGCATCTAGAGTCTCCTTCCTCCTCCTCCTCCTCCTCCTCCTCCTCCTCCTCCTCCTCCTCCTCCTCCTCCTCCTCCTCCTCCTCCTCCTCCTCCTCCTCCTCCTCCTCCTCTCCTCCTCCTCCTCCTCCTCCTCCTCCTCCTCCTCCTCCTCCTCCTCCTCCTCCTCCTCCTCCCCCCCCCCTCCTCCCCTCCTTCTCCTCCTCCTCCCCCTCCTCCTCCTCCTCCCCCTTCTCCTCATGGTTCGGGCCTCCCTCGCGCCGGACGGCCTGCCCCGAGCGCGTCGTGCTCTGGCACCCGAGGGCACGCTCCCAGCCGGGGGTGGACAGACCTCCTACAGTCGGGGCCGTGAAGAAGGAACCCTTTTCGTTGGGGAGGGGCTCCGTGTTCCTTAATTGTTTCGCAGCTTGCCTTGGATCTTCCTCAGGCTTTCGATGGGAAGTCGAAGTGTAACTTATGAGAAAAAGGGGCCTCGTTCCTTATTTGGGACTCCTTAGGTCAACGCCCCCACTGTACCCCGCCCAGCAGCTGGTGACAGCGTAGACAGGCAGAGCATCGAGTGGCCTTCGTTCCAGCCCGCCTGGGTTGAGGGTCCGAGTCTTGTTGGATGCATGTTGGGATCTCCTGGGAGGCCTATCGGGCGCGCCTCTGGGATGCAGTTTTGGGGTGTCTTGGGGCATCATTTGGGCTCCTCTGGGTCTTACGTTGCTCCTCTTGGGTGGCCTGGGGCTCCCGGGGGCCTGCTGGTGGTCTTGGGGGTCGTCTGGGGGCGGCGGACTCAAAATGTCAGCTCGTATTTCTCGAGAGCCTCTTGCGCCGCCTTGGTGCGATTTGGGGACTCTCTTGGACCATCTTGGAGCGTGAGGGCCCGAAACTGCGATGGCGCCAAGATCAGAGCAGAGGCTGCCGCTCCTGCCAGCACCTGCGAGCCCGTTCATCGCCACGGGGGAAGCGGCTCCCGAGGGAAACGGGTCTTGAGGATGTGTGCCGTTTTCGGGATCTCGAGGCCCTCCACGGGCTCTGGCATTCTCAGCAGTCGGCCCAGGACGAAGATTCGGTCCTGGTGGAAGGCCCCAGGGTCCATGACTCGGGCCGGACGAAAGGGGGGGAGTGGGAAAGGGGGGGGTACGAAATTTGCTGCATGCAGCTGGTTTCGGCCTCACCGAGGTGCCCATTCCTCGATACACAGCCGCCCCCGGCGCCAGGAGGCGCCGGGAAAATCAGCTACGTGAGCTGATTCTCAAACCCTGCCTTTGCTATCCCCCCCTTTCGCCCGACCCGAATGACACGTGTCCCTCAGGACCCGTTTCCCCATGCTGCAGTTCAGCCTAAAGTCTCGGAGCAACCACATTAGTGCACCAGCCCCTCTGCTGCTGCCCACCTGGCGTGCCATGGCTTTCACCCGGTCGAGAGGAAGAGGGAGGGCCCCCGGAGTGGAGGTGCATAGAAGTTGAGTTTTTAGTCTTCAGATAGTACGAGTGTGTCTTGAGGCAGTGTGATGCTCATCAGAGCTCCAGGAGGGGAGGAGGGGAGGCGGGTGGTGGAGAGGAGGGGAGAAGAGGAGGGAAGAGGATCCGAGGAGCCGAGGAAGAGAGTGGAAGCACAAGAGGCTGGAGGACGACGAGCAGAACGAGCGGCAGAAGGGGAGGGGTGGCATTGGCCGCCGCGCGCCGCTTTGCCAGGCAAACGGCCCCATCGCCGTGAAGTTCGCGCAGTGGGCCGCCACGCGTCCCGACATCCTGCCAGGAGGGGGGGAGGGTGGCGCCTTGCTCAGGGGGAGGCCAGCTGGGACAACCAGCGGCCCTCCTTCTGCGCCGCCACCTCCTCCTCCTCCGCCTCCAGCTCCTCCTCCGCCACCTGCCACTTCGTCCTCCGCCTCCAACTCCTCCTCCTCCTCCGCCACCTGCCCCTCGGAGAACCGATGATTTGGGGCTTCTCAGGCCCTCTTGGAGGCTCACTTCTCTGGGGCCGTTTGGAAGGCCTCTTGGGCAGTCTTGAGGCCGTGCTGGGCCGTGCTGGCTCGGGCCATGCCGGGTCGGCATGGAAGCATCATGGATCACCGTGCCGGTTTAGGGCCGTCTTGGAAGCCATCTTGGGTATTTGTTGGACGGCTTGCAGAGGGCCAGGAAGGTCGTCTGGCCGCCCATGAGGCCTCGGGCGAGAGGAGCCGCACGCATGGAGGCGTGGCTGTGAGGGGGGGCGCCCCTTAGAAGATTGCAGAAGTCATGTCAGACAGCATTTGGCATCCGACGACGCCTCAGTGCGCCTGGGGGCGCGGTGGCGGATCACCTGATGAAACGTCCATGCGTCAAGAGGGGGTCATCGTTGATGGCTATGGCCTTGCGATAACCAGTTCTGGCGCGGGGCAATGAGTTTCCACGTGATTTGTCCCATGTGTTGACCCTCCTTTGTCGCATCTGTTCCTCCGTCCCGTCATTCCAGATGTGTCACAGTTCTCTCGTTGCCCTTCTTTGTGAATATATATATATATATATAGATATACACATATATATATACACATATATATATATATAGAACAGAGATACAGAGTTGCGGACAGGTGAATAGTTTGCGTGCCCGCATCATCATCATCATCATCATCATCATCATCATCATCATCATCATCATCATCATCATCATCATCATCATCATCATCAACAACAACATCATCATCTGTCCTCTCTATTCGCCCGTTTCTCCCTCCCTTCCTTGTTCAATGCGCCCCTTTCAGCCATCCTCGTGCGTCCACCTCCTCCCTTGTCATAGTAGATCCTCTCTCGTCGTGTCCTCCTCTGTCGCCGTGGTCGTCCTCCTACCTCGTCGCGTTCCTCCTCCTCCCTTGTCATAGATCCACTTCCCACATGCTCCTTCATCCTCCCCGAAGATTCCTCCTCTCTTCCTGTCTTGCTCTCTTCCCCCTGCCTAACCCACACAAGTGCCAAGAGACCGCTGAGGCAACACAAACACACATCCTCGCCACCTGAAATCATACCCTCTGTTACTCGATCCTACTCCCCGATTTCTCGACCCTCTTCCTGCCGCCACCCTCGCCCGTCCACGGCTGTTGCGAGCTCAGCGGGGCGGGGACAGGGGGCGTGTGCGACCACTTGTCCGAGCTTCAGGCCTCCGTGCGGCCACACCCGCTCAAGGATCCGGCTGCTGGTGATCATCTTGCTGCTGCGCCTAATCATCATCCTCGCGTTATCTCTTTCTCTTTTTCCCCCTATCACCAGTCCCCCCTCCTGTCTTGTCCCTCCCCCCCCTCATCCCCTCACTCATCCCATCCCGAACCCTGCCTCTCCTCCCCATCTCTTCCAGTACTTCCTTCCTTCCTTCTGCCTCCCGCCTCCGCTTCCTCCCTCGGCCCACCTCCCCTCCCTCGTACCTTCCCCGCGGACATGGGAAGTCGGCGTCTTCTCGGGCATTGGATGAGCACCGGCAGGGCTGAGCGGAAAGGGGGAGTGGAGACGGACAAGGCATAGCAGGATGACGACGACGACGATGAAGATGATTGTTGGCGAGCTCGATGTTGATGTTGATGGTAGTGTTGATGTTGAGTGCGGTGTTGTTGATGATGGTAAGGATGATGGTGGTGATGGTTGACGGTAGTGATGATAATAGTGACGGTGACGATAGTGATGACGATGGTGACGACGATTGTGGAGACGTTCGTGGTGGCGGTGATGTTGTTGATGATGTTGCTGATGATGTTGATGGTGTTGATGATGATGGCAATGCTATTGATAATAGTGGTATTGATGGTGAGGATGAGGCTGAGGATGAGGATGGGCAGGATGATTTAAGGATGAGAATGCGGATGAGGATGATGGTGAGGATGAGGATGAGGCTGAGGATGATGATCATGACGATGCGACGGCGTCGACGACGACGATGATGTTAATGCTGTTGATGATAACGTTTACGATGACTATGCTGATGATGGCGATGACGACGATGAGTATGATGATGATGCTGATGATAATTATGATGATGATGCTGATGACGATGATGATGATGGTGACGTGGATTGTGATGGTGATGATGGTTATGCTGATTGTGATAATGATGATGTCGATGATGATGATGATAATAATAATGATGATGCTGATGATGATGATGATGAGGATGATGATACTGATGATGGAAAGAGCGTGTTCTACCGCTGCTAGCGGAAAACCGAGAGGGGGGTCACTACCGGTTCGAACCCCTCCCCCCCCCCTCCGGAAAACCGGGGGGGGCCGGAAAACCGGGGGAGGGTCAGTACCAGTTCGAACCCCTCCCCCCCCCTCCCAGTCCATCATGAAAAGGGGGGGAGGTCACTACCGGTTCGAACCCCCCCCCCCCTCGAAAACCGGGGGGGGGGTGCGGACAGTGGTGGGAACGGTGGTGGTGGGAACAGTGGTGAGGGAACAGCGGGACACTGGTGGGGACAGTGGGACAGTGGTGGGGACGGTGGTGGTAGGGACAGTGGTGAGGACAATGGTGAGAACAGTGGGGACAGTGGGACAGTGGTGGGGACGGTGGTGGTGGGGACAGTGGTGTGGGGACAGTGGTTAAGGCGGTGGCGAGGACGGCGGTGGGACAATGGGACAGAGGTACAGTGGGGACAGTTGATGATGATGATGATGATGATGATGATGATGATGATGATGATGATGATGATGATGGTGGTGGTGGTGGTGATGATGATGATGATGCTGATGATGATGATGCTGGTGATGATGATGATGATGATGGTGGTGGTGATGATGGTAATGATGTGATGGTGATGGTGATGATGATGATGATTATGATGATGATGATGATGGCGATGATGCTGATGCTGATGCTGATGCTGATGCTGATGATGATGACGATGATGATGTTGATGGTGGTGGTGGTTGTGATGATGATGATGATGATGATGATGATGATGATGATGATGGTGATGGTGATGATGATGATGATGATGATGATGATGATGATAAGATTGATAAGATGATGATGATGATGATGATGAATGATGATGATGATGATGATGATGATGATGATGATGATGATGATGATGATGATGGGGAGGGGGGGGGGGGGGGAGGGGGGGTTTTGCCGGGGGAGGGGAGGGGGGGGGTCCAGCAGGGGGGGGGATTTTCGGAGGGGAGGGGGGGGGACCCCGGGTTCCAGAGGAAGAGGGGGGGCAATTTTCCACAGTAAAGCGGCGGTGGATCACGCTCTCTCTGATGATGATGATGATGATGATGATGATGATGATGATGATGATGATGATGATGGTGATGGTGATGATGGTGGTGATGATGATGTTGTTGCTGATGATGATGATGATGCTGATGATGATGGTGGTGGTGGTGATGATGATGATGATGGCGATGATGATGATGTTGATACTGATGCTGATGATGATGATGATGATGGTGGTGATGATGATTAGTATGATGAATATTATTATGATGATGCTGATGATGATGATGATGGTTGTGGTGGTTATGGTGATGATGGTGCTGATGATGATGATGATCATGATGATGATCATGGTGATGATGATGATGATGATGATCATGATCATGATCATGATCATGATCATGATCATGATGATGATGATGATGATGATGATGATGATGATGATGATGATGATGATGATGATGGTGGTTGTGGTGGTGGTGGTGGTGGTGGTGGTGGTGGTGGTGGTGGTGGTGGTGGTTGTGGTGATGATGATTATTATCCCGAAGGCTGAGGCGCCGCTGGTCAAGGACACGCCTGGCCACAGGCCACCAACTGGCTGCACTGCTGGGTGCCGAAGGGTTACGCGCGGAGCGGGAGCACCTGTTGCCGCGGTCGGAGCCGCCATGCTCTCTGGCACACCTCCGGCTTGACGCCGCCCACGTCCATAAGCCCACGTTCGCCCTCCAGCTCGCTCGCGCCCAGGCCGACCTGCTCGGACCGTGTCTCTCGAGTGTTCTGGACCCTCTTCTGTGGTCTTTCTCGGTCCAGCCTCGGCCAGGCCTTTGCCCCCGGGCTCGCTCAAGTCCAGGCCAGGACGCTTCCTCGGGCGCGTCCCCAAAGCGGCTTGTTTTTGTTTGAGACGGTGGCCCTCGAATTGAACCTCTCTACCTCTTCCCCAAAGCCAGGCTTGTCAAAATGAGTATGTTCTTGACGGCCCTGGGGCCTGGAAACGGCGCGTGGAGGCCGACAGGGTGCCAGCCTGAGCAGGTCGGCCTGGACGCAAGCGAGCTCCATGATGAGCGCTGACTCATGAAACCCAGAGACCTTTTCAAGGCCTAGATACCACCAAAAACGATCCAGGGGGGAGAAGGAAGAGCAGCATATGTAAAGCCACAGCGAGGACAAGCATGAGGAGGAGGAGGAGGAGGAGGTAGAGGAGGTCTGAGATGGCTGCGAGGGGCAGGGTGCAGAGCAGGGGAAGAAGGCAGACGGCGTGTCCAGGGAAGCGGAATCATTGCAGCACCTGATTGCGAGCATTCCCCCCCCCTCCCCGAGGACACTGTGCGGACACTCACCAAGGAGATGCCCGGTGTTCTGCTCTCCTTTGCCGCCGATGGTCTCCCTCCCCCCCATCGCAGGGAGTCGAGGTTTGAGTTGTCGTTGACATTCTCGGCCTTTTCTGTATGCCTATCGGCCTCCAGAGGCTTCGAGGGAAGCCTCCGTGGACCTCCAAAGACCTCTGGGGCCTCTGGCGGGAAAGTGGAGAGGAAGGGGATGGGGGAAGCGGAGGAGGAGGACGGGTGGCGTGCTTGGGCATGTAGCTTGGTGGTTGGCAGGGGGCAAGGCAATTCAGGCAAAGGCCGCTTCGCTGTTCGTGTATCGGCGCGTTTGCATTGCCGTATCGAAGTGGTTCGGCAGTTCAGGCTCGTGGTCGAGCGGCTTGCGTGCGCGAGCGCGTGGACCTTCGATCTACCTTCTCCTCATGATCCTCCCCACTTCTTCGTGATCCTCCTCGTCCTCCTGCTCATCCCTTCGCCCCCCTGACCTGGCCCGAGAGGTTGAAGCCGCGCGCCCTTGGATTGGTCATTGTTGTTTACGCCTTCAATTCCGAGAAGTGCACCAGTGGGGCATACAGCCTTGGAGGTACAGTCAACAATCGGTCTACGGCCGAGAGCGTTTGCAAGGGCATTCTTGCGGCATGGACTCATCGGCCCATCCTTAGACAATGTTGGACGTCCAAAATTAGTGCATGGACGATTAAAGGCCGCGGACATCTACCCTCCATCCTGAGCTGAGACGTCGAGTGTGTGCCCAGACCGTGTCGTCGCTCAGGACCATGTGTTGCCCAACATCGCAATGACAAAGTGACATCATCACACAACGTAGAGAGTCGACGAGTCAATGCTGTCACGCAGCGCAGCTTATCTCGAGGTGATCGAAGCTTTCGTGATACGGCCTAGCGCGTGGAGGTGCCATGTGGGTCGCCACTGCAAGCCCCGCACATCTGGAAAGTGACGAATGGACCAGACCGTGGGAGAGGCGCCAGCGACGACGACGGCGCTGTCAGGCCAACGAGGAGGAAGAGGGGGACTCCGCCAGCTGCCGGAACCCTCGTGCTGCTGAGCAGTCTTGGGGGATCTTCGGTAGCCCCGTGCTTGCGCAGGATCAGGGGGCGGTCACCCTTGGCCTCTGCGCGATCGCAGCACCCGCCCCCTCCCCCCCCGACGTGACGCTCCCCCCTTCAGTGCGTTCCGGGCACTGCCACAGCGTGTCTGGCACCACACTATGTGGTGTGGGGGGGGGTCGCTACGTTATGCCCCCTCTCCCGTTCCCCCCCTCCTCCCCCCCATAACGCCCGTCATGGCCGCGAATACAAAAATGCGCGCGAGGTGGAATTCAGCATCGGCGCTGGCAGGCGCCAGGCCACCGAGAATAGCGCACGGGGCATCATTCCACGTCTCCTCCCCCTCACCTCCACCTCCTGCGCCTGCGCGGCCGAGCCACTCAATTTGTTGAGCGCCTCCCTGCTCCTGTCGGGGGAGCGTAAGACCCGGGTTTGCCAGGACTCGGGTTCGCCATCGTTTTTTGACGACCGCGATTCGGATTTTGACGAGTAGGAGTTTCGTGGGATGTCTGCAGCGGGAGGCCTCGTCAAAATGCAGGCTCGGCCTCGTCATTTTTTTGACGAACTCGTCGGGGATTTCCGAGTCCCTGTACCCGGGTCTTACGCCCCCCTGATCCTGTCGGTGGTTCAAAGATGGGGTCCTGAGGGATGGGGTCATGAGGACAGGGAGGGTTTGCGCTGCTTGAGGCACCTCGTCCTTAGGACCCCCTCCCTCAGGATCCTATCTTTGAACCATCGGTCCTGCTTTTCGGCCGCGGCGAGCCTGCGGCGAGGAGCTTGGCCCCGAGTGGCGCGAGTCGCTGGAGCTGGACCCCGTCCCGGTCGGCTCCGGGCGCCGCCGCCGCCGCCCTTCCTGTCTGGCCGAGCGCGAGGGCGAAGAGTCCCAGACCCAGCCCGCCAACGTGTTTCTTAGCCTCCCGGATTCAGTATCGTTTGACCGATCTTTATCCCCATCCCCAGCCTGATTCCCACCATCCCACCACCCCAGATAGGGGACATGCCCTTCGGAATTCGAAGGGAACATCTTCCTACATCCCCATCAAGAGGGGTACATCGGCCAGTTGGGCCCACGCCCGTCGGGATAGGGATCGGTTGAACGATTCTCCCAGGTGGGGTCCGAACAGATGGGGGTCGGAGGATCGCGCCGCATCGGCGATGCATCGGCGGTGCAGCTCGATGTGGAGGCCGATTTTCTCTACGCCGACGTCCTCGATGCATCGCCAGGACTCCGCCCATGCATCACTCATGTATCGCCAATGCTTCGGCGATGGGGGTCGTTCTCCCGATCTGGGGGCCCTCGCCGGGCCCCAGGACAGTCGGGAACAACTCAGGATACAAAACCGGCCTAGCGCAAGGGTCTGACCTTCCAGGGAGCCCCTCTTGAAAACATCGGATCTGTGAAAACCGGTTGGTGGCAGACCGTGCGATGACCTCGAAATCCAAAGGACCTCACCGGACTGTCAGCCTCCGCACGGTCGGCCAGTTCTGGGGAGCCCAGGCGTCCGAGACATGCCTGAGAACGACTCGAGCCCCAAAACGGTCCGCTCACCCCGACTCGCCGCTGACTCATTGGACGGTGTGGTCACTGCACCGTGAGCTCGAGCAGATCGACGGCGGCATCATCATCCGGGCCCCGCAGGCCCCCACCCCGACCCGAGCAGCCTCGAGCTCGACCGACCGATGGCGCGCCGGCGAAGTCCGAAGCCAGGCAGGCAGCGGAAGGGTCGGGCCGCCTCTCCTCAGACCCTCGGGGACCCCGAAGCCCTCGCCTGGTCTCGAGAGACAGGAGCAGCAGCAACGAGGGAAGTCGAGGCTCGCAGCCCGATCGGGCGCCAGCAACGCGATCGAGGCTCGAAATTGGTTTTGAGCCGTCGGGTCCTCTTGGGGATTCCGCTAGATTTCTTTTGATTGACTCCCCACGTTCTAGGCCTCCTAGATGGGGTCGGAGTAGATGGGGTCGGAGGATCGCTCCGCATCGCTGATGCATTGGCGGTGCAGCTCGATGTGGAGCCCGAGTTGCGTCACGTCGATACATCGCCGATGCATCGCCGACGTCGACGATGTATGGCCCGTGCATCGCCGAAGCATCGTCGATGTATCGGCGATGCGGCGCGATCTTCCGACCCCATCTACTCCGACCCCATCTAGGAGGCCTCTACACCCGCGCTGCTGCTTCGCAATCGGGCGCTCCATGTTCTGTTGCACAGTCGTGAGGCGTTGCGTGTTCCATTTCTCTTCTTCTGTGCTTCCGGAAGCGCTGCCGATCGCGCGTCTTTCTTCTCGCGCGTCCCTTCGGATGCCTGGCTCTGTGGTGGTGGTGAGAGGCGTCTCGTCGCAGCGGTTAAGTCGGCCCTGCCCGTCTACAGGAGGAATATTCAAAAATAGTCAAAACATAGTCTGGGAACCATGTTCGAGTATGTTTAAGCAGTTTTGCATGTTTTTTGTTGTTGTTATATTTTTCATTGTTCGTCCAAAATCCCCCTGTAGGGGGACACGCCCGACCTAACGCAACGATTGGATTCCCCTGGAGGTGGTGGTCTCCACGCACCCTCGGAGAGGCTCAGCCGCCCAGCTTCGAGGCTCTCGGTGCGTCCCTGCCGAGGCGCGCGGAGTGCCCCACCCCCCGGCCGCAGTTGCAGTCCGCTTGCCGCGCAGGCCCGCTCGCGTGCGGCCCAGCCCAGGCATCCCTAGTCTTAGGTCGGGCCCGTCCCTCTACAGGAGGGATATTCAAAAACAGTGAAACACTTGTTTTGGGACGATTTTCGGAGTATATGGATCATTTTTGAGTAATGTTTGGCTATTTCCCATTTTTCGTCCAACATGGGCCTGTAGGGGGACAGGCCCGACTTCACCCTGGTCACGAGAGAGCCGAGACGACGCGCTCTTCCCAGGAGCGAGGCCCTTCCGAGAGGCAGCTCCCTTGACGAAGCCTCCCCCCCGGCCTGAGGCCCTGGAGTCCATTTTCCGCCCCCTGGCCGTCGAAGGGCCGCCCCCGGCGAGCAGCCAGCCGTCGACGGAAGGCGCCGCGAGAGGCCGCCACGTCCTCCTCCTCCTCCTCCTCCTCCTCCTCCTCCTCCTCCTCCTCCTCCTCCTCCTCCTCCTCCTCCTCCGGGAAGCGGCTCCCGAGGCCTCCCGCCGTCCTCGAGCGCTCGGGGCCTCCCGCGGGCCCGGGAGGAGAGATTGGCCGTGGGAGGCTGGCCCCGCGGGTCCAGGATCCGCTTCCCACGGGGCCCGTCTCTTTCGTGCCGCGTTCTTGGCATCGCTCGGACGTGAGCGTTTTTTTCCTTCGGCGAGGACCATCGAGGAGCATCCTTGATCGTTTGGCGAGAAAACCACGCACGAAACCGAAAACAGCACAGGGAATGGACGTCCGAGCGATGGCCAGCGTTCGGCCACGCGCAGAGGTGGTCAGGGGGAGGGGGAAGGCTTCTTGAAGGGAGGGTCCCCCTGTCCCGCTGCCCTTCTCTTGCGCGCCGCGAGCAGCGGAGAAGGCATACACGTTGACACTTTGAGGGAGGCGACCGACTCGAAAAGATCGAGCCGTCGGGGATCCGAGCAGAGGCGCGCGCGCGCTGGCGTCTCGGCGCACGGAAGAGAGAAAGAGAGAGAGAGAGAGAGAAATAAAGAAAGACAGCTATAGAGAGAGAGAGACAGAGACAGAGACAGAGACAGAGACAGAGACAGAGAGGGGGGCAACGATAGGGGGACGTAGGCATATAAGGGGGGATTCATCGACCCCCAATCGCCCATTCATCGCCGATAGGGGCCCGATAGCCCCAACCAGCCCAGGAGCGTGCGGACTCACTATCGGGGACCTATCGCCGATCGATCGGCGAGGTATCGTCGATCCGAGGTCGATGTGTACCCCCCTAGGCCAGTCTCCCCCAGATCGTTGCCCCCGAGAGAGAGAGAGGAGGAGGAGGAGAGACATAGAGAGAGAGAGACACACACACAGAAAATATAGCTTTATCCGGACGTGGGCTGGAGTCAAGCGCTAGCCCCCAGACAGCTACGGCCGCAAGAAGCGACGAAAGCGGGGGAGAGGGAAGAAGAGACAAAGTAATGTAAGTAGGAGGAAGGCGGGCAGGGAAGAGAAGGAGGAGGAGGAGAAGGAGGAGGAGGAGGAGCAGGAGGAGGAGAACTAGGATGATGATGATGATGATGAGGAGGAGGAGGAGGAGGAGGAGGAGGAGGAGGAGGAGGAGGAGGAGGAGGAGGAGGAGGAGGAGGGGGGAAGGGACGATGAGGAAGAGGAATGAGGAGAGAGAAAGAAGGAGGAAAGGGAGGAGGAAAAGAAGGAGAGAAAATGGGAGGAGGAGGAGGAGGAGGAGAAGGGGGAGGAGGAGGAGTAAGAGGAAAAGCCCCCAGAGGGGTGACTCGGTGCGTGGGCGGGGCATCGGGGCCCAGGGGGATCTGAAATCCGTCAAGCCGTGGTCTGCGTGGGGGCCGCGCGGCGGCCCAGGACTCGTCGCAGGTCCGTCGGGGACCCGCGGCCTCTGGGGCCGCGAGGGCACCCGTCCCTTGGTCGGCGTGGATCGGTCTCTGGTGTTCGCCGACCCGCACGGTACTCACTTGTGTGGGGGCGGGCTCCGATCACTGCTGTGGCATTCCCGTCACGCTGCAGGCGAGGGTGTGGTCGGGGGGGGTCGGCCGTTTGGGCACGGTTCAGAGGCGTGTGTTGCTTGGTCCCCTCCGGGCAAGTGGGCCTGTGGGGGGCGGGCCAGTTCACCCATGCGTGGAAAAATTGCCGTGTGCCCCGCACGGCGATTTGCTGTAATTTACGTCCTGTGATCCAGGGGGAAGAGCCAGGGGGGCATGGGGGCCACCCGCCTTCGGTGAGCTGGTGTTGCCGCAGCAGCACTTGAGGCGACAGCGCCCCCGCACTCCTTTTTTGACTCTCTGCTATGTGTCTCTCTCTGCCTCGGGCCCCGTCGGATGGGTGCGACCCCTGGCTCTTGAGGGTCGCGGGGGTGGGCGCATGGCCTGCACCCGAGTGCTGCGCGCGGGCAGGAGCATGATCGCGCCAGGATGCGTCGCAGGAGGAGGAGGAAGAGGAGGAGGAGGAGGAGGAGGAAGAGGAAGGAGGGGAGAAGAGGAAGAAGAAGAAGAAGACGAAGAGGAAGAAGAGGAAGGAGGAGGAGGAAGAAGAAGAAGAAGAAAGGAGGAAGAGGAAGAAGAAGAAGGAAGGACGAGGAAGCAGGGGAGAAACAAAAAGGAGGATGCAGCAGGGTCCGCGGCCTGGCGGCGAGGGGCGCGAAAGGGCACTTGGCCCTCCCGGCAGACCTGCCAAGCGCGCGGCCGCTTGGTGTGCTCGGCGCTCGAAGTGCGCTTCCAGACTCCACGACGGAGCGACCGCATTCCAAGCTCCTCCTCCTCCTCCTCCTCCTCCTCCCTCCTCCTCCTCCTCCTCCTCCTCCTCCTCCTCCTCCTCCCCTCCTCCTCCTCCCTCCTCCTCCTCCTCCTCCTCCTCCTCCTCCTCCTCCTCCTCCTCCTCCTCCTCCTCCTCCTCCTCCTCCTCCTCCTTCTCCTCCTCCTCCTCCTCCTTTCCTTCCCCCCCCTTCCCCCTCCCCCCCCCCCCCCGGGCGCGTCGCGCATCCGCGGGCGCCCCGGGCGCGTCGCGCATGCCGAGGTGCATGGCGCAGGTGTACCGCGGCTGGCTCCGCGCCGAGGGCGGCCTGCGCGTGCGCGAGGTGGCGCTGAAGGCTCCTCCTGCCGGGAGGGAGGGCCTGACGCCGGGGGCCTCCGAGGGCGGATCGCCGACGGCAGGCCCTGCCCACCTGGAACCTGCTTCGCTGTCGATTTCGTCCCGCGGACGATGCTTTTGTTGGTACAAGCTGGGTAGTCGAAGGCCAGACTGTCAGACTGGATTGGGCCCCAAGGGCCAATCTGGCCAGGCCGGATTGGAGGATTTGGGTTATTCGCCAGACTGGATTCGCGTTGGCTCCCTCGCCAGATTGCCCCCGTTTGCCAGATTGGGCCTGCCAGATTGGCGCCAGATTGGCTTCGACTACCCAGACAAGCGCCGCCTGCTCCACGGCGGCCGCTGCTGGCTGTGTTCGACAGCGGTGTTGAGCATTGTGCCCGCTTGTTCGTCCCCGCGTCGGGCGTGCCAGGTCGAGTTCGAGGATGGGAAATCGGCGTTCGATGGAGGATTCTGGGCATTTGGGGCCCCTTGGGGGTCCTCCAGGGGCTTCGCGTTCCAGGGCGAGGGAGGGATCGAGGGGTCGAGGACCTCAGACCTCCCCAGACGCGAAGGAAAGTTCGAGCCAGCGGTCTGTCGTCGTTTTCGGCGTCGGGTGACCGTGCCTTGGCCCGCGGACCTTGCATCGGCGGCGAGCCGGGGGGGGGAAGGTGAGAAGGGGCGGTCGGGACTCGAGAGACGGTGGTCAATGCAAACGAGGGTCAGCCAGGGTCGCATTGACCTGGGCTTGGGTGCAGGATTTTGCAGCATCCTGCAGGATCCTGCAGAACCAGGGTCGCATTGACCCGGGCTTGGGTGCAGGATCCTGCAGGACCCTGCAAGGCCCCACTAACCCGGGTCTGGATTGACCCGGGTCAGCAGATCCCCGAGGCGGGCCTTTTCAGAAGGCTTGGAAGTCCCCGGCCTTGTGAGAAGTTTCCGAAGACGTCCTTGGAGGCACAGAAAAATTGCTCAGGCGGCGCAAGGGTTTCTGAGAAGCCCGCCGCCTTCTGAGAGGGCCTCCTCTGTCTCACTTCCCCCCCTCGCTCGCCGCCGAGTCAACAGATGGTGCAGGATGTTCAACTGGCCTCAGGAGGTGCTGGGGCCAGCATGTCGAAAAATCCAGCCGCTAGACAGATGATTGGGGGGGATAAAAGTTAGGGATGTTCTGGGTTCGTGTGGGGCTTGCGGAGGCCTTCTGGAACATCTGGAGGCCTCCGCGGCAGTCCTGGGACCTCCAGAGACTTCCAGGGACTTGAGACCTCCAAAGATCTTCAGGGATCTCCAGAGGCCCTCTAGAGATTCGCCGTGGGGGATTCGAGCAGACACATCTTGACAGCTGGTCCTGCTTGATGGCCGATTCGGGACGTTTTTGATCGGGTCCGAGCCCTCTTCGGAGGACTGGGATTGTTTCTGAGCGCCCCTGGGGCGTACCAGCACCCAGCAGTTTCGCACAGGTTGTTCCCTTACGATCGGGTAGGCAGGGGGGCGGAACAGGTTGTGTGTTGTTTTCTCGTTCGCGTCCTGCACCATCGTTCTTGTCCTCCATTCCCTCCCAAGCATCCCCACTGGAAGGCGAGCCCAGAGTATGACGGCGTCGGCCAATCGCATCCGTTCCGTTCCGTTCGATCAACCAACATTTCGCCCTTTGCCTGGCCATTGTTCGTCTAATGTTCTTTTCGACTCTAAGAGCGTGCGCTTTCGCCCTCCATCAGAACGCGATCGCCGATTGGGGACTTGGAGCAAGAGGGTGAGAAAGACGACGACGACCCTCCAAGATTCCCTCACCTCCTCCGCTCGCTCTGTCTATGTCTGTCTCTCTCTGTCTCTCTCTCCCTCTCTGTCTCTCTCTCTCTCTCTCTCTCTCTTTCTCTCTCTCTCTCTCTCTCTCCCTAGTTATGTTTCTATCCTCCCTCTCTCCCTCATATACGCACACTACGCATGCATATGTTTGCTGAGCACGCTCTGCCTCGCACTTCCCCTTACCATCACCCAGGTCTCGTCGCAAACGCATAGAATGTACGTGTCCATGTCTCCTGCCGCAGTTATTCCTGTCCCGCCCCCCCCTTCAACTCATCTCCCTCTCTTACTCCTCCTCCGCCAGTCACCTCCTCTTTGGACTTGGAAGATTGCCCATCCTTTCTATTGTTGCAAGCTCTTCATCATGTACCCCTAATGCATATTCTCTCTGTTCTGTCCCTCTCTACCCCTTCTTTCCAGATCACCTGTCCACCCGTCCGACCCCCCTCCCCTCCTCCCCTTCTCTCGCATCGCCCCCACATGCCATATGATTGCTCCACCTGCTCCTGCGTGCATGACCGAGGTAAGACATCCCGGAGCGCTGGAGAAGGTCGACCTCGATTTAGAGGTTTTCTCTCCCCCCTCGCCCATCTCATCTCCGCCCGCCTCTTACTCCTCCTCTGCCCTATCTGTCCTGCTGCTTCCTTTGACACGTCGATCGGTACGCAGCTCGGGCCATGGAATTGCCTTGATGTGTCTTCCTCCTCCTCTGCCTCCTCCTCGTCATGCCCCTTCCGCGCGGATCATCATCACCATCACCGTCACCACCACCACCACCTTTACCACCACCATCATCATCGTCATCACCATCATTATCAGCATTAGAATCAGCATCAGTCACCATCACCATCCCCGTCATCATGACCACCACCAGCATCAGCATCAGCATCAGCATTATCATCAGAGTGGTTGGCGATCGGTTGTTCATTGTCCCTGGTCGTGTGGCTGAAGTGGGATTCCGCGGTACGGATTGCTAACATGTCGCATTCTCATGTCTAAAGCATGGTTATTGTTGACTCCCCCTGACCGGTGCCCATTCGGCGTTGTTCAATTAAAGTTTTCTTCCTGGGGCTCGCACCTTGCTTCTTACAAGGGGAAAGTGTGCGTCTCAGATTGGGTGTGCGGCCATTGGTTTACTACAACAACAACAACAACAACAACAACAACAACAGCAACAGCAACAGCAACAACAACAACAACAGTATTAGCTCCCGCCTTGATATGCTTTCACAGTGTATTCGAAATCGCACTCTCGCGCGGGACTGCCTCACACTTTCTCCACAAATCGCGCTATCGCGTGGTATTTCCTGGCACTTTGTTGAGGCGCCGCGCTTTCGACACTGGAGAATCATGCTCCCGCTTTGGACTTCCTCACGGTTTATTTGGACAGTGCGCTATCGCTTGAGATTTCCTCGCAAGTCATGTCCGATCGACGCTTCAGCAACCCGCCCCGTTCGACCCGGCCGCCCGGGCCCGACCGCCCGACCCGCCCGTCAGGGTCCGCCCGCCCGACGGTCCGTCTGGTTGTGCCGCTTGCGCTCCTGCTCCTGACCCCCCCTCCTGCAGATCTCTCCCGCGCTCCATCCTTCTCCCTCCGCGTTGTCTCCTCCCTCCGCCCTCCCTTCCCTGTTTTAGGGCTGCACCAACTACACGTGGCAAGTCAAGAAGATAAGTTTTACCCTTAAGTCCAGCCTGTCCCTCTACATGAGGAATATTCAAAAATAGTAAAAAAATGGTCGGGGGACGATTGTTTGTCCATGTTTGCCATTGTGGAGTATTTTGGGGGCATTTTTCATTTTTCGCTCAGGATCCGCCTGCAGGGGGACACGCCCGACCTAACCCTATCCCCGAGGGGGGTACGATCGAAGACGAAGAGGGCGGGTATCGAGGGCTTGGGATTCACATTACCTATATGACCACCCTTCGGGTGAGAAAGAGGTTGGGGTGTGGGGGGGGAAAGAACCAACTGCTGGCGAATGCGATGGGTGTGATGATGTCGATGCTGGTGATGCGCCCTCGAGTTGGCGACGACGCGTGATGACGATGATGCGCTGCCATGTAATGTCACTATCGTCCCCGCTCTCTGTATCACAAGCAATGTCACAATCAACCTCACTGTCGATCTCATGTTTGATATCACTATCCATCCCGCTCTAGCGATCTCATCGATCTCACTATCGACTTCATTATGGATACCAAGGCGGGACACCCCCGGCCACCGCCCGCCCACCGCCGACGGAACACCGACGGGACACCAACACTCTGGTCCACCGCACGCCCACCGGGGGCGAAGGGGCGGTCCACTGCATCCAAATCGCCCTAGCGACGGCGGGATCATTCCTCTCGCGCGCCCAGGCAGCTTTGCCTTGCCCGCGCGCACGTCACGAACACGAAGCCGAAGCCGAGTTCCCGGTGGGGGGCTCTCCGTTCCTCTGCGATCTCACCCCCTCGCTTCCGAGAAACGACACGCGAGCATAAGAAAGCGAACAGTCTCAAAATGATTGTTCTTGTTGTCGTAGTCGTCCTCGCCCGCGACGCCCCCGCGTTCCACCCGCGAACCGTCCGCGACCAACCCCGCGACCCACCCGCGACCCACCCGCGTCCCACCCTGCGCCCGCCCCGATCCATCTTATCCGCGATTGCGGGGTGCTACGTAATCATATCTCCTCTGTCCTCCTCATCTCTCCCCATCCTCATTGTCACCCTCCTCCACATCCCTTCCAGCTGCTCTTGGCGTCCTTCGGATCAGACACGCGTATCGCGAGGAGAAGACGTACCATAGCCGACTCTTTGGCCACCGTCCCTTGACCGAGGGCACCAGCCAGCTCCACAATTTCGCTGGACAGTGCCCGTCCGGGAACACGAATCGTGCGTGTTTCACGCAGTCCTGGCAGCGGGAAGGGGGGCACCGATGCGGCGGCGGCGTGGCACATACAGGCCGAGGTCTCCCCTGGCGTCCGGCTGCCCTGGAGAGTTTGCTCCCACGCTTGTGGCAACGCCTTCTCGAGATGACACGTGTGCACTCACGCGTGGCTGCCCCGCTGCGGAGCAGGAAGGCCAGGGGCCCGTTTGGAACCCGCTGGCGGTTTCGAGGGCCATGCTTCGGGGTATGCTCGGCATGTCCGTTTAGATTTCGCTTCATGGAGCCATCTTGGGGCCCTATTGGGCCGTCATGTGGCCGTCCAGGGAGCCTATTGGGCTGGCTTGGCGCGATCTTGGAGGCGCCCTGCGTCAGATCAGGGCCGTCTTGAGCCGACAGACGCCCGAAAGGGCAAGAATTTGAGAATCGCCGAATAACCAAAGGAAGATCAATGGTTGTTCCCTGTTGGAGCTGGGCCAGAGACTGGAGGTTTCCAAAAGACCGAAAAGGACCGATAGCGTAAAGAACAGCATACAAGTGCCTGCATAGAGAGATACATTATGTTAGTTTAGATGTTTACACATGCATGTACGCATATCATGCACATACGATCTAAAATAATAAGGTGCAGTAGGTTCGCGCCGCGTTGACGCGGCTGCATCCCTAGCGTGGGCGGTCAAGGTTGAACGCCGCCAGTGGCTTGGAGACTGCCGACACCGAACATACCACGCCATGTCAGAAGCCAGCGCGCACGTCGTCAGGGCACGAACCCACAGACCTACACATCCGACGAAGTGGTGCTGTTCCATCTGCGGGCCCAGGAGGTCTCAACCCCTTCCCCAGGGCCTGCTTGTTCCTCCCAGAATCACTGGCTGTGGCCCAGAAAAACATCCCCCGCGGACCCGACATCGGGCACGAGCGCTGGGAGTGGAAAAGCTCCTTCGCCAACGATTCGAGCCTCTTGCCGTGCCGCTCCCCTGGCCGCAGGTGATGTCCACGCTCGTCGGCGCCCTCGAGGGTGCGTGGCCAGCGGTGCGGTACCTCGCGCTCGGGGAGGCCCTTCTTCCCTCGTCGCCGCGCGGCCGTGGCCGCGATTCAATTTGCCCTTGTCGGCCGCCCCGTCGCCGCGGCCTCCCTCCTTTCGCCGGCGTCGACGTCGACGCCTTTCTTTTCGGAGGTCGTCGGTCCGGCGGGCGTCGTCACCACGGCTGGACGCAGCTCCAGAGTCGACGTCTTCGTTGCAGAGGCTCTCGTGGCGCTTCTGGGGGGTCGTCGCCGCCGCGGCTGCACGCAGCTCCAGAGAATGGCCAGGGTGCACCCTTGGAGGGGGCCAGGAACAGATTTTGAGTAGACGTTGATCGGACGACGGCGACGACGACAACGAATACGACGACGGCGACGACGACGACAAGGACGACAACGACGACAAAGACGTCGACGACGACGGCGGCGGCGACGACGACGGTGCTTCGAGGACGACGACGACAACGGCGACGAGGACGCTAACGAGGATGAGACCGAGGAGGGGGGAGCCTGGCAGACCGAGGGCCGGTTGCTCCAGATCACCTCTCTGAGCGGAGTTCTGAGGTGGGACTCGGGATTTGGTTGCTCCGCTCGCACGCTCGGGGGGGGGGGGAAGGGGGCGGGGATCAGTTGCGTGCCGAACATGGGTGGAGACCAGGTGAGAGGAGTGGGGGGGCAGTGGGCAGGCAGAGGGGGGGAGGGGAGGAGAGAGGGGCGGGTGGCTTGGTGTGGAGTGACGAAGGCGCGGGGTGGGGGGGGAGGAGGAGAGGAAAGAGAGGAGAGGGGGAGGGCAGAGGGGAGATGGGCAGCGGGGAGGTGACGGGGAGGGGGTAGCGGGGAGGTGACGGGGCTGGCGGCGTTCTTTGCTTTGCTTTGCTTCGCGACGCAGAAATGTTTCCCTCTCTGGGGAGAGGGGAACAGGGGAGCGGGCAAGTGGCGGGGCTGGCGGCGTCCTTCGCTTTATTGCGTCTGGCGACGCCGAAGGTGTGTTTGTTCCCTCTCTCTCTCTTCTTTCTCTGTCTCTCTCTCTCTCTCTCTCTCTCTCTCTTTCTCTTTTTTTAAGCGTCCCTATAATTAGACATCCTGCATGGACCCCCCAATGTTCGTCACCCGCCCCCCAAAAAAATCCCGTGACTCTTTTCGGACGGTTCCCTCCCGCCCCGGGGCACCTTTCGGACGGTTTCCGAGGCATCCCCAGCCAGCCGCCCGCTTTTTTCTGGACACCGCGGAGGCCCCAGAAGCCTCGCAGCGACTCCCAGGATGGACCAGACGTCCAATAGACGTCCCAAGAAAGCTCCGAGAGCCTTCCCCAGAGGACGAGGCAAAAATAATACATGTCCATCGTGTTTTTCAACGTTGTTGGGCTTCTCGGTTTTTCAAGCTTCCAACGCCCCAAAAAACAGTCCAAGAGGCCCCCAAGAGAGCCCCAAGACGACCGGAGAATCTGGCCTCCTGGGCCTCCCCAGCCAGCCGCCCGCCCTATTCTGAACGCCGCGGAGGCCCCAGAAACCTCAGCGACTCCCACGGTGGACCAGGAGCCCGATAGACGTCCCAAGAGAGCCCCGAGAGCTTTCCCCCGACGCCTTCGGGAGGCAAACATCATGCAGTTCCAGAGATGTTGTTCCCTGTTTCAATGCTTCTGGGTCGAGGGTGTGCAAATGTTCCTCATATGGGTAAACCGCATCCTGGTTGCCTGGCCAACCGTTTCTTTGGCATCTTGTGTGCAGCTGGGCCGACGTGACCTCGGACCCCGTCGCGGTCATGGGCTTGGCCCTCTCAACAATGTACTTGGGGCCCCACAGGTGTCCTGGCACCTGTGCCACTGGGACCCCTTCCCAGCAAAACAGGCGGGCAGTAGCCCGATCGTCACCCTTGTTTGTCCGTAGGGGGCCAAGGGGAGAGAAAATTGCTCTCGTCGCCAGCGGCCACCCATGGAGTGGGTGGTGGGTAGGTTGGGCGTCGGAACACGGACTCCGGCGCCCCCTACCCCGAACAGGGCGCGCGGAGCACGGTCTCCTTGCGCGTCCTGTTTCGCGCACTTAGCACGCCACGGGGGCATGGCCCAGACCGTTGGCGCTGCTCTGGCTGCTGGCATTCCCCTGTTGGGGAGGTGTTCGGCCGCTCCTGCAGGTCCCGCATTGCAGGAGTCAGTCATGTGCGGTGTGAGCGTCGAGCTCAAAAAAACAGGTGTCTTTACCAGGAGCGGTTACCACCTTCGCCCTGTCATGGTCACCTCCACGATTCCCATTTTTCCTGCGTTGCCGACAACACCTTCGCAGTCATGATGTCAGCCCCGTACAACGGCCATGTTTTAAATTTGCATAAAAGGTCATGACTGGAGCCTCCCTCGCATTGTGACCTGCATCCTTTCCAGGTCATCGGCTTCGCGGCCACTGCCCAGGCCCCGCTTCGCCATGACCTTCACCAGACTCGCGGCCATCACGTACATCCGATTGACGCCATAGCCGTCACCCCAGGTGGGGTCAAGGGTTACCGCGGCGTCGAGATCCTCACCTTCGCCCCGGCGGCATCCGGGCCCTTTCCCCCATTTCTTCAACATGTCTGCGGCGCCCACCCAGCGATTGACCCACACCCCCCTCCTGGTCAGGACTGCTCCGCACCGATGAGACTTGGGGCAGTCGTCCGATGAGCCTGTGCGCAGGACCAAGACCTGCGGCGAAGCGAAACGAGCCCCCAAGTTTTGTCTATGCGTATGTATGTATGTATGTATGCATGTATATACACACATACGCACATATACATGTTACGCGTGCGGAATTGAGACACGCATGGCGCATACACCCCCGTGAGGAGTTCGCCCCCTGCCGCCGGCCCCCGCGCCTACCACAGCGGGAGACAAAAGAGCTCTATCAGGATGTTTTGGCGCTGTCTTGAAGATATGCTGATGCTGACGCCGATGGTGACGATGATGACGGACATCGCGCGTGGGACCGTGGTTTCGAAGACGCAAATACGACATAATGTGCGATGGGCCGTGGCGTCGGGGACGCGAGTGTTGTGTAAGTTGCGAAAAATCGTAGCTTCGAGGGCGCGGATATTGAGTCTTTTTTCAGAATCGTCGTTTCGGGTACACCGATATTTTGTGAAATACAAGGGCGTGGGGCGTCGGGCATGCGAGGGTAGCGTAATTTACAGTGGCGTGTGGTTTCGGGGGCGCACACACTATATAATTCGCGACGGACCGTGGCCTCCAATATTCGACCTTCGCATACTTCACGAGGGTGTGTGGCTACGGGGACGCAGATACCAGATCGTACTGTTGATCACGGGTTATAGTTTCGGTGGCGCAACCATTGCGTAACTTGCAAGGGATTATGGCCTCGGGGACGTAATTGTGGTGTAATGTGCAAAGGGCCGTGGTCTCGAGGAGGAAAGTATTTCATTATTCACGAACCCCGCAGCCTCGGGCACACAAATATTGTATCCACTGGGAGGGTGCAAGGCCCCGGCCACGCAGATTTAGAATGACATGTATTGGTTTATTGCTTCGGTGGCACGAACGGCATGTATTTCCGCGTGCCACACGATCCCCCAGGAATCATAAGGCCATCCAAAGGGCGCGGTCTAACGGTGGTTCGGGGCTCCCCCTTGCGCACGGATGTTCCAACAATATATGGTAAAACACAGAAAATTGATCCACCACATTGAAAACTGCAAGCTGGACCTAGCGGAGGGAATGGCAAGCCTACTCCGCGCAGCCCGATGGCCCCACAGGGGGGCTGGCGAAAATATGTGTAATTGCCCTGTGACGTACCCAATTTTTCTATACAGGTGGCAATTAGATTCAGGACCACCCAGTGCTGACTGGCATTCTGAAAGGCCCGCAGTGCGCAACACGAGCACCCAACAGTGATTTCAGAAGGGCGCAGCAAGAAGAGGAACGGCAAATATACAAAATGGAAGCACGGGAGGGTTGAAAGAAAGGCGCCCAACAAATGAGCACAAAAAGGCGCGGCGGCGAGGTCCAGAGGTGGTCCGCGTATGACGTACCCCCTCTGGGTTTCCCAGGAGCCCACGAAAGTAGCGACAGTTGCGCAGATCGCAAGCCCCCCTAGGGGGCGGCGAGGTCCCGAGGTGGTCCGCGTATGACGTACCTCCGCTGGGCCTCTCAGGGGCCCACGAAAGTGGCGACAGTTGCGCAGATCGCAAGCCCCCAAGGGGGCGGCGAGGTCCCGAGGTGGTCCGCGTATGACGTACCGCCGCTGGGCCTCCCAGGAGCCCACGATAGTGGCGACAGTTGCGCAGATCGCAAGCCCCCCTAGGCCTAGGGGGCGGCGAGGTCCCGAGGTGGCCTGCGTATGACGTGCCTCCGCTGGGCCTTCCAGGCCCCACGATAGTGGCGACAGTTGCGCAGATCGCAAGCCCCCCCCCCCCCCGGTGGGCGGCGAGGTTCCGAGGTGGTCCGCGTATGACGTACCTCCGTTGGGCCTCCCAGGAGACCACGAACGTGGCGACAGTTGCGCAGATCGCAAGCCCCCCATGGGGCGGCGGGGTCCCGAGGTGGTCCGCGTATGACGTACCTCCGATAGGCCTCCCAGGAGACCACGAACGTGGCGACAGTTGCGCAGATCGCAAACCCCCCAGGGGGCGGCGGGGTCCCGAGGTGGTCCGCGTATGACGTACCGCCGCTGGGCCTCCCAGGAGCCCACGGAAGTGGCGACAGTTGCGCATTTCGCAAGCCCCCCATGGGGCGGCGGGGTCCCGAGGTGGTCCGCGTATGACGTACCTCCGCTGGGCCTCCCAGGAGCTCACGAAAGTGGCGACAGCTGCGCAGATCGCAAGCCCCCCTAGGGGGCGGCGAGGTCCCGAGGTGGTCCGCGTATGACGTACCTCCGATAGGCCTCCCAGGAGCCCACGAAAGTGGCGACAGTTGCGCAGATCGCAGCCTCACGGCACGAGAGAAGAGGAGAAGGGAACACAGGAGACAGGAGAGAAGAAGGAGAGGAGGAGGAGGAGGAGGAGGAGGAGGAGGAGGAGGAGAAGGAGGTGGAGACCACACTGCAGTATTCATAACGAGTACCCAACACCACAGGAGGCTTGGGAATTAGATAGGTATGTGGGCGTTTTGGTTGTGTTGTGCACGCTGGTGAGGTTGATTGCAGATCTCCGATCGCGTTCTTCCTCACACGTGCCCGTTGCGGCCGTCATGGTGTTCGCATTTCGTGATCTGACGGCACCCACTTTCGTGGGCATTCGCAGTCAATCTCGCGGGCTTCACAATTCTTACATGTGTCGTTGCTAATCGCAGATGTGTTGTCGTTGCTATAAGTGCCTATATGTTTCACGTTGCTCCGAGTCCTTCTATTCATACTGCCGCGGCCCATAAGCCACTGATCGCGTTTTCTGTATATCTCGTGCTTTCTCTGCAGCCTTTCTCCTTTAGCCCAAGACGCGGCACCCGTGAGGCGGTTGCGAATTTCGAGGTTTTCTTGCGCCCACAGGTGGCTCGTGGGGGCGGGGGGGGCACCATCAATGCGATTGGTACCTGTACCAGTGCCTCGTATCATCCATCATGTGTTGCCTTGCGTGCAGCAGTATGGCATGTTGCTGTTATGTCGGCAGGTGCGTTGCACTCTGTGAGGTTCATGCGAGTCGTGCGTTTCCTTTGCTATACTATCAGATTGATGCGTTTCCCGACCGCGATGCCAGAGGCCGACTTGCGGGTGGAGGCCGCGAACTTGGACGTTTTCCGGAGAAATTTCTCCTACGCCACTTCAGGCGACGGCTTGCGAGTTCGTTTCCCAGAGGCCTTCCGGGTTGGAGCATGCATGCAGGGATTGGTTTGGGAAGGGAACGAGGTCAGATAGTAGTGTCTATGATTGTTCAGATGCTAGGCTCGGCGTGAAGTACATGTGATGATGCACTTCGAGCTGGCCGCACACACACACACACACACACACACATATATATATATATATATATATATATATATATATATATTTGTTTGGCGTCGCGGCCACGCGCGCAGCGGCGAGGCGGAATCGGTCGGAGAAACGTCTGCAAGTGCCGTCGAGGCCAAAGAAGCGCCCAGGATTCGCGCAGCCAGGCGAGCAACAGGGTTCACCCACAGGGAACCGCGCTGTGTCTGCGTCCCTCGGGAGGTCAGCGGAGGGGGGGGGGGGACGAGCGGGGAAACCAACCTGCCGGGGGGGAGAGCAGCGGTGCAAGGCACGAGGGCGCACCCAATCGTTGGACAACAGTGGCAGACCGCGAGGGGTGGACAAGAACGGCGCAGCAAGGACCCTGGACCGGAGAGAAGGGACCACAGCGACAGCCCAAAGGGGCAGCAGGAAGGGCAGCATGCAGAAGGGAGAGCGCGGTCTTGGGCGACGGCCACGGAAGGGGGGGCAGCGGCAGCGGTGGTCAGCGGGCCGCGAGCGGTTGACCGAGCGCGAGGGTCTGGTCAAGGCATGTGCGGAAGGCACACACGCACACGCACACGCACACACACACACACACACACACACACACACACACACACGCACGCACGCACGCACGCACCCACGCACGCGCGCGCAGCGCCCCAGCGGAATTTGGCTAGGCGAAGAAAGAACGCGCCCAGGGTTCACCCATCGAGAGCAACGCTGCGTGATAAGCTATCGTGGGGGGCAGCCGTGAGGGGGGACGAGCGGTGGCGGCTACAAGCAGTGCCGACCAGAGTTCACACACACACACACACACCACACACACACACACACACACACACACACACACACACGCAGGCACGCACCCATGCACGCATGCACGCACGCACGCACGCACGTTCACACACACACACACACACACACACACATACACACACACACACACACACACACACACACGTTTTGGCGTTCGCCGCCTCGCGCACGGCGACGAGGCGGAGAACGTCAACGAATGGGACGAGCGCAGCGGGCCCCTCAGCGGATCAGAAGTACATGCAGAACAACCGTGCCATGCATATTTGGCGCAGAAAGGGTGGAGTGGGAAGCAGGCCCGTGGATGACAGGTGGTGAGAATGACGGGTGAACGGGAGATAGTGCGACGAACGACAGGTGTCGAGGAGGACAGGGCGATGAGGACGCCCGAGAAAGACGAAAGGAGGCGCATTACGGCGAGCGACGAGAGCCAAGGACAGCGGCGGTAGAAAGGGTGAGAGCGCCGAACGGGCGGACGAGGCAGTACACCACACACACATGTTTTCATCCAGCGGCCATGTGACGCCATTGCATCGGAAGCGGCGGCGGGCCACCTGAGCGTTCATTCGTCCTGGCGTTGCAGGTGCGTGGACAACGCAGGTCGAGTCGCGCGCAGAAAAGCATGTGTTGAGGATTCGCTAGGCGAGCACAAGTGCCCCCATACACACACACACACATTCGTGTCTAGAAGAGCGCACGCGCGGATGCTGCGCGTGCTGACGTTGCCATGTTGTTTTGTTCGACTCCACTGCTCAGGGCAGGCGGACGGGCCGGCGCTTGGCCAAGTGGAGGCGCGCCCTCCGCAGCCGTACCCCACAGGGCAGGGAGGGGTAGGGAGGAGCGCCCGCGCTGAGAGCTAGCCACTGAGCGCGGACGTCTGTCTACACCAGGGGGCAGTCGGTGAGCAGCGAGAGGGAGGACGAGGCGACGAGGATGAGGTGGAGGAGGCTCCCTCTTCGCTCCTGGCTTCCCCCTCGCCCCTCCCTCCTCGGGCTCGCGCCCACCACTGCCCTTGGCCTGCGGTTCGCGCGCGTCGCCCTGCGGCCTGTTGACTTTGGGCGGCGTCGGCTCCTCTTGACTTTGCTCTCTCTCTCTCTCTCTCTTTGTGTTTGTTCTCTCTCTCTCTCTCTCTCTCGCTGTATATATATATAGTGGAGGAGGAGGAGGAGGAGGAGGAGGAGGAGGGGGAGGGGGGAGGGGAGGGGGGAGGAGGGGAGGAGGAGGAGGAGGAGGAGGAGGGAGGAGGGAGGAGGAGGAGGAGGAGGAGGAGGAGGAGGAGGAGACGGTTACCGCTTGCGGCGCAACCTGCGGAACCACAAAGAGGAGGCGCAGGGGGAGGGAGGGCGGAGGCTGCGAGCGGGAGGCCAGCCTCTCCCCTCCCAAGACCGACGGGGCCCGACCTCGCCGCGCCGGTGTGCCTTTTGGGGACCTCTCGGTCCCCTCGCGGCGTGGCTGCTGCGATTCCGGACCGCTCTCTGGCGGCCCCAGCGCCCAGGACTGAGTCCTGGGCGCTGGGGCCGCCAGAGAGCGTCCCAGGCTCGAGCGCCAGCCTCGGAGGCCGTCGAGCTCTCGGCCCCACCCCCGGTCCCGGAGGGGGCGGCAGCCGGAGGCGGGGTGTCTCCAGGCCTCCTGGATGGGGGCGGAGTGGATGGGGTCGGAGGGTCGCGCCGGATCGCCGATGCATCACCGGTGTATCATCGGGGGTGGACAGAACCCCCAACAGTGACACGTCGACTAGTGAATTGTCCGTTTTCGGTTCTCGAGAGGCCGCCGTGGCCGCTATTTTCCAGGCTTGCGCCCGCCAGGTCTGGGCCTCAGGTCGTTTTCACTAAACCACGTTTTACTAAAGGGGGGTCTGTCCATCCCCGACTCTCGGGGGTGGCTGAGACCCTGACCTTCCAGGAGGGCTAAAAAATAGCACCCGACTTAAAAACCTGTCCCAAAGCTATTTGTACGTCTTGGTTTTAGGCTGTTTCGCTCGGTTTTTTCAGGTTTTTAGGTATCCAGTGCTAAAACATAGCTCTCTGGAAGGTCAGGGGAGGGAGGTGATGGTCGGGGGGGGCGATCTCGTGGCCGGTGGCCGGGGCCACGACAGCTGCCCGCACTTCATGGCCCCCCCTCCTCTGGCGTGCCGACGCCCCTCGGCCCCCTCCTGGGCCCGGCACGCGCCTCGGGCGGCCACGACCTGCGAGCGCCCCACCTGGGCAGCCCCGGAAGAGTGGCCCCTGGCAACAACAACAACAACAACAACAACAACAACAACAACAACAACAACAACAACAACAACAAAAACAACAAAGAGCCGTGCCCAGACGGCGCATCGGCAGGAAATGTGCACATGCATACGTGGAAAATGTCACTGGGCCTCGGCCGGCAACCACTTGCAAGCTTTGCGCAAATGGCGCGCGAGGGTAAGCAGCAACACTCCGTCTGAAGAGGGTGGCCCCTGGCAGCTGGCGCCATTTTGTTCGCTCGGGTCGCTGGAGGTCGGGGCTCGGGGCGGACGGAGGGAGGTCGGACTGGGTCAGGACGATAGTAGGTCCGTTCCAGAGCGTGCCGGAACGCTGTGAGAAGGCCGCGGCGTCCGAGACCTCCTCCAGAACCGCAGGATCTCAGAGATCCTCGATTTATCTTCACCCGAATTTGTCCTCGTCCTGGCTTCGTCTTAGGGGGGGGCCTAGCGCAGATGCCCCGCAGGAAATGTAGCCATGAGGTCGCGCATCCATGAGATCGCGCGTTCCCAGCGTATGTCCCAGGGTTGGGCCCCAAAGTTTTTGGCCCATTCAGAGAAAACCCCACGATGCCTGGGATAGGGGTTGACACATCCCTTGTTCCTGGGACCGCGTATCCATGGGATCGTACCCGCATTTGTCCTCGTCCTGGCTTCGTCTTAACAGGGGGCGAACGAAATCTGCCGCATGCAGCTGGCCTCGGCGCCGCCGCGCGGCAGCTGCCTCGGTGCGCGGCCGCCTACGGCGCCAGGAGGCGCTGGAATCACGCTACCGAGGAACCCCACATACTTTTATTATGGCTGGAGTGATGACAGCTGAAGTGAAACATATGAGAATGATGTTGGTGGCCGTTCCCTGCGCATCCCCTATGGTGTCGAGAAAATGCCACGCCTGCTAAGCCCTGGACGACCGTCGTGCATAGCGGCCGCGGTGAGAGACCACCCCCTGCGCACCCCCTATGGTGTCGAGAGAATGCCACGCCTGCTATGCCCTGGACGACCGTCGTGCGTAGCGGCCGCGGTGAGGGACCACCCCCTGCGCACCCCCTACGGTGTCGAGAAAATGCCACGCCTGCTATGCCCTGGACGACCGGCTGTGCTGAGCTGTGCTGTGCTGAGCTGAGCTGAGCTGAGCTGAGCTGTGCTGACATGTGCTGAGCTGTTCTGTGCTGTGCTGTGCTGTGCTCTGCTGCGCTGTGTGAGAAGGGAAGGAGGGAGGTGCGCGAGACGCGGGTGCGACGAGGCAGAGAAGAAAACCAGAACCCCACTAAGAATGTGGGAAAAAAACAACAGATGCACGCAATTGATTCGCCACCTCCCTCTTCCTTCTCCTCCTCCTCCTCCTCCTCCTCCTCCTCCTCCTCCTCCTCCTCCTCCTCTTCCCCCCTCCTCCTCCTTCTCCTCCTCATCTCCCGCCTCGTCCTCCTCCTCATCATCCTCCTTCTCCTCCTCCTCTTCCTCCTCCTCCTCCTCCTTCCGGGGAGGAAGAGAAGGAGGAGGAGGAGCAGCAGCAGGAGCAGGAGCAGGAGCAGGAGCAGGAACAGAAGGAGGAGGTTGACGACGACGAGGAGGACGAGGAGGACGAGGAGGACGAGACGCGGGAGGAGGACATCCTCCCGCGTCTCGTTTTTCTCGTTCTCCTCCTCCCCAGCTTTCTCCGCGTCTTTCTTCCACATCTTCCTCCTCATCTTGCTACCCCGCGAGAAGTAAAAGCGCATAAACTTTCGGACGTCCGCGCGCATTGTCTTGGGTCGGCGCGGGCCCCAGGCAGCGCCTCCGGCGCCGCTCCCGGCTCGTTCCACGCGCCAGGGCAGGGCCGCCCGGCGCCGGCCCAAGAGATCCACACGGGCCTTCGAAAGTTTGTGCTCAGGTTGTGCTTTGTGTTTCCTCCCCTGCCGTCCCCCCCCCGGCCCCGCCTCGGGAAGGGGGCAGGTCGTCCGGCCCTTCGTGTCGGAGGGCGTGTTGGTAGAGTCGTTCGAGCACGCCGTGCCGCTTCAGGCCCCGCCCCGGCGGCGCCGCGCGGATCTTGGGGACCGCTCCTCTTGAGGAGGGAGGGAGCAGGTTAAGAGGAGGAGGGGGAGGAGGACCGCCACCCGTCCCACGGCTTCGGCAAGGACTGCGGCTGGGAGCAGCGGCAGCAGTAGTTCAAGTAGTAGTAGCAGTAGTAGCAGTGGATAAGACTGAGCTCGCCGTGGTACGAGCGCAGGAGGAGGGGGAGGAGGAAGGGGAGGCGGAGGGGGAGGCAGGGAGAGAAGGACGGGGAGCGAGGAGGAGGAGTAGGAGGAGGAGCAGGAGCAGCAGCAGGAGGAGGAGGAGAAGGAGGAGGACGAGGGAGAGGCCACGAGGAGGAGGAGGAGGAGGAGGAGGCAAGGAAGGGAAGGCGCCACCGAGTTGCGTGTATGTAACCGCGAGAAGCATTTAAGACCCCTCCCCTCCCCTTCCAGTGAAACAATAACGCTTCCTGCACCCTGGAAGCGTTACTTCGGCACCAGGAGGGCCGCCAGAGGGCATTCGGGGCCTTGCAAAGCTCTGGTCAGCACTGCTGAGCCCTGACAAGCTCTACTAAGCACTGCTGAGCCATCCTCGGACTCTGGCACTTTTCCCTCCGCGAGCGCATGCGCGGCAACGTGCCGTCTAAAGACCCAGCGGCCGATGGCCGCGGCCGACGCGCGCCTCAGCCATCGCATCTCCGAAGAGGGGCCTGCGGCCTCACCCGCAGGGAGGCGCGGAGTGCTCGACCCCGAAAGAGAGCATCGGGCGAGGTGGGGGCACGACGGAGTCGTGGGGAGAAGCGAGGGGAGGGTTCGGAGGGGGGAGTGGCGAAGGCAGCAACGAGGAAGGCGGGCAAAGATGGGGGGAGGCAAGGGGGCCGCAGTGCGCAGCGGTAGGACACGCTGCCAGTGCGGAAGGGGGCCTGGCGCACACACACACACACACACACACACACTTGGCGAGAATCCTTGGCATTTCCTAGGAAATCACTGACGTGTCTTAGGAAATTCTTCGCATGTCCCAGAAATCCGGAGGAATTCCCAGAAAATCCTAGCATATCCTTTGCATTGCCTAAGCCATCTCTATCATTTCCGAGGCCGTCCGTAGCATGTCATGGGAAATCCATGGCATGTTATAGGAAACACCGTCGAACTCCCTTGGAATGTCATGTCAGTTCGTTGGGAACGCCTTAGCTTTCTTTAAGAAATCGGTTTCTCTTCTTTAGAAGATCCCTGGCATTCCAAATACTAATTCGCATTCCGAAGTCATGCGAAATAGTATTCAGCAGCGCTTTAGGCTGATTAGCATCCAGAACCAATACGATTGCGATGTACATTGAAACGCGCTCATAGCCCTGGCTGGGGATTTGTGTGCCGCCCTGCTAGGTGCTAAGATAACGCTTCGGTGCGGGGGGAGGGAGGGGGCGATACCCTGGAGTGGACCACCCCCTACGACGACCAACCATCTCTCTAAGGGGATTGTAATAGGAATCGTGTAAGGAAAGGACGACGACACTCTAATGAAAAACCTGCAATAGATTCGGCCGTCTTGGGCTGTCTTGGGGCTTCTCCGAACTCTCCAGAGGCAACCTCAGGAATTTCACGCTGGCCCGCCGCAAAAGGGGGCATGGCTTTGAAATGGGCCTTCGAACGTGCGCACATATTCATTATATATATATATGTATATACACACAACGCATGCGTAACACACGCACGCAGGAATTGAAACAGATGCCAAGCATTCCCTAGGACTGGCTGAGGATCTGTACCAGATCTTTCGCATCTCCTAGAAGTTAGTTACGAAAGAGATATGAGCCAGGTCCCTTGCATTCCCCAGGAATCCTCAGGGATTCGACCCAGATCCCAAGCATTCCCTGGGAATTCCTAGAGATTGGAGCCATACTCCTGGAATTGCCTAGGAAGCCACAGGGATCTTTGCAAGATCCATGACGTTCCCTGCGAATTCCTTTCTGGGCCCCATAGGGTCCGCCACCGACTGGGGTTTTGTTTTGTTCTTTGTGCGCAGTGCTAAAGATATCGCTCCGCGAAAATGCCCCTGTGGAATTTTGAATAAGATTGCGGTGCTCAGACAACCGGGACAGGCAATGTTCGCTCGGAGCGGTACAGGAACGCGGCAGGAAAGCGCCGTGCTCTTGCACTGGACACGAACATCCTCGTCTTCCGAGTATCCTATCTGGGCGGCGCAGTGCCCGGCCAGAGCCCAGGGCCGCCCAGCGGGAGCGGAGGAGGTGAGTCCCCCACCCCGCCACGCACAGGTACAGCGGGAGACGTTTGGCCGTTTCCCACCTCCAGAGGCCCTCACCAGGCCCAAGGACCATTCGGGGCGCAAAGCCGGCCCCAGGGACGGGGTCGAGACCTCGAGGAGTCCACGTTGCGGCGAAGACACTGCATCGCAAGCCCCTTCTTGGCCCTGGTCTTGGGGGACATCTGATCCCGGGTAGCTTGGCAGGCTTTCTCCAAGATCTTTGCCCGAGATGGGGTTGTGGGGGGGTGGTCACACAGGTCACCCTGAGAAGCAGGCACGGAGAGAAAAGGACGCGGGCAGGGATCATGGGACGCCATGTGTAGTTCATCATTCAAACGCCGATCCTTCCGCGCCAATCCCAGCCCCAGGATCGGTGCCAACCCAGGGGGGCGTAGTTATGCACGCACCGATTCTTGCCCCCAGCATGGTCATGACCAGGCTCGGTGCACGGTCGGTAGGTCAGCGCCGCATTGACGCGGCGGCGACCCCAGCGCGGCGTTCATGATTGAACGCCGCCAGTAGCCTGGAATCGGCCGACATCCAAGCCATCGGCATCACCGAAAAGGTGCCATCGTTCGAGTTTAAACGATTCGCTCAGTACCAAAAACCGACACCGGCGTCATCGAGACGTGAACCGCGACCTCCTTATCGGAGAAACGTAAGAGTCGAGCTTGCCGCAGCTCGGGTTTGCCGCTCATATGTTTATTCTTCCAGCATGGGTTTGACGGTTCAGTTTTCGTGAGGTGCATCCGCAGTCCGCGTCAAAAGTTAGATTATGTGTTCCAGTTGTCATTATGTATTTGTTTGGCGACCCCGTTATGCAAATCCGAGTCCCTAATTCGAGTCGCACGTATTCCTAATCAATGCCCAACCAGAACGAGGCAGATAATTAAGGAGTGGTGTATTGGGTCAATCTTGCCGAGGGGAGCGTTGGGCCTGGAAAGACATGTGATTTGCCACCGCACCTCTGATTCGCTGCTGGTGCCGCCGCTTCTGCTGTTGCTTTCGGCCAAAGCCAATACTGGCCGAGTGAGGGGAGGGGCTCGAAGAGAGAAATTGCAGAAGCATAGACTCTAGCAGGTCTGCCGGCGTTGGACCTCCCTCTGCCCTGGCAGGCTCCGCCAATTGTGTCTGCTCATGAAGCTGTTTCTTCTCCGTTGCTTTCGACCAGTGCAACTGCTGGGCGAGTGCGGTAAGGAGTAAGGGCCAGCTTCCCGAGTGCCGATGTTCAGCAGATATCTCCTCCCTCATGCTTCTCCTCGTTCGTCTCCTCCCCCCGCCTCCCCTTCCCCTTCCGTGGTGCTGGCCATGCCTGAGGCATCGGCCGCCGCTGCCTCGACTCGCCCGGGTCGCGCCAGGCGTGCTCGCAGAAGCTGCAGATTGATGCGCGCTGTCTGTTCGCCAGGAGCGCGAATGTCAACATCAGTCGCCCCTCCCTGCTCACTCACTCCTCCCTCCCTCCCTCCCTCCCTCCTCCCCCCTCCTCCTCGTTCACCTCCCCCCCCCGCGACGCTGTGTTGTGCACCGTTGTGCAATGCCATGCTCTGCGTTGCGATGCCTTGTGATGCACAATGCTTCGCAACGCATTGCCACGCCATGCTATGAGATGCTATGCTCTGCCGTGCTCTTCTACGCCATGCGTTTCCATCCATCGCGTACCCGCTTGGGATCATTGCTTTTGTTTGACATCTGAGTGTGCGAACAGAGAGGAGATCTGCGCCTTGGTAAGGGATGGGAGGGAGGGGCAGAACGTCAGACGTGACACTAGCGCACCTAGCTTGCCTCCCCCTTTGTCCCTCTCCTCTCCCCGCCTCCCCAACCCGAGTGTGTGTGTGTGTGTGTGTGTGTGTCGGGGGGGGCTGGCCGCCGCTGCCGCCGCCCCTGCTGCCGCGGGGGCGCCGCCTCGACGCGCCGCTCTCCTGCGGAGGCCGCGGCGCCAAGCCCCCGCCACACACACACACACACACACACACGCACGCACGCACGCACGCACACACACACACACACACACACACACACACACACACACAACACACACACGCACACACACACACACATCCACACCCACACCACACACCCACACACACCACACACCCACACACCCACACACCCACACACCCGCACGCACGCACGCACGCACGCACACACACGCACACACGCGCACGCGCACTCGCACACGCACACGCACACGCACACACAACACACACACACACCACACACACACACACGCACACGCACACACGCACACACGCACACACGCACACACGCAAACACGCACGCACGCACGCACGCACGCACGCACGCACGCACGCACGCACGCACACACACACACACACACACACACACACACACACGCACACACACACACAAACACACACACACACATAATCACACACACATCGCCTGGGCGCGCGGCAGGCGGTGCTGGGGTGCGGTCGCCGCCGGGGCGGCCAAGACCACAGCGAGGCCGGCGTTGGAGGGAGGGAAGGAGAGAGGGAGGAGGAGAGAGGGAGGGAGGGAGGGAGCAGGAGGAGGAGGAGGAGGAGGAGGATGAAGAGGAGGAGCAGGAGGAGGAGGAGGAGGAGGAGGAGGTTGCGGGGTGGGTTATGGCGGTGTGGCGCAGGAGGCACCAGGGCTTTCTTTGCCGTCGCCTGCAGGCCTGATAATCGATACCCGTACGGAAATCCCTACTCTTCGGCGAACTAAATGTATGTCTCCCGCGTTCGACGTCTTTGGACGCCGTGCCTCCGCTTAGGCAATGTCTTTGCAGCACAAGAAGAGGAGGCTGCGCCTACGAGGGAACCAAGGAGGAGGACGACGAGGTGGAGGAGGAGGAGGAGGAGGAGATGAGGACAAGAAAGAGAGTTTGATACGCGCGCGCAGCTGCACAGGGTTGGGCCATTCGCTGCGCTAGGTTGTGCGAGGCCTCTCTGCTGTACCGGGCCCAACAACTGTGCGCTTCCAGGATGCCAGCTGTGTTAAAGGATATGGTGGAACAGTGATGCGTCTGTCTATGTGCTGGTCTGCTGGTGGCCCTCCTCGCCACAGCTGCATCAGACTCGAAATCCTTGTCAGAGCGCGCCCGAGGACAGGTTATAGTGGCAGTATTCCTCTTCATGTGCGTGCTTCCGTCGCGTGACTTTGCATCGTGTTGGCAGCACGGGGTGCGAGATTCGAAGTTGCTTGGTCTTCTGCCACGCCCCAGGCTTGGCATGGCCTCCCTCTTTCAGAGGTTCGCGAACAAGTCGGTTCATTGTGCATGAGCACGTGCCGCCCCTCCGACCGACATGGTATTACGAGTTAATGATGATTACATCCGTTGCGGTAACAGTTGTCTGCACACAGCACGGTCATGTGCAACATTGTGTTGCCAATGCGTTGTGAATCTACGATTGCAATTTGCGTTGCCACCAGATTGTGGCTCATAATGGTAAGGGTGCCGCCATGACAGTAGATGTTGCTCTGCACTCAGAGGACGTTGATATTGATCCGGTCGTGGCTGCACGCATCGAGCCTGAGATTGTCGGTTTCTGTGGCACCAGCGCCATCCAGCACATTCCAGATTTCGTAATAAAAGGGAGGGGGTCTGGACCCTCCAAGACAAGCCATTTCAGACCTCCCCCGTGGGAGAGCCCTCCAAAACATCGTCCCCGGACCCCCCCAGGCCCTCCAAGATAGCCTGGAAGAGACCCCCCCCCCCGAAATGAGACCCCCCTCCCTTTCTTACGAAATCTGGAGCAGCAGCTTCTCGGCAGCAGGTTCATGAAGATGCTCTTCTCGGACAACTTCGTCCACGGGGTGGCCCCGACACGTTTTTCGCTCCGCGGCCGCGCTCCCGCCTCGCCGTTGTCGCCCCCCCTCCTCCCCCCTCCTCCTCCGTCTTATCCGGGTCCTCGTACTCTTCTCGCTCCTCCTGCCCTTGCTGTCGCTGTGTCTCGTCCTTCCTCACCCTTCCCTTCCTCCTGCTCACCCTCCTGCTCAGGGTCCTCATACTCTTCTCGTTCCTCCTGTCACGGTTGCCGCTGCTTCTCGTCCTTCCTCACCCTTCTCGTCCTCCTTCCTCACCCTCCTGCTCGTCCGCCGACTCCTGCTCCAGTGCGCACGGCTCCCGGTGCTGATTGCGCATAGCAGGATGGCGTCACCTTGGGGGGTCCAGGTCCGCTATGACACCCGCCGGCGGATAGAGAGCAAGTCAGCGCAATCGGAACGGAGGGGAGGCAGGGGGGAGGGAGGGAGGGAGGGAGGGAGGGAGATGCGTGGGAGGGAGATGGGTGGGAGGGGCAAGATGTCAGAGATGGAGCGAGCGCAACCAGCCTGCCCTCGCTCTCTCCTCTCGCTCCTCCTGCTCCGAGGTGTTGCTCACGCGCTCCCTACCAGCCCCGCTGTCGACGAAGAAGCCCGGGCTCCAGTGCGCCACCGTTACTGGGATACCCATGTCCGACGAAGGCGTCTGTACGCCGCCACCGTGCCAGGCCAGGGCCATCCTGGGCCCTGGGATGGTGTATAGAACCTCCTGGCCTCGGCCACGAGGGCGTACACACCATGCCAGGGCCAGGATGGGCCTGCTTGGCACGGTGGTGGTGTATCGGCGCCTTCTGCGTACCATGTTCCCTAAGATCCTCGCGGTGCGGTTCAGACCATCTTCCAGCCTGTGCCTAGGAGGGCACTCTTGCCCGATACGGTCAACTTTTGCTTCTCGAGGCCCTCGGTCAGGGAGCTCGTGACCCCGATCATGCGACTTGAGGTGGCGTCGGCGGGACCTTCGCACCAGGCGATGGTGTCGGTGGGGAGTAGGCGGAGGAGGAGGGGGAGGAGGAGAAGGATCTAGGTGGTTGGTGATGTGTGGCCCCTTTTGGGAAGACTGCGCGTTTCTTGTCTGTCTTGGGCCCTCCCGGAGACGACCGGTGAAGAGGAGGAGGAGGAGGAGAAGGAGGAGGAGGACGGGAAGCCAATCGAAACAGCAATGCTTCATTCACCGTGGCCTCGAGCGGTCGCGTTGGAGAGGAGCATGAGCAGGAAGAGGAGGAGGAGGAGCGAACGGAACGCGTGGTCTGGTTCTGGCGTTGCCGTGCGCCGCGCCAGGACATGCACCCTGGCAACATCCTCTTCCGCTACCCAGACGCAGGCACCGGGAAAGAGGTGTTGAGGCGATTGAGGTTGGGCATTCAAGTTCGTGGGGGACGATTTGATGAAGAAGACGAGGAGGAGGGGAGTGAGGAACAGGAGGAGGACGATGAGGAGGAGGAGGAGGAGGACGAGGAGGAGGAGGAGGAGGAGGGTGAGAAGGGAGACGAGGTGGAGGAGGAGGAGGAGGAGGAGGAGGAGGAGAAGAATGGAGGAACAGGAGGGAGGTGGAGGAGGAGGATGTGAGGCCCCTTGCGAATGGTAGCGGCTCTCGTCATGCACATCGGACTCGGAGAAGGGAGTGGACGGGAGGGTGCCGGGAGAAAGACAACAGGCAAGGAGGAGGAGGACGAGGAGGAGGAGGAAGAGGAGGAGGAGGAGGAGGGAGGAGCAGCAGGCAGGGGCACGGAGGAGCAACCGTCGCCTCTCAGCTAGAAGGAGAAGAGGGGAGGGTGGAGCGGGGAGGTGGGGGGTGGGTTCGGCGCAGCAGGAAGAAAATCGTCGGGGAAGGGCATGCGGGAGGAGGGCGGGGGGAGTCGGAAGGGGGGGTCCGGCAGTGAGGAGGGGGGGGGGGGGTCGGGCAGGAACGAGGAGCGGACGAGGGGGGGGGGGGTCGGGCAGGAAGGAGGGGCGGAGGAGGGAGGGGGACTCGGAGCTGAGTCTGCCCGGCGCCTCTGCCGGCGGAAGGAGCGCATTCTGCCGCGGGAGGGGCCCCAGGCGGCCAGCATTGCACTGGCAGCGACGCCACGGGCCACGGAAGCGCGGGCCGCGGAGCGCCCACACATTCGCGGAGCACGAGGTTCCGAGAGATGAGAGGTAAAGCATAGAATCCAGTTTCTGATCTGATCCAGGAGCAAAAGAGTAGCAACGACGGCCCGAGTTAGGCCGCAGGACGTGTGGGAAGATTGCCCCCCCCCGCAGGCTAGACACGGTACGTTCTGGAGGGGGGCTCCCCAGAGCGCGCCGCACTTCAGCATGCGCGTGTTCGGTATGGCAGCAGCGCGCTTCGTCGCAGTCACGCAGGATTCCAACATGTCCCTCCTCTGGTGGCACGGGGGTGGTTCTTCCGCGGCGCTAGCTCCTCCTCCTCCTCCTCCTCCTCCTCCTCCTCCTCCTCCTCCTCCTCCTCCATTTCCTCCTCCTCCTCCTCCTCCTCCTCCTCCTCCTCCTCCTCCTCCTCCTCCTCCTCGGGTCGCCTACGGCCCCGGGGGAGCCCGTGCAGCTCGTAGTTGGCTCTCGGGGCCCCAGGCGTGGAGGCCTCGAGCCTCCGTGGCAGGACCGGGGCCCCCGGGCGGCCCCGCGGGCGCTCCACATGTGCGCCCAAGACCGCCCCACGGCGGCCCGCCGTGATCGCTTGAGAGGCGGGCCTTGGATTTCCCGAGCGCCCAAGACCGTCCAACAAAGGTGGTCTTCCTCCTCCTCCTCCTCCTCCTCCTCCTCCTCCTCCTCCTCCTCCTCCTCCTCCTCCTCCTCCTCCTCCTCCTCCTCCTCCTCTTCCTCTTCTCTCCTCCTCCTCCTCCTCCTCCTCCTCCTCCCTCCTCCCTCCTCCTCCTCCTCCTCCTCCTCCTCCTCCTCCTCCTCCTCCTCCTCCTAAGAGCGCTCGCCTCCGGCAGCTAGCTTCTCATCCTGCGCAGAAGCCAATCTTCAGTCGGGCTTGTCCCTCTACAGGGGGAACGTTCAACACATTAAAAAATAGTGTGGGGACCAGTTTGGGAGCTTTTGTTTCCATTTGGGATATATTTGTGGAGTATATTTGATTGTTCGTCCAAAATGCTGCTGTTCCCATCGCGTCACAGTGTCATGACACCACCTGTGCCGTTGCCGCTTGCGTCTCAAGCACCCTGTCAAGAGCTTAGTGCTGCGAACGGCGTGTAGATGCGTGGCACCGTGGGCCACGCTCTAAACTGTCAAAACAATTGTAGAGGCCCCTGGCCGGTGCCGCCGATCCGGGACGATCCCGCTGTCAGAAGGACGCTTTCACCCCAGTGCGCTTGTTCAAACGTAAGTGGTTTGGAAACAGCTTGGAGGCATTGCGTGGGCTTCTTGATGGGGCCTCTACGACGCATCTTCGAGGCCTCCTGGGGCGGGGCGTCTGGAGGTGAGTGTTGAGCCTCTTGGGGGCCTTTTGGGCTTCTTGGGGGGCATGCAGGAGGCATCCTGGAGGCCTCCTGGGGGTGTGTAGGAGGTAATGTTTAAGCCTTCGGGAGCGCTCCTGGGCGCCCTTACGGCCACTTGGAGCCTCTCGGGGTTTTGGGGGGACTCCTAGAGCCATTTTGGTCTCTCCTGGGCGCCTCTTGGGCCGTCTTGGGCCCTTCTGGGGCCGTCATGGAGCCCTCTTGGGCGCCTCTTGGGCCCCTCCTAGGGCCCGCTTGGGCTGTCTTGGGGACCTCCCGGGACGTCTTGGGCCCTTCTTGGGCCTAATTGGGGCCCTCTTGAGAGCCTCTGGGACTGTTTTGGGGGTCTCTTGGGCCGTGTTGGACTGCGAAGGCCGAAGAAGCGAAAATGCAACAAATTCACGTTTTCCTAAGGGAATGGGACAGATTTTCCATCTTTGGGCACTCTTAGGAGGTGTCGGGAGGGCACGTTGGAGGCTTCTGGAGCCGTCCGAGGAACAGATTGAGCGTCTTGGAGCGATGGTTCGGCAATTCAGGGCCCTCTTGGGCCGTCTGGGCGGCCGCGGGTTTTTTTTTAATGAGCCCGCGTTCGAGCTCTCCAGGGCGAGGGGCCGACCCGGAGTGAGCTGGAGCTCCAATTTTGCCACCAAAATTGATTCGGACCCCCACCCCCCCAACCTGGCAGAGCCACCCCGGCACCCAACCCCCCAGCAGAGCTGAAGCTCAAGAATTGAAGCTCAGGCTATAGTTGAGGGTCTTTGAAACTCACACGCCAGATCGGTGGATATTTGCTGTTGCCTACTATCATGTTTCTACCTTTCAGTTTAGAATAGAGATCACTGGATCAACTATACTATCCCGCAGTGAGCAGTCCCAACGATTATAAAAGCGCTTGCAGCACGTTGCCTAACCAGCCTCCCCCCCCCCTCCGTCCGACAACCCCGCCTCGCGCGCCGAAGCCAACACCGCGGCCAGCCGAACCCCCCACGCTCCGCGCCAGACGGCTCCACTGCCATCCCCCGCTTGACTCGACCCAACGCTTGTTGAGCAACTCAGAGTGCATGACCTCTGCGAGGCCCCAGGCATGCACCCTGGGAGGCCGCTTTGCTCCACCGCCCAGAAGGCTGGAGGTGATGCTTTCCGATTGGCTTCCAGGCGGCCTTCAGCGAGTCGCCACAGGACCGCGGCCCCGGTGGTCCAGAAGGCCCCCGTGTGGGCGTGGCCGCGGGCCCTTCCAGGACGCCCCCAGCAGTGGCCCAAGATGACCCCCACGGCGCCCGCCTCCAGGCGGCCCCAAGACCTGGCGGGTCCCAGACGCGGCAAGGACGTTCACGTGTCCTTTTCCCGAAGCGGCTTCTCGGATGTGAAAGCGAAGACGAAGAGGCTTTCTGGAGCGCCCAAAACATGAAGCGGAAAACGGCCACCTGACACAGTGTACTATCGTTGGGGGAGGTTGGGGGAGGATCAGCATCCAGTATCTGAAGGATGTTCGATCTTGGATCCCCAAAGACATGTGGTCAGATAGCGGGCAAGTTAGTACAAGTGACCGAGGATGGCAGCTAGATAGGGGGAAGAAAATGCCGCCGCTAACCAACTACAACCCACATACAACACCGTTTAGAATTCCGACAGGCAAATGAAAGAACAGTTGGAGACGTTAGCCAAACACATTGATGCATAAAGTGTAACATAGAAGATACGACATTGTCGGTTCCAAGGCCAGTCAAGCCCTAAAATTTGCCAGTTTTGCCCCAAGATCTTGTGACGATCCTAGGGCCACCGCCAGCCGATTCCAGGAGCCCAGAAGGGCCCCGAGATAACCCTCCACAAAGGCCATCGAGAGGCCCCGAAAAGATCTTCAAAGGATGCATCAGCATGTGACCACTGCCACTGTGTTCTGTTGCGAAGTTGCCTTGGAGAATGAGGGGGAGGTGGAGGAAGAGGACGATGAGGAATGAGGATGAAGGCAACGAGGTCAGTGGCGCAGAGGAAGAGGAGGAGGAGGAGGAGGAGGAGGAGGAGGAGGTGGTGGAGGAGCGGAGGCAAGAGGGGGGAGAATAAAGGAGGAGGAGGAGGAGGAGGAGGAGGAAGAGGAGGGCTAAGCGTGGGGTCGTCAGCAGTAACAGAACCAGTACGAGTGAAGCTATCCAACGGATGCCCTCGCCCGGCCCCATCCCCTTTCCTCTCCCCCTCATGTTCCCGATTTGTTCCTTTCCATAATCCTCCGCCTCCTCCGCCATCCTCCGTCGCCATGCTGCCTCGTCTTCTCCCCCGCCTCTCCATCCTCCCCTCTCGTCCACGTCCTCTTCCTCCTCCCTCTTCTCTCACCCCCTGCTCCGTATTCTCCCTCCTCCCCCAATTACCTCCTTATTCTCTTTTCTGATCCTTCCTCCTTCCCTCCCCCCCCGCACCCCCTCGCGCGCTAGGCGGATGAGGGAGAGGCGGAGGAGGAGGAGATAACGAATGGTGGAAGAGGAGGAGGAAGAGGAAGAGGAGGAGGAGGAGGAGGGAGAAGAGAGGAGAAGGAGGAGGAGGAGAAGGATGAGGAGGAGGAGGAGGAGGAAAGGAGAAGGAGGAGGAGGAGAAGGATGAGGAGGAGGAGGAGGAGGGGAGGGGGAGGAGGAGAGGAGGAGGAGGAGGAGGAGGAGGGGAGGATGAGGAGGAGGAGGAGGAGGAGGAGGAGGAGGAGGAGGAGGGGGGAGGCGGAGGAGGGAGGACGGAGGAGAAGAGACGAGGGACGAGGGGGGAGAGGAGGAAGACCTCTGGGAGCCTCCCCCTCCTGAAAACGGGCAGGGCCAGCGGGACCTGGCAAGCCAGAGATTGTCTTGATCGACGCTGGCCTGAGCGTCGGGCTGTCGCGGAAGGAGCCCATCCTCTTCTTCTTCTTTCCCCTCCTCTTCCGACATCGGCGCTAACATCGAGCTAGCCTCCAGTTGTAAGTCGAAGGAGTATCCTGGCAGATGGAAAGATTGGTGTTCCACGGGTTCCTCAGGTGGATCGAGGGTGTTGCATCGAACGGCGAAAGTCCGCGACATTCACCAGCCGGCCGTAGTTGATACTGCTCGTGGCGCCCGTCCGCACACGCCCACGACCTTGTAAGCCATGAGGGTGCTGTGTATAAGGAGCTTTGGAAAGGCAGTGAGCCTCCGGCGGCTCGGACACCTGATCGTATGTGTCTGCCCAAAGCTACGCCTGCAGCGATCAGGGCTATGGCCCAGACCCTCTCGGCAAGCACTACGGCCGCGCCCGACAATTTCCGCCCCCGTCACGTCCTCTTAATGGAGGACGAGGCTCTGGAAGCGCTGGCGAGCATCTACTTCACGATTAAGGCCATAGTCTCGTTGCCGAGGCAGCTGGCCCGGCTCATCACCCCCGCGATCCCGAAGTCCCCACGTTCTGGGCACCAATCGGTGGTGTTCTACGCGGGGGTATACCAAGTGTGGCAGAGGCTGCGGCGGCCGCTGCTGTACGAAGTCCAGGTGATGATTTTGTCGCCCCACTGGGACGCAGCTCGAGGAAGGGCATCGGTTGACTGTGCGTGGCTTCAGGTTGCTGAGGCCGAAACTGACAGGGGTCCGGACTACCAAGGTGCAGCGGCGGTGGCGGATTTCAGCAAACAGTGCGAGCGCATTCCAATGCAAAAGTTGCGTGACACATTTCTCCCCTTCCACACGCCGACGGTTTTCTTGAAAGCTGTGTGCAATATGTGGTTCGCACCGAGCTTATTGGGTTTGAGTGGCCACTTCAGCGATCAATCGCTGTGTGCCGCGTTCCGGCTGCCAGCAGGAGGCGTGTTCTGCGACATTGCAGTCGAAGTTTGGCCTGTTGGTGCGTACGAGCACCAGTTCCACCCGTTCCGATGACGACAATTCGATTCGCGTCTCGTCCAGTTCCAAGACCACCGCCACGGATATGATGGTGTCTGCAGCGACGGATTTCAGGAGGACAGCTGTTCTTCTCGAGTCTGAAGTAAACGATCCGCTCGGGATGGGTGCTGTGGTACTTTATCCGGCCTAGTCAAGCCATAGTTGACCAGTTGGGTCTGCCTGACAGACTTGCTCGATGCAGCGCCATGCGCGTCGGTGTCGACGGCAGTGAAGGCAATACGAGAAAGTCCAAAGGACTCGTTCAGAAGCGGTTGGCCTGTCGTTGACGATTGCCCATGCGCATGCTGAAGGCACGCAGGTCGGCAAAATCGTTACGGCCCATGACGTCAAATCCATTTGCGTCGCGCTGGGGCGATGGCTGCAGCTACCTACGGCGGCGAGATGGCGGGAGTGGACAACGCCGAATGGTTGCAGCTCAGGGCTGCAAGCCGAGGTCGCTATTGTACGATTGCTTTGTTTGGCGACGGCAATGTTGTTTTTGTTAGTGGGCTTGCTGTGCAATGGTGCATGATGTCGTGGCAGGCTGAGACCTACCACCTTGGTTTCGAGAGTCAGGCTGTTCCGTCTGGCGCGAGGGTCGACCCCGGAAGGCTGAGTTTTCGCCCTCCAGCATTTGGCCTCTGTCACGAGCTTGTTTGTCCGCCGAGCGTGTTGGGTGGCGAGTGGTCTCGGCAATCTGTTGGCTAGACCACTTCCTCCGTCGCTGAGCAAATGCCTCTCAGATGAACCACCCCCAATATTTTCTCTCGCTCAGCGGGCGCGTAGCCCTGCCAACCCGGAGTGTCCCAGGTGCCGTCCTACCTTATCCCACATTTATCCTCATCTTCCTCTCGCTTCCTCCGCCTCCTCTTTTCTCGCATCCCTCCTCCTCTTTTTTTCATCCTCTCCGTCCTCCTCCTCTTCCTCCTCCTCCTCCTCCTCCTCCTCCTCCTCCTCCTCCTAGCCCGTTTCCCTCGAGAGTTTCGAGGTCGGGCGCGCGCGCGCGTGAAGGGGGTGCAGCGCGCCCGAGCCGCCATGGCATGAGATCCCTCCTGCCCCGGAACCTCTTCGGCGAGGAGGCCAACGCGCTCCTGGTGGACCTGGACCTGAAGATCCAGCGTGCGAGGCACTTCCCATAGTTTCCCATGTTTTCTGGGGAATCGACGATTCATAGTGTCTGTGCGTTTTTCCCCCTCCTGAAGGGTTTCTGGTAAGGGCGGGCCCTTCAACCGCCTCGCCGCGGTCGCCGCGGCTCAGAGCTCGCCCCCACAGCGCCTGAGAGTGACTACTTACCAGATCACCCCACGGGAGCGGAGTGGACCGCGGAGCTGTTCCATGGTGGATTCCCGTTCGGCTGGGCCGTCGGCAACGGCTGCTCCAGATTTCGTCCTAAAAGGGAGGGGGTCTGGACCCTCCAAGACAAGCCATTTCAGACCTCCCCCGTGGGAGAACCCTCCAAAACATCGTCCCCAGACCCCCCAGGCCCTCCAAGATAGCCTGGAAGAGACCCCCTCCCGAAATGAGACCCCCCTCCCTTTATTACGAAATCTGGGGTACATGTACGAATCTGGGATCTGGCCCCCACATGACTCTCAGCCCTCCCCACGCGGCCATGGACCTGAGCTGCGGGCCGTTCAATCGCGGCAGGTTCATGGGCCTATCGAGGGCGGACTTGGGCGATGGGCCGCTTCGGATGGACGACTCGGGCATACAGGAGCGGATCCCGCCGCCCTCGGCAGCGCGCGAGCTGATGGACAAGCTCAAGGCTGCCGTCCTAGCGACCTGGGCGACGCGGCCCCGGACACCGCCGAGGTCAGCAAGGACGCAGCCGGCTTTGGCAGCTCGGTGGAGTCAGGCAGCCGCCTGCCGCGCGGCAGGCCTTCAGGATGGCAAGGGGGAGCAGGCCTACGAGGAGAAGGAGCAGAAGGAGATGCACCTCGCGCAGACGGAGCTCGGGAGTTTCGCGAGCAAGGTGGAGAAGGAGAAGGAGAAGGCGGCCAGATCTAGGCCCGCAAGTGGCGGCGCCTGCGTCCAAGCTGCCACCGCGCCAACGTTGGTTCAGGGCGGAGTGCCAGAAGTGCAGCGCGTTGGCCCCTGCGGGCGTCTTGGCCCTACAAGACTAGCAGCAGGAGGCCCTGGAAATAGAGGTGGAGCAGCTAGCCCTGAAAAAGCTCAAGACCACGCCCTGGGAGTGCAAAAGGATGCTCCGCGAGGAGAGGCTGTCGCTCGCGGAGGACAAGAGGGTGCTGCTGGATGCGCGGAAGGAGATGGAGGAGAAGATGAAGGATACGGTGAAGGATCAGCAGTCGGACCTGGATCGGACGCTTGCCGACACGACTCACTACCAGGGCAAGTTGAAGGAGTTGGGCATTGCACGCGCTGCAACGACGGGGCGGAGTCGTTCGCCCAGCTTTCTGCGTCGAAGAAACCGCTGGACGCGTCCTCTCCCGCGAAGGGACACGCCTGCGGCGAGCAGTATTTCATAGGCGACTGCTGTGGGAGCGACGCTGTGTCGGACGTCGAGTCCGATGGCGACGCTTACCTTCGCATGCTGGAGAAACGGCTCCGCTCCCAGGGCCTAGTCTTCAAGGCTTGGGCGTTGGAGATCAGCAACAAGCAGGGCGTTTTCAAGAAGGACAAGAAGGACAAGAAGGGCCTTCAGGGTACATCAGGGGCTGGAGATGGACCTCACCGCAAGGCGAGGGCTAAGCAGAAGCCCCAGGCGGCGGCTGAGGCGCCCTGGACCCTCGCCCAGGAATTGTTCAATGAGATGGCCATGCAGCTGATATCCTTGGCAGTGACAAGACCTCGGAGGTCACGACGGCGGCGCTGCTGCAGGCCGCTGGGCGCATGGGCTCCCCTGTTGAGAAATTCCAGGGCGTGAGCGGCAGGGACAGCTAGGTGTGGTTGGCGTTTTTTTCGTCGCTTCGCGGGCTCTGCCTCGAATTTTGGTCCGCGTGTTGTTGGCGGCGTGGGCGTTTTCCTCTGGGTTCGGCTTCCTCGTCGCCATGCTGGGCCCCGTTCGACGTCGGGCATTGGCTCGGCAACCGCGCTGCGGCGTTGGTCCGCGGCGCTTTGGCCAGCGCGCCAGCGCCCAGTGACACGGACGGTATCATCAACACCCTCAGCACCTTCCTCCTCCTCCTCCTCCTCCTCCTCCTCCTCCTCCTCCTCCTCCTCCTCCTCTTCCTTCTCCTCCTCCTCCTCTTCCTCCTCCTCCCCTCCGCCTCCCTCCTCCTCCTCCCCCCCCTCCTCCTCCTCTTCCTCCCCCTCCTCCTCTTCCGCCTCCTCATCCTCCTCCTCTTCCTTCTTCCTCCTCTCCTCTTCTCCTCCTCCCTCCTCCTCCTCCTCCTCATCCTCCTCCTCCTCCTCCCTCCTCCTCCTCCTCTCCTCCTCCTCCCTTTCCTCCTCTTCCTCCTCCTCCTCCTCCGCCTCCTCATCCTCCTCCTGTCCTTCTCCTTCCCTCCTCCTCCTCCTCCTCCTCCTCCTCCTCCTCCTCGTCCTTGTCCCCGTCATCATCCTCATCCCGTCCTCATCCTCCTCCTCTTCATTCGCTTCTTCGGGTCTCCGTCTCGCCTCTTCCTCCGCCTTTGTCCCCTCGCCCTCCTTCTCCTTCACGCATTGGTTCGACGAGCGCCCAGCTTGCGCCCAACATCGGAGGCACAAGCTGATTAGTCGAGTTAAGCAGCGGCTTCGGCCTTTGAGTCATGCCTTCGGTCCTCGATGGCCAGCGCCCTTGGGGGCAACTCGTCGGGAAAAGATTGGGCCCTGAGGCTCTGCATTTTGAAGTGAGACCCTCTCGTTGACGATTGCACTCGGCCTCTCTTTAAGTGGACCCCAGCTAATGGAGTCGTCCTGGAAATGGCCGCCGTTTCAGCTGTTTCGCGATCCGTGGGACAGTTGCGGGACCTCAGACGAGTGGCCCCTAGTTGTCTCAAGAAGCTCATGTTCTCCAGGCTTGATGCTTGTCTAGCTCTCCACCTGGTTTTCGGTCAGGGACCTTGAGATGTCTCGCCGGCTTTGGGGGCCCAGCCAGGCTATGCTCAACCGTAGGGCGAACCGATCGCCGCAGAGAAGGTCGGTTATACATGTATATTTGGGCCGGGATTCTGGAACCGCGACAAAGTTTGGAGAGCCGAGTTCTGGAACAATCGATTTTGTCAGGCTTGTGTGTACGAGGTAGGTTGCCATCATCATCGATTCATTGACCGGGCCGAGGCGGCAGAAGCCCAGAACCTTCCGGGGATATTGCATCGTGCTGAGACGTCCTCCGAGCCTCGCCTCTTCCCCCTAAGTGTCCCTGAGCACTCCCTGGAGTGCCCGTTCCTACGTCTCACACCTGCCCAGGCAGGAAGAGCCTCACGCCGACGGTGGAAACCCTTCCTTTTGCTTTCGGCATGGATCTGTTCCGATGGTTTGGGCAGGGGCCCTCCTGGGGTCAAGAGTTTCGGGCGGGGCCACGCCCTCCTGGACCAGGAAAGGGCGGCGGTCAGGGCCAGGAGAGGCTCCGTTCCAGCGCTCGGGTGTCAGGCACCTTCGCTCATAGCGGAGAGGTCTGGGCCTATGAAGTTGCTGGAGGGTGGTGCCCCTCCCCTCCCTCCCCCCCCTCCGCGTAGGGATGGGCAACAGTTTTATGACCAAGGATCTCTAGCGCGTCTTCCTCCTCCTCCTCCTCCTCCTCCTCCTCCTCATCATCATCATCATCATCATCATCACCATCACCATCACCATCACCATCACCATCACCATCATCAGCAGCAGCATCATCATCATCATCATCATCATCATCATTAGCATCATCTTCATCTTCATCTTCACCCTCCTTTTTTGACTATGACACGCTCCAAGATTTCCATGGTTTCCAGGGTTTCCGGTATCTCCTAATGTTCCGCACCGTCTGCGCCGCTGGATGCTTTGGAAACCCTGGAACGCATCTTGAGCAAATCTTAGTTTGACATCACTCTGCCTCGTAGACTGGGCGGGGCTAGGACGAGGATAAGTCCGTTCCAGAGCGTTCCAGAAGGCTCCAAGAGTGTTTCAGAGCGCTCTGGGAAAGCCAAACCGCCCGATACGCCCTCCAGAGCCGCCAGATATCGGAGATTCTAGACGTGTCTTTGCTCGAACTTGTCCTCGTCCTGGCCTGGTCTTCATAGGCAGAAGCTCTCGGAGGCCCGCGTGGATTGCTCGAACCTGCGCTGGGCCCCCCTGGCGGCGCGGCGCCTCAGGCGCCGCCCCCTGGCGCGCTCCGCGCGCCGGAGAGGCTCCGCGCGCCAGAGAGGGGGGGGGGCCCCATCGCCGATCCGAGAAATCCGCGCGGAGGTTCTGCTCATGCAGTGTGTTGCTCATCTATCCTTACTTAAGTCGGGCGTGTCCCTCTACAGGAGAGATATTCAAACATAGTCCAACAAAAATAATAGGGGAACGATTTTTAAGTAGTGTTGAGCATTGTGTAGCATTTGTTGGCAATTTGCATTTTTCGTCCACAATCCGCCTGCAGGGAGACGTGCCCGACCTAACTTTATCCAGGCAGGCCCCGCTTAGTCGGGGCGCCGCGCGGCTAGTTGCGCGGCCATTCTGACTGAGCACGTGAGATGTTCGAGCCGGCCCATGTTCCCATGCGCGGCCCGGCGCCCCTCTAATTCCCTTGGCTCTCTCCTTCCGCTCTTCCAGTAGTAACGTTCCAGGATATCAGCCGAGGGTTTCGTTGTTGCCTCTGACGCAGCATTCTGTGTTTCTCGTCTTCCCCCCTTGTCTCGCCTCTTCTCCTGCTCCGACAAAATTGCATGCTGTTCCGAAGGCTTGTCTCCACGAGGGCCTTGAAACCTCAGGAGGTGCCGCGAGAAGCAGAGTGCCCAAGGGCGCCCCAGAAAGTTCGGGAGAAGTTTCGACACTAAGACCCCAGGAGGCAGCAAAACCGGCCAGGAGCCCCTTGCGAGGCCGCGGAAATGCAGAAGGACGAGACCGCAACGAGGTCGCGGAAAGAAACGTGCGCAGCACGCGGCGCTGGTCGGCGGGGGAGCGGAGAAAGAAGGGGCGAAGTACGACGAGGAGAAGGAAGCTCTTCATCCTTCTTCCTCTTCTATGTAACTGTAACTCCGTCCGCCGCCCTCATCCTCCCTCCTCTTCCGCCCCCTCCTCGCATTCGTCCTGTTCGTCTGCCCCGTCCTCCTATTCCCTCTGCCTCCGACCTCCTCCCTCCTCCTCCTCATCCCTCCCGCCTCCTCCTAGCCGGGCGGGGCGCGAGCGCGGTGACGGGAGGGCAGCTGCGGCCAGCAGCGATAGTTGGACGACCCGCGGTTTTTCCGCAGACGGGCCCCGGGTCGGCGTCGCCCTCCCGGAGGCGCGATGGCCGTCATCCTCCTCCCTCCCCCCCTCCTCGCCCAAGCGGCCGGCGGCGGCTGCACGGCCACACAGCCTGATGCAGCCCTGCACCGGACGTTGCGGCCTCCGGCCAGCGCCTGCCTGCCATGTAGCTGCGGGAGGTACAGTCGGGGCGCTGAAGAAGGAACCCGTTTCGTTGGGGAGGGGCTCGGTGTTCCTTGATCGTTTCACAGTTTGCCTCAGGTTGTCCTGAGGTTTTCCATGGGGAATCGAAGCTTGACTTATGGGAAAGAGGGGCCGCGTTCCTTATTTAGGGTTCCTTAGGTCAAGGCCCCGACGGTACCAGGCCCATTGGGCCAGCACCTCCTGCGGCCGCTCTCTGCGGCCACTCCTCCGCGCCTCGCTGCCTCTCGGCGCCTGGCGCGCTTAGTGCAGAGCGCGTCTGGCTCTGCTGCTCGAGCGGAGGGGTAGGCCGCTCTGCCCACCCCTCGGAGACCTCCCCTCTCGGCCGCAGCTGTCCGTTCGACTGCTGGCGCCCCCCTCCTCCTCCCTCCGAGCCTCGAGGACCGGCGCAACTTCGTGGAGCTGTTCCACGCCATCGCGACGGACGACGGGCGGCGCGCGGCGCAGCTGATGGCGGGCCGCGGCGCCGCCCCCCAGGGCGAGGAGGGTCTCGAGTGCTCGAGGTTCGACGCAGATCGGGGTAGGCCAAGAGGGGGGTGATGACCAGGGTCAAGAGAGGAACAAACACCCCGACTCGACAGTTGGCGTTTCCTAAACGGCCTTGGGCGTTTATAAAAAACAGCCCTGCCCTGTTCGATGCATTCTTTGGGCGCGTGGACTAAAGGCCCCGCGTGTCGGGGCGGTCATCATCGGGGTGGCGTTTCTGCCCTCCGGATAGGGGGGATACCATCGCGGGGGACATGATACCTCCCCAGATGTCATGGCGCCTCCTCTCATTCCCATCTGCGTTTCCAGCCCCGCCCCCCCTCTTGGGCCGCGCACGTGCCGCTGGCCACGTTCTGCGCCCACCCTCTCTTGGACGCCCCCCGCTTGGACGCTCCCGAGCGTCCAAGCCTGCGTAAGAGAAAGAGCGGGGGAGGAGGAGGAGGAGGAGGAGGAGGAGGAGGAGGAGGAGGAGGAGGAGGAGGAGGAGGAGGAGGAGTAGGAGGAGGAGGAGGAGGAGGAGAGGAGGGGAGAGGAGAAGGAAGAGGGAGGAGGAGGAGGAGGCGGAGGAGGAGGAGGAGGAGCAGGTGGAGGTGGGGAAGGAGGCATTTGCGTCGTGGCGCCACCTACCTCTGCCCGAGCCACGCCCCTCGGGCTGGCATCGGCGGGAGGCCAGCCCGGGACAGCGGCGGAGTCCAGGGACGACCAGGGTACGGGAGGCCTCCGTAAAGTCGCCAGGACCGCTATGTCCGCGGGCGGCGAGGACCAGGAGCAGGGGGGGAGGACAGGGGAGAGGAGAAGGAGGCAGGTTCGAAGATTGAGGATGCAGGTTTGGGACATCTCTGGTTTGGAAAGGGCGGTGTGGCTTCATGACGGGGAGGGAGGCGGAGGAGCAGAAGGAGGAGGAGGGGAGGACCAGTTCAAACCCAAGACGCATCAACGGTGTTGCAATGATAAAAACGTCCCTCTCCGTCCTTCTGAGTCCTCTTTGCATTTGTCCATACAAGTGATTGCTTTCATAGCGGAAAGTGGGGGCGGATTGAAAGTCATGTGTCTCATAATCCTCAATCGTGCCAAAATATATTTTCTGATATTCAACACCGCAAAGCAACGTTATTGTTGCGTCCTGATTGTCCCAAATCGTGCCAGATTTACCCTGGGACTCCAACCCTGCGAATCCTTGAAACTGTTGCTAACTGTTCAGACGACTGTGCGCGCAGCTGATACAAAAAGTTACAGTTTGAAAAGGAACCACCCTCAATCCCTCAATTCTTCAATCGGTTGCAAACTTTTGAGACGAGTGTGTGTGGCGCTACAGCAACAGCTACGTTTTGAAAAGGTCCCACCTTGCATCCTTGAAGCGTGTAAGACGACTGTGCGCGGCGCTGCGCCGAGAGCCATATTTTGAAGAGGACGCGCCCTTCATCCTTGAACCTGTTGCAAGTGTGTAGGACGATTGTGCCCGGCGCTGCGGCGAGAGCCACATTTTGAAAAGGACCCGCCTTCCTCCCTTGAAGTTGTTGCAGAGTCTGAAGAATGTGCGCGGCGCTGCGGCGAGTGCCACATCTTGAAATGCGTCCAGCCTTCATGCACGAAGCTGCGGCAAACTTTCAAGACGAATGTGCGCGGCGCTGAGGCGAGTGGCGCATTATGAAGTCGGCCCGCCCTCCATCCTGAACATTGTTGCAACTTCCAAGCTTAAGTCTCAGGCGAAGCGCCCAGCACGCCCTACTGACACGTTTGGGGGCGCGGCAGGAGGCGTTACTCGTAAGGAGAACGGATGGAAGAAGTGGAGGTGCAGGGGCAGGAGAGGGGGAGGAGGATGGGGGGGATGGGGAAGGGGGAGGGAAGCAAGGAAGCAGGGAAGAGAGAGGAAGGACGGAGGAGGAAGGAGAAGGAGGGAGGAGGAAGGGGACGACGAGGAGGACAACACGAATCACGCCCAGGCAGCCTTACACTCTTGGTATTACTCCCGGCGGGTGGCTCCACGGGTGACAGAGCTCTTGATTGGTGGCGAGAGAATGTCATTACGAAATGGGGCGAGGAGGAGGAGGAGGAAGTTCTTCACTTCCTGCTGCTCTTTCTACCTTCCCTGCCTTTCCCCCCCCACCCCACCCGACCGCCCGTAGATGTGATAACGCCCGTAGGCGCGCTGAAAGTGTGATAGCTGATGGCGATGTGGGAAAGCCAATTGTAGGAAAGCGTGGTTCGTGGCCAAACCAATTTTAGGAACGCGTGGTTCGTGTTTTCCTACAACTTGTGTGTCGCTGTTGCTCGATAATTCGCAGATTTGAGATGTAGGAAACGGTGTTTCGCGATGTCCTACATGTTGTTCTGCGTGAGCTCGGTGCCACAAAAAAACAGATTTCAACCGCACCTTGAATCAAGCACGCCGTTCGCGCGGCCTTGGTCAGCTCCCTCTTGAACATCATTATCCTCAGCTGTGGCGTTGGCCGTACATGGTGTTGCCGGGATGGCGCACACATGCATTTAGCGAGCCGAGCAAGCAAAGCACACGCGTTAAGGGAATTGATGTACAGCGCTGTTGGGGGACGTGTAGCCCACGCGGATGGGAGTACGGCATATTTGGTTTGATCGGCAAGTGCCCGCCTTTTTGGAACAAGCAGTGTTGCGTACATGTACCAAGGGATCGCGCCCGCAAGTGTGTTGTGCTTGTTCGTTGCTGTATGGTGTGAATTCTTGGTATGCCTTTTGGCACCCACGGGCGATGTAGTAGGTAGCAGCACGGCCACCCACGAGGCAAAAAGTTATTTGGAACCAGCGATTGTGGGTTCGCATATGGACGACTTGTTCATGCGAGATTGGTGTCTACATGTCGATTTGGTCCTACAAGCGGTATAGGGCATTGTTCAGGTTGAATGTATCGTTATGTGCAGGATGCCTTCGGCTTGCTTTGACGGTGGATAAGTTCGCCGTGTCAGCGACTCGTGGATCCTTCACGGTTAAAGCCAGGGAATGCCTTGGGGACTTTGGGGGAGGTTTGACCTGATCGCCAGCATACGTGCACTGTGACGCGGGGCAGGTCTGTTACAAGGTTCAGTCCCGTTTTGGGGGGGGAGCAGGACGGGGACTCTGAGACGGGGGGTAGGCGTCGCCACGAGCAACGGGTGTCCTGAAGGAAGGTGTCCTTGGCCTCTTGGCCACTGCCGGGAGGTCCCAGGGGAGATGAGGAGGCGCAAGCCGTAGGCACGCCGACGGCGATGCGGCGACGTCGGTGTCAGCATTTTGCGGGCGGGAGCGGTTCGTGTCCAACGCAATTGTAGGAAGGGCTTGCTCGTGTTTTCCTACAGCCTAGGTAGTCGAAGGCCAGACTGTCAGACTGGATTGGGCCCCAAGGGCCAATCTGGCCAGGCCAGACTGGAGGGTTTGGGTCATTCGCCAGACTGGATTCGCGTTGGCTCCCTCGCCAGATTGCCCCCGTTTGCCAGATTGGGCCTGCCAGATTGGCGCCAGATTGGCTTCGACTACCCAGCCTAACATCGCCGTTAGCCTGGCCTGGGCCCAGGGAAGGCCACGCGGTTCCACAGAAGCCCCGGGGCAGCGGAGCCCTCTCCTTCAGGCTCGTGACAGGCCGGGCCAAAAAAAGCTCACTCGCGCACAGAAGAGCGTCTCGATAGGAACCGCTGCCCTGCATCTGACTGCAGAGAGAGAAAAAAAAAAAAAAAAAAAAAAAAAAAAAAAAAAAAAAAAAAAAAAAAAAAACTCACTCGCGCACGGGGGAGCCAGACGTGGGCCCGCCGGAGCACGGCACGGCAGCGGACACTCCACAGATCGTGCCGCGTCGTGCGCGGTTTGTGCGCACCGGGATGCGGGGGTCATGCTTCTGAACGGCATTCGTAGTGAGCATTGTTGAGGCCAGCTCCTTGCAAGGAAAGTCACAGGGGAGAGTCGACGACACCTAAGAGTCGCGGAGTGACTTTTTTTATGCGGGTCCAAAGTGGCCTCCCGATCCGATCGTTGAATGCGATGCGACAGCAGCGGCTTGCGTGCCTGGTGGTGCCCCCCCAAAGGGCCCCCCCTTGGCCGCGCACGAAAGGTCACCCTTGCCTGGGGTCACTGTTGCGTATAGCCGTGAAAGAAGGAGCATGGAAAAGGAAGTGGGAGGTGAAAGCAGAGGGGGAGGTGGAGTGGGGACGCGTGGAAGGAGGGAACGGGGAAGGGGGTGACGGTGCGGTGGGGGAAAAAGGGGGGTGATGTGTGTGTGTGTGTGTGGCGGACACGCGGACATTGGTGAGGTGGAGGGAGGATGAGCAGGAGGTTCCCTCCTCGTCCATCTCATTCCTCATCCTTCCCCTAGCCCTCTCGTCATCATCGTCTCCATCTTCCTCCGCTTTCTCCTCATGAGCGAACGTCCGTGTCTGCGCTGACAGACGTGCCGCTACTGTGTGTCGGGCGTTTCGCCACAGCGCTCCTCAATAATTATGTTTCTGAACAGACAAGGTAGAGGGCGAAGTGTTGTTCAAACGTGTCTCTCGCGTCGGCGCCGCGCACATCTGACTTACACCGACGCAGTGCAGATTAGATTCTAAATATAGTTGTCGTTTTTGTTCAGTGCAAAATGTTGTTTGACAAGTTTCCAAGAGTTCCATTGGTGGAGGGGAGTGGTGTTCAACATGCAGGTCTTGCCGTCGCAGTTTGCACATTCATCCGAACGCTTCCTAGCAGCTACACGGATGGAGGGCTCTTCCTTTTTCAAGATGGGGCTATTGTTGGATATTATTTCAGATTCTGCGCGCTGAACTTTACGAGGATTCTCGTCTTCATGGATGGAGGGCGGTTCTTTTCTAAAATGTGGGGTCCAGTTAGTTTCTCGCCGATTTCTAGCATCTTGCCACTGGGCGTTTTGTATAGCTACAAGGTTGGATGGCGGTTCCGTTTAGATCGGGGTGTTTGCTTGAATGGTTGACCCAAAGAGCGTTCGTCGCTGAAAAGGGACCTCCCCGCAGCAAAACAATTGGAGACCCATGAGGAGGGACTGAGGACGGAAGCGTGTGTTGCAGAAGCGTTGATGTATCGTGAGTTCAACCATTCGAGTCTTGCTCGTCACCTTTGGCTTTCACTCATGCACCGAATTATGGATCCGAGCTGAGCTTCCTGGTATTCCTCGTTCGGGCCCCGGGAGGGGCGTTCTGATGCCCTCCTTGTTCGCAACAGTGTCATGACCAAGGCATCTTGTCCTGGCGATTTCAATCAACGGCTCCCTCGCGAGCCCGTTCGGGAAAAGCGCCGAGCCGAAGTTCAAGAAACAAGCCAAAGAGCCAATCCTCCCCGCCATGTGAGAGAGGAGTCCCGAGGGACACGGGTCTCAGACCCCAGGACTTGCCCCAGGGCAGATGATCCAGAGCCCCCGAACGGCGAAGTACCGTTATTGGCGTCAAAAACGTGAATCCACAAACGTTGCGTCGACGGTGCCGCCCACGGAACCCCCATTTTAATGTTGCGTTCGCGGCCGTTGTCGGGGTGCAGGCATCGGCATAGAAAACGCCCAAAACCCCACCGCCAGGGCAACTCCGTTTTCAGCATTGATATTGGGGGGCACGGGGGTTCTGAACACAGCAGCGTTGTCAGTATGCTTGGTGGGCGCTTTTTGTACGCCAACGGCGGTTAAGTCCAGGACCCCATTCGAGGACCCGCTTCATTCATGTCACTCCTGCTGCTCACAGCGTGAGGACGAGGGGGCCTCCTGCCCCCCACCCAGCGGCGCCTCCTGGGGGCGCCCGCGCTTCCGCGGAGGTGGAGCGCTCCCCGGGGGACCGCAGCCAGGTCGTTGACGAGGAGGGCAGCCAGCTCCTCTGGGCAGTCGGAGGGAGGAGAAGGGAGAGAGGAGGAGGACGAGGAGGATGAGGAGGAGGAGGGAGGAGGACGAGGAGGAGGAGGAGGAGGAGGAGGAGGAGGAGGAGGAGGAGGAGGAGGAGGAGGAAGGAGGAGGAGGAGGAGGAGGGAGGAGGAGGAGGAGGAGAAGGAGGAGGAGGAGGAGGAGGAGGAGGAGGAGGAGGAGGGAGGGAGGAGGAGGAGGAGGCAGGAGGAGGAGGAGGGAGGAGGGATGAAGGAGGAGGGAGGAGAATAAGGAGAACGAGAAGGAGGCGCTGCGGGCCGGTGGTGTGACGCTGGTGTGCTGTGTCATCGCGCTGCTCTTGGTGTACAGCGGGTGGTTTCGTGCGGACTTGCTTCGCCGCGCCAGGGAGGAGAAGGAGGAGTAGGAGATCCTCCTCCTCCTCCTCCTCCTCCTCCTCCTCCTCCTCCTCCTCCTCCTCCTCCTCAGGAGGAGGCGGAGGAAGACGGTGAGGAGGGCGGAAGGAGGAGTGAGGGGAGGGGGGGAAGAGGAAGGCGGGGGAGGAGGTGGGTGAGGAAGGTATTAGTATCAATCACAAGAAGTCACGGATGAGGGAGAAGTTGAGTTGGCACCAGGCGCCGGGTGGCTCACCGTGTGTCGGAGTTAGTCGCAGGTTGTTTCAGAGGTTGCCGAGATTATGTTGAACGTTGGCGCGGCAGGGCGGTCGGGCGAATGATGCGGTTCGTTCCTCCTTGACACAAATGCGTGGAGTCGACAGTGGGTGGACCCCCGAGGTAGAGAGGCTATGCGAGAAGACCGCGAAGAAGCCCAGCGTGGGCTCCCTGCTTGCCCCGTCGGTGGACCAGACCAGTCCAGGCTAGATGCTGGATCTTGTCGGGGGCACTGCGTGCTCAAATTGTGGAATCAACCTTGGGATGCCGTGTAGGAGAGTTGTCCGTGTGGGTGAGTAGAATTGTCCGTGAGACGCCACCTGCGATATTGTGTATGCAGGTCGTTGGTGATAGAACGAAAAGATCTGACGTTGGGGGGAGTGGAGATCGAAGTGAAACGCAGGGCCTCCACTGGGAAGGTGCGTCCGCGGTCGAGAGAAGTCACCAGCCCGAGCCAGGGGCAAGGTCGTCAAAAAGGTTCCGCTGAAACGGTGGCGGTCGGTTTGTCCCGTGGTTATTCCGAGTGGTTATTTCTTTCAGTGGGCACGGTGGCGGCCATTGTGTCTTGTGGTTGTTCCGTTCAATGCCCCATGATGTTGCCACATGGACGGATCGTACGCTCGATGGTTCTTGTTTGGGTGCCCCGTAAGATCGTTTCATGAATTGTTTGGTGTATCGATGGGAGGGGTTGGTTGTTATATCGGCATAAACGGAGATCCCCACCAGGAACACCATGTCGGTTTAAGTTCGGTTCGCGACGTGCGTGCGGACGAAGTGTCGTTCCGTGCGCGGGCGATAACCACTTATTGGTTGTTCGGCAGAAATGGTTGCGGGAAAGAGGGAGCACAGAGGCACGAGGGAGAAGGAGGAGGAGAGGGAAGGTGGGAGGACAGGGGTTGGGAGGAGGAGGAGGAGGAGGAGGAAGATCAGAACGAAGGAGGAAAAGAAGGAGAGTCGGCGGTGGAGGAGGAGGATGAAAGGGGCAAGAGGATGATGAGGAAGGGGGGGAGGCAGGCAGAGGAGGGAGGAGGGAGAAGGTAAGTTGGCAAAAAAACGCTCACGCCGGGCGACACGCACCCTCATGGCATTGGACGTGGGAGACTGGGCGTGGAGGCTGCGGGCAAGGTGGGGCAGAAGACCGAAGTGTCTTTTCGAGGTAGGTGCGTCCGCCTGCAGAAGCTTCGGAGGCTTGGAGGAATAGGGACGACGGATCCAGGACGCAGGATCGAGCACAGAAAGCAGGGAAGGGAGGGAGAGGGGGAGAGGGGGGAGGAGCACCGAGGGGGGGAGCTAGTCAGGCCGGGGCTGGATATGTCTAGTTCCGGGACCTTCGAGAACTCTCGGGAGCGGCCACATCGCCCGACACATCCTCCAGATCCGCCGTACTTCTTCAGAGATGCCTGCTCTGTCTCAGCACGTGTTCACTTGATCTCGAGATGCCTCTCACAATCTGTCCCTGGACCCCTCCAAGAGTCCATCCTGGCCAGGGTTTCATCCAGAACCGATTTCCGAGGCCAAGATGCAGTAAAGGCCTCAGGTGCGATCTTTCCAACCATCTCCACGCTCTGCGTACCCTCACCAGCTCATCCAGCAATGATGCCCATGCGAGTTGGACTGATCAGGGAAGTTTGGGAGCACGCATTGGATCAAAGAGAAGACGAATGCCGCATACCGTGCGCAAAATCGTCCGAACGATGCCACTCGTGCAGGAAGTTCCCGTTGCCGCCACATGGGTCTGGGAGCCGAGGAAGAGGTGGGCAGGCATGTCCATGGGCAAATGCGTTACAAGTTCGAAACCGCAAGCGGCGCTGCTGTCGATGACATGGTACCACCGACCTAAATGTTTCGGTTGGGCGGTGCTTCATGGAGAATCGGATCCGGGGAATGTCAAGACGACCAGTACACGCGAACTCAACAAAGGTTTTGTGTCCGACTTCGTCTAGTCAGGAAAATTTGAAATCCCGAACAAGCCACTGCACATTCATCAATTTCCTGCATCAAGGCCGATTAGGGGGATGAACAATACGTGACCTCTTGGTGTCATACATCAATGGATGTTGATCTCGATGTCGCTGCAGGGATTGTTTCATCCAAACTTACGCGTGTAGCATCCAAGACGCAACTGGAAGTTTCAATGTATATACCTTGCACAACGCCAGGCCTCGTGTCAAAACATGCTTCGTCAAATAAGCTTGTTTTCGAATCCTGCAGCTCCTGGATGACAACAATGAGGCAAGTTCAGCTCCAAAATGATGATTTGCACCGAGAAATTCCCCGCAGCGGGATGGACTGCAACATACCTGAGGAATACCGAAATCGATGCTTCACCGTGAATGTTCGCGGGTTCTTGTTGGAGGCCACATTACCGTTGGCGGAGCTTCAAGTCAGCAACATCATGTTTGTTGAATATCGTGCGAATGTTGTAAAGCTGGCGGCTGAATTGCCCCATGCCCATGATTCATAACGCCAGGTGCCAATTGCCGGAGGAACAGGTCAGCGGACGGGTTGGCCGTGTTGTGGAGCTACTGGCGCGATCCCGCACGACGCACACCAAGAAGCCCTGCGACGGGCGCGTGGTCGAGGAAGGCAGCGCTCATGGTAAGCAGCGTGGACGCACGCCTGAGGTAGTCGGAAGATTGTTCGCATCTGGTTGCCCAAGTGTGAGCAACGTTGTCTACGTAGCGTTGTTGGTATCCGCCTCCACGCCCACGACGGCAAACATGACCGGGCTTGAGTGGTGAATCTCGCATCCCAGTTTGAAATGATGACCGTGTCGACGACTATGTGGAACAGTGCCATCGCAGTGAGAAAAAAATGACAACTACGCGTACCAATGATGTGAAAATCCACCTTCAAGGTTGAGACTTCTGTACATAACAGCATCGACCAACATACAAGTGGTTGTCGTTCACGAAATAGTACATGGATTGGCGTGGACTCGCATGAATTCCTCCTAATATAGCGGCTATCTTCAAAGCAAGAAAAGGAATTTGCACGTTGCAGACTTGACGGTGCGAAAAACCATTGTAATATGACAAAGCGTCGGTCTTTGATTGCGCTTTTGTCCGCAGACGCTTGCCGCTACTGAGCCACGAGCTGGTCTCGCACACTGCAGCACACAGACAACACAGCAATGATGACATCACCCTCCGTGGAGCGTGAGCGTGGTGGCAAAGATCTCCACGCAATCGACGCTCCTTCGCACACGTCTTTCAGCCTCGCCACGAAACGTCGAGCAGGTGCCTGTTGACACAATTGCCAAAGAACGTTGTCCAGGAGATTTGCAAGACGACTTGAGAAAGGACGACATTCGAATTTCGTCGGTTTGACGGCAAAGATCGGGTTGAGAAACATACCTTGTCATTGATAGGTAACCACCTCCTGGTCCGTAGAACCCCCCCCTCCCATTAGAGAGTAACTATTGTCGGCGGCCTTATTAACGGCCTGGGGCCCCAACAAATGGGGGTAACTGATGTTTTTTCCGCGGCACAAGTGGCGCAACAACAACGACGACGACAGTTGCGAC